CCTGAGCAGGGTTGTTGTGTTGGGGCTCCTACCCCGGCACGCCCAGTTGGCTGGAACATTGCGGAAAGATCTTGAAAGGTGTGTGCAGTGGGCGGCGGCGGCACACCCCTCGCAGCACAAGTTCTTTGGTACGTATCCCATGTACCCGCAACCTGTCCTCTACATTGGGGGGCCCCCCTTCCACCCCCATGTGGGACCACCCACGCCCAGGGCAGGTTCGGCATCCTCCCTCACGTTCAACCAAGTCAAGCAGCCGAGAAGTTGTTGTCGCCTTTTCTGTGTCTGCTGCATCTGGTAGGTGTGCGACTAGGTACTTAGGGCTAGGAAGGTTCATGTTCCTGAAAAGATCGTTTCCCTCCGCCCATCGCTCATTTGCTGGATATCGCCCTGCGCCCAATTGTACATGTCATCACCTCACCTCTCGCGCCTGTCAGCCTGCCGCCTTGTGACGACCTGCCATCACACACACGCGCCCCCTCTTCCTCTTGCTCATCCCCTTTCCTAAATACCATCAGCCGTGTACGAGTTTTCTGACTGATGGCAGTCATCATCCGAAGTGCATGAGACCCGGCTGCGCCATGAGAAGATGACGGATAATCTTGCGCTTTGCGTAACTGTATTTGTGGCGTCGGGTGATGGCGCAAAGGAGGTCCATGTTTTCTCACGTTTGCCAGCGAGGCAACTTTTGCTGCGAGCCACAGAGAGAGAGACGAGAGGAAGGGGGAGATCAGCAGCCGAGAGAGGAAGAAAAAGAAGAAGCAGAAGAATGGTTGCGCATTCCATGGGTTGAAGTCGTGGCAATGGGTGGCTGCCACATTCGGCGATCTCGCTATCCTCCCTAATCATCCTAAGCCCAGCGCCCAGGGTCGCTGCAAAACCGCCAGCAGCGCCGCCGCGATGCATGAAATCTACCCTACCAGGTGGATCCTGAAGCACTAAAAAAGGGTCGAAAGGGCCACGCCTGCAAAGCCCACAACTCCCGTGATCTTCAAATCCACCCAAAAGACCTCCTCTCCTATTTCAATGTGCCCCCGTCAGGTCGGATTTGTTCTATGCTCGCTATCCCCCCCCCCCCCTTCTTTTCTTTTTCTTTTTCTCACGACGACGTTGTGGATTCTCAAGCCAAAACACCGGCTCATCTCGGCGGCTGGAATGACAAGTTTGGAATGAGGATCAGTGCCGTCAAGAAGAGAGGTATCGCCTGCTGCCTGCTGACTGGCCGAACGCAGCTGGACATCCTGTGCCTCCTAAGCTTTCTTTCTCACTTGACTCGAGCACGATTCGGCATGCACTGACGTCTAGCCTCTTGGTCTGCCATCGACTTGGTCCCAGATAGGAATCGGCTGGGAAATGGGTCGGATGGAACTGCCCGCCTTCCTCGCCAGTCCCGTCTCTCGTGCCACACTGCCGAGACGATAGACAGCTCTCTGTCTGTCTCTTCAATATTTTCACACGTCGCCATGGCTGTTGTCATTTGAGTACTTGATAATAAGCCAGCACAAGTTTGGAACATGACTGCAGGCCTCTTTCCTTTGGACCGCCGATAATACTGCATGCACCATCAAACTTGGTGCTTTAGCAGCACCACCACCACCGCAGGCCCTGTCGGGACCACGCGCTGGCCCGGGGCAAGATGGGGACCCAAACCAGGATTGGTATTAGGGATCTCGCACTTGTAAGGTGGCCGAGGTTGTCCTCACCATCGGATTTCTGAAGTCACCCCAGCATCTCTCGTCCCCTCGTCGTTCGGGCTGGATGATCAACATCGATCTCACTTCGATATTGCCTTGGGATTCATCATTCCTGCCGACTTCAAGCGTGCTGTCGTTGTGCTCAAATGATCGCCGGGACATGTAGAGCCTCGCCGACACTTTTTTGTCGCCGGAGCCGGTGGACTGACTGGCCCCGACAGCCTACATGATTTGACTTCTGATGCCGCTGCATCCGAATCACATCGGGTGTTGTATATTCTTCGAAATAGATAGCCAAGAGAGTCGTTATGATCTTTTGGTTGTTCGCCTGGACGGATTCACTACCCTAACCAGCTTCTTCTGCTGCCACGTTTTGAAGACAGGGGAAAGCGAGTGAGCGGAGGGAGTGTCGTTCCTTTCGGCCATGCACGAACGCGGACAGGCACCGACAGGGTATTCCTCCACACCTCCCAGCCCGCTTGGACCAAGGCGGCTGCCCAATTGCAACCTCCTCCGTTCAGCACCACTTGGTCTTCGCTTCTTGAATTTCTGCATGCAAGCAACGATGACGACCCGAATAATATGTTGAACGTCTGTCGTCGCCGCCGCTCTCTTGTCGCTAGCTATACCCATGGATTGGCACGTTCAACATGCCCAGTACAGAAGGGGGGTTCATGTGCCAAAGAGGGAAGACTACTGATCACTATTGCTGACTCTTTCCCTTCTATTATTCTTCGGCAGGATCGTGATTATTTTTGGGCAGAGCAGGGCAGACCGCATGCTGCCAGCTGTTTCAAAGGTCAAACCCGACATTGGTCATCGCTTGGCGCCTGGCAGGGGTATCGCTGACAAGTCTTTTCCAACCACAGATGACCAATATCAAAAAGGGCCCTTCCCTCTCTGCCTGGGCCTTTGTGGTACGCAGGAAATGTGGCCTGGACCGGAGAGCCTGATCCAGGACTAGTCTCGCAAGAAGATTCCTACCGACAACAGATCAACATATCCTGGCGGTAATCGCTCTCTCTGCTGCGGCCCCAGCTGTATTCGCCACAATAAGCAATCGTCCACGTTTTTGGTTTCCACTAACAGCTTAACCGATCTGCAGCACCATCCCGCGCCTCTTTCCCTCCCTCTCCCTCCCAACTGGCCAGAGGCATCGAAGCTCTCTTTGTGTGATTGATGACAACTTCTTTGTTCTGAGACTGCTTGATCTTGGCAGTGGTCTCTGAGAAATACCATGTTGATGGATGCCCAGTACTTAGCAGACACATTTTGCTATGCTGCTTTGGGGGGCGAGAGGAGCCTGGGGGGACCAGTGCCGGGGTATTGTCGCACAACACCAATGGTGCACCAAATTTCCAGCCTTTCATTGGTCGGCAGCGTCACAGTCGGCCCTCGAAAATGGCTAGAGTCCCCAGGCCGTCTAGGTTTCCCTCGCGCCAGAGGGCTCTGATGAACTTTCTTGCCCTCTCGAAAAGGACCTCGTGGTCGACAAGGCATACAAGATGGACGCTCGGATTGTTTGGTATCGGCTATTCGTTGAACATGGATGGGGGAAGGGATAAAAATGCAGACTCGATGTGCATGCAAGCTGGTTGTCTCATGGCTCGAGGACCGGACAAGGAATGATGAGTAGCAGACCGAAATAAGTGGCGTCAGGGAACAAGAAGACAGGCCACACCAAAGTACCATAGAAATATGTCCCATCATGCCACGGAGCACCGGACCGCTCGAGGGGTCGCGCCAAGGGGGGGGGGGATCCCGACTTGTCGGGCAGAACACTAATCAGCCCACAGTTGACAGCAGATGGTATCATGACCCGAAGACACAACAAACTGTGTGATACTCTCCGGATTCCGCCATCTAACCCCAGAAGAGGTGCAAGAAACAAAAGTGAGGGGATACAGAACTTATAGGATGCATGTCTTATCGAAGGGTGGCTGGCTACGTACTCAGGACGGCTCGACAAAACATTTCAGCAGGCTCCGAATCCATGGGATTCGTCATGGGATTCGTAGAACCTTCGATATGGGGGGGGGGGTTTGCACAGCCTAAGAGAGGGAGAAAGAGAGGGAGAAAGAGAGAGAGAAAGAGAGAGAGAGAGCGCCTTGAAAGGAGGCGCTAAAGGAGTCAGCGAACATCTGGCAAAATCTCCCCATCGAAACGGCATACGGGACTCATTGGCAATATTCGCCAGGAATTATAGGATGGTAAGAACAGGGCTAGGAAAGCGACCATACGAGCAGGCAGGGCATCTTAGCACTGTTGCGAGAGCACCCACGACCCTCAGGGGAGAGAGCCTTGCCACCAATTTTGTCAGGCTTGCGCGACAGCACAAGCATCGCTGTGTATAGACAAGAGAGACAGAGGAGCGGGGGGGGGGGAGGAGAGAAAGAAAAGAAGAAAACACCAAGAAGACGAAAAGAAAAAGGAAACCCCAAAAATTGAGAGAAGGCACAGTGCAGGAGATGGAAGACCTCAAAAAATCCAAGACGCTTCAAAATCACTAGATCAGATGGGAGTATTGAGCTTGGACAATATGGGAGTGCACCGAGTCTGCCGCATCCAGTTGGGCCTTGATCGGGGCGACGCACCCAATCGAAGCGAGACGCGATTCCTTGGTCATGGCGCTCGGGATCTACATACTGTACATAGGTACGTAGTATTGGCGTACATTTTTCTATTAAATTTTTTTTTTTTTTTTTTTTTTTTTTTGGTTAATGTATGTACCATATTAGGGAACCGCGGGAAAGGGAGGGGTCCACCCGCCTGGTCTGGTCCTGCAACGAATTGGACGAGGTGGTTTCCCTTTCCTGCAGGGGTTGGGTTTGTAGGCTTCTAGCCAATGAGCAGCTGCCTAAATGCAGGGACCTTCCAAGCTCAGGGCTCTCCCATCGCGGCAATGATCCGGGTGTTCGCCGTTGCTGCTTACCTAAGGTAGCCTAGCCTGAAAGCGTCATGTCCTCGATTGCTTGTTTGGAAAACGTCTTGGTTGCCTGGCGACATATGGACAGCTTCAAGCCCGCACCAAAAAGAGAAGCGTCTCCTTCGTTCTTTGGCTTCTTATCTCGAGGCGGCTGATCACATTCGATCTCGTTTCTTCTGGCTTTTGTCGTCTATTCTCCATTCTCTTTTTGCTAATTCCTTGGAGTCGAATATAGCTTAGTTTCTTTGACCACAGTCGCTCTTAGGCCACGCTCTGATCTTGCCGAGCATGTCATACTGACCTGAAAAGATGAACGTGCCTGGTTTGGAAACTCGTGCTCCTGGTTTCGCTTGGTTCCAGTCGCAGCCCACGCGGGCTTGAGAATGGCTGGAAACACTGGCACCTGGCATGAAACGAGCGTGCAAGCTGCACAGGACCACCGAACCACGTACCAGGTCACCACCGCCGTAGGGGGCCAGAAGCGTCCAGTCGAGGTCCCGAATGCAGCGGCCGCTGATAAGCATCGGGCCACGAAGAGAGTTGCCTCCTTTCGGACGGCTGCATCTGTCACCTCGGCACTGCCAAGTCTGGTGGCCAGCGAGGTCACGAGGCATCCATCTGCGGCGACGCGGGGTGGCACCGTGGATGGCCTGTCGGAGTACTCGCAGAGGAAACAATTCCCCTCCACCCCGACGCCAGCCCATGATGCACAGCTAAGATTGTCTCATCCCGCTTATAGGCTCCCAGCACCGCTGGTGGCCAACCTCGAATCGCTCGGCATCAAAAGTATATACCCCTGGCAGAAGCAATGTCTCCTGCAGCCAGGCCTTCTCCAGGGCAAGAGGAACCTCGTCTATACTGCACCGACAGGCGGCGGAAAATCCCTTGTTGCAGACGTCTTGATGGTCAAAAGAGTGCTTCAAGACAGGGACGCCAAAGCCTTGCTGGTCCTGCCCTATGTCGCTCTTGTCCAAGAGAAGGTCCGTTGGCTGAGGAACGTGGTCAGCGGTATCTCGAGGGCGGCCATTACTGGGCCGATCAAAGATTCCGAGCGCAGGCTCTGGAGGAAGCGTGCAGACGAGGACACCGTCAGAGTTGTTGGTTTCTTCGGCGGAAGCAAGATCAAGCAGACGTGGGCCGACTTCGATATCGGTGTGTGCACCATGGAGAAGGCAAACGCACTTGTCAATGGCGCAATCGATGATGGTTCCTATACTCAGCTCAAGGTCATCGTGCTCGATGAACTTCACATGATTGATGACGACCACCGCGGCTACCTGCTTGAGCTCATGGCGACGAAGCTGCTCTCTCTGGACGATGCCGTGCAGGTCATTGGTATGAGCGCCACACTCACAAATATCAAGCTTCTTGCAGCTTGGCTTCATGCGCATTTTTACGAAACCGCCTACAGGCCTGTGCCGATTGAGGAACATCTAGTTTACGATGGCAATGTCTATGCAGCTGAGACAACGAGCGGCTCCATCAGGGCGGCAACACAAGCAAATGGCGGAAGCCAAGATAGCCTACGGGCGAGGCCGGATGTGCTGGGCTCCATCGCCCCATCTGCTGCGAAAGAGTTACAGGATCCTGTGCTGAACTCGGTCGTTGCGTTGGCATGTGAGACGGCTCGCGCTGGCTATGGTGTGCTGGTGTTTGCGGGCAGCCGCGCTGGCTGTGAGTCCGATGCGCTGACCATCAGTCGCACCATGCCTCTTCTGAGTGAGATGAACGTAGATGCCCAGGAAAAGCGAGCAGATCTGCTTGGAGATCTTCGGAGCCTGCCGGGTGGCCTAGATGCGACACTCGAGCAGACAATCCCAAGAGGAGTCGCTTTCCATCATGCCGGGCTCACTATTGAGGAGCGAGAGCTGATCGCCAATGCGTACGACTGTGGGATGATTAAAATCTGTGTGGCCACTTGCTCCCTGGCAGCGGGCATCAACCTGCCGGCGAGGCGTGTGATCCTACACAATGCCCGCATGGGTCGCGATCTCGTGGGACCTGCCCTGCTGCGCCAGATGAGGGGGCGAGCTGGTCGGAAAGGCAAAGACGAGGTTGGGGAGACATATCTCTGCTGTCGACAGGGGGACCTTGAAGATGTCGAGGACCTGATGCGAGCAGATCTGCCTCAGGTGGCGAGCTCTCTCAGCACCGACAAGCAGCGCATACAGAGAGCACTGCTCGAGGCCGTTGCTGTACGGCTTGCCACCAGTCAGGAATCACTCGACGATTACATCCGGCGGACACTGCTCTACCACTCCATCGACGTCGAAAAGATCCACGACCTCGTCAAGACCAGCCTCTCGGACTTACAGTCAAGAGGCTTCATCGCCATCGACCAGTTCTCCAACTTCGAAGCAACGCAGCTGGGCAAGGCAATCGTGACCTCGTCGCTTGACCCGGAAGACGGCATCTTCATTCACGAGGAGCTGAAGAAGGCGCTTCGAGCTTTTGTGTTGGATGGCGAGATGCATATCCTCTACATGTTCACACCCGTCCAGAATATGTCGGTCACCATCAACTGGAAGGTCTATTCCATTGAAATGGAAGGTCTTGATGAGAGCGGCATGCGGGTACTCGGCTTTCTGGGGTTGAAACCCACGGAGATTATCAGGATGTCGCGTGGAGGCACGATGAAGACCTCAACCACCCAGGAGAAGGAACTCATCCGTGTCTACCACCGCTTCTACCTCGCGCTGCAGCTTCGTGAACTCTGTAACGAGATGCCCGTGCACCGCGTGGCGCAGAAGTACGAGGTGCCGCGTGGGACTGTGCAGACGCTGGCGCAGACCTGCCAGGGCTTTGCAGCTGGCATGATCAAATTCTGTGAGCAGATGGGCTGGGGTGTCATGGCCGCCGCGCTGGACCACTTCTCGGACCGGCTCAAAGCCGGCGCAAGGTCGGACCTGCTAGAGCTGGCTAGGATCACATTTGTCAAGAGCAGGACCGCGCGCGTCTTTTGGGACAATGGGCTGCGGAGTGTGGCTGCGGTCGCAAACGCAGATCCTCAGGAGCTGGTGCCCATACTGATGCAAGCGCAGCCAAACAAGCTACGTCTCGAGGCCAAGGACGAGGAAAAGTACAAGGAGAAGTTGCTGAACAAGGCGAATGTCATTGCAAACTCTGCAAACAAGCTTTGGCGTAAGTTGACCTGGATCTACGAGGATGAACGAGATAGAAAAGAAGGGGACGAAGAAAAACTAATGAGCATTTGAAACAGAAATCGAGCTGCAGCAAGACATGGACGAGGAATGATAGTAAGTGATCTAGACCCAGAGCTCACCGCTCAAGTCTACCTCCAAACCGGATCGGAGGCATCGGCAAGTTCGTTGTGTTTCGTTGTGGATAAAGGGTGGTATCTGTGCAACTCTCTCGTCCCAATCAATGCGTTACTGCTAGAAAAGGGTCCCTTCGCCTGACCACAGCAAATCTCACAAAAAGTCTGAGTCCCAATGATGTGGTCTCGCTTCCTGCAGCAAGCCGCAGCGGAGCAAGCCCTTGTGTTTCGGCCCTCAGCCACTGATCTTGAGGTGTCGTTCAAAATGGCACCCTGCTTTTCTGCCGTTGCTGCATCTCGGCTGCAACCCACCAAAATTCCCAGCAATGAGCGTAGAGGCAGTCATGCCACACCTCTTTGGTTCAGCTGAGACGCTCTACTATCCACAACTTCCCAGCTGCCAGCGAAAAGACAGTGAGATAGAGAGGGCTGAGAGGGCACTACAATGCAGTGGCACCTGGCCACAACTTTCGCCCCCTCTCCCGAACGCCGTCGAGGCATTGCATCATATTGCAGTTCCTTTTGCCTCAAACGGCTTCGCGGCACCTGTGATTATTTTGCCTCATGCAAATGCATGGACGGGACAGCTCACAAGTTATCTCGCGCGAATGGTAACCCAACACTACAAAAAGCAAACGTCAACTCATCAACGCCCAACGCGGCGCCGCAGTCTCACTCGCTCGCTCCTACAGCAGCCCGATATCGCACAGCGTATTGATTTTGATTTCTGGCAAAAGATGCGTCATTGCGGTCCGTCCGCCTCAATTTCTTGGCAATACTTGCACTATTGATGCAAGTTGATGCATGCACGCCTCGCTTGCTTATTTGTTGCAGTCATATTGCTTTTCTCGTTGCAACGCAGTGTTTCGACTCCTCCTTGCAAGCGGACGGTTTGATTGCTATAGGCTTCTCCCGAAGAGAAACGACCTGTCAATGTGGCGGCGGCTACCCGCTGCCTGTTTGTGTCAGATACACAACAGCGTTTGCCTATGAGAGGAGCAGCAGTGACAGCAGCACTTCTTATCATCACCCACTTCGTCGCCCCCCGGGCGGGCCTCTTCCACGGCCATGTTGTAGCTCCGGCTGATGGTGCCACAACACTACCCTCCTGCGTTTTGTACCAGGATTTCTTATCCAGCTAGAAGAAAGCGCTCTCTCCAACATGACAGCAGGAGGAGACCATCCAAGGTCACACCAAACTAGGACAACCTGAAGGCTGACGAGCCGCTTGCCATACCGTCACACGCTCTGTATACATGCATGCCATTCGGCCAGATGGTCGGTGTGGCTGGCTGGCCGGCTAGCTGCCTCTGCCAACACCCTCTTCTCGCTGCTCGTTCCCGTTTGCAATCTAAAGAAACTGCTCAGCCTACCTGAAACGTGCATGTGGGACCTTTTTGGGGCCTCTTTCTCTGCTTTTTCCTGCATCCGTATCATATCGCTCTTCGCCGTTCACCGTATCTGTCTGCAAAGTCTGCAGTCTAGGCTCTGGCGCCTTTGCAATTTATTTCCCCTCCTGTCCTCTTTCTCAGAAGGAAAACCCTTTCCTCTCACAGATTTGCCTGTCTCTCTCTCTGCCTCTAGGTTTTCGAGCATCTAGCTCACCGAGTTTACGTCTTCAATCATTCTTTTGTTGTCTTGCAACCCCGACAGAAAGATGGCATCATTGCAAACGTGGAGGCTCGCGGTCCCGCCCCAAAGAAACGGAGAGGGATCTTCGCAGAGGAACAACAACAATAACAATGTCAACAACAACAACAACAACAACAACAATAATAATAACAATAACAGGAGGGACTTCACATTGTTCGACGCCATGCAAGCTCCCTCGACGGCGCCGGACATCAGGGTGCTGAACAAGATGCCGAAAGGGCTGAATGAGGAAGAGGGCTTGAACTATCAGGAGGACTTATGGCTCACGACTCACGATGGGTAAGGGGCTGGCTTACACATATATGCTTGGTTTTTTGGTGGTTTTTTTTTTTTCCTTCCTGGGGTGGGGGGAGGGGGGGTTCTTTTCACTGTCGCCACTGTCTTCGACTAACGAAAATTCATCCCTATGCGCTTAGAGATTTTAGGACTGACAGGTTGCTGTAGACGATATAGCTCTCCGATCATTCCGGTTCGTGTTGGTACTGCACCGCATGAGGAGGTTTTCCAGGTGTGTATCAACTTCCAAACACCACACGCACACACACACCTTACTAACTTTGTCCAGATTCACAAAAACGTTCTCCTCAAGTCTACGTGGTTTGAGAAGGCACTCTGTGGGAACTTTGCAGAGGCGGCAGCCCAGTCACTCGACTTTCCCGAGGAGGACCCAGCCATCTTCCACTTCCTCGTCGCCTACCTGTACGAAGATAGATATGTCCCGACCAGGCCTCTGTCCAGTGCGCTCCTTTCGGAAGAGGGTAAGGGCAAGGGCAAGGGAAAGGGAAAGGGAAAGGGAAAGGGAAAGGACAAAGTCAAAGACAAAGGCAAAGGCCCAGCACGGGGAAACGTCATGACCATGGACATAGACTCGGATCAAATCAGCGACAACGAAGACGTTGGTAACGATGGTGATGACAGCGACGGCACCGACTACTCCCTGCCGCGTCGAAGCCGAGTCGCAGGTCGGGGCCAGAGCGAAGACGAGCGCGCGGGACAGAAGCGCCCGGGCCAACACCGACCAGAGTGTGGTTGCCCGCAGTGTTATGAACCCCCTTGCATGTCGTGCGGATTCCCACTGGGCGGAAACCCGCTGGGCATGCTGCCTCTGGCAGGCCAACAACCTCCAGTGTTCAGGCCTGCTGATGCTGCCGCCCAGCCAGCTCGGCGCAACCAACCTCGTCGCGGGACCGACGCACTATCTACGCTACAGACTATCACGCCACCGCCTTTTCCGGTGGCGGAGAAGGACCCAGCACGGATCCAGGGCCAGGACATGCGCACGTGGCTCATGACATACGAGCTCAACATCGACGTGTACATCTGTGCCAACAAGTTTCTGCTGGACGGGTTCAAGCAAAAGGTCGCCCGCGTGATGATCGACATGCTCGAGGCGGCAGGCGCCGACGCCGCGCGGGTCGAAGTCCTCAGGCTCTGCACGAAGCTCTACGGCGGGGTCAGCGAGAACGACAGCCTGCTGAAGATGATCTTTGCGAGGGTTGGGTTCCTGCAGACTGCGCTGTGGAGGAGGGCGCCTGTCGAGACGAACCAGTTCCTGACGGAGAACCCAGAGGTCGGTGCGCTGATCCTGAAGGAGATGGCGATACGACGCGAGGCGGATCTCTCCTCTGGAATCCCGAGCATGGAGAGGAACGCAAGCCTGGGGGCTCATGACCCTTATGCGGCAGTCAGTCTGCATACTCATCACCAACGCCATCGCGCTGCAGCTCATAGGTACGGGTACTAAAGGGCCAGCACCGTCTCTTGTAACTTGGAAAACGACAACAGAGGAAAATGAAGAACACGATTGATGAGAGAAAGAGGAGTGAGGGGGGGGGGCCTATTAACGATGGGGGGGGGGGGACGGGACAGGACAGAATGAATCTTGACAAGAACAGTTTCTTTTAACGAGAGAGGTTTGACAGTTTGTGGGTTTTTCAAGTCATTCGGACTATAATTAATGTCAGAACCCGAGCACATTCTTTGTTACCTTGTGAGTTTTCGGTCTGCACACGTTTTAAGCATCCTTTTAACCGTGCCGTGAATCAAGAAAGCGTCACCCAACTAACCAATGCCCCCCCATTGGTGGACTTCCAAACGGACATGTTTGTCCTCGTGCTAGTGATGGGCTTTTTTCTCTCTGCCTTGCCTGCATTTATGCAAGGTCCCCCGTCGTGTTTTCCATGCTCGCCTCCACAAATTCCCCAGATCTTCTCTCCCTCCAAGCAATGCGGGGAGAATATGCAAGGTGGGTTTCCCCCCCCCCCCCCCACTGCCGATCAACATTGTCACCACCGACCTGAAAGCGATGTCACTTTATAGCAACAGCACAAGCTCTTTTTGGCCTTGGGGTTCAATACGTTCTATATTGTATCGGCTTGACCTTCCGGATCTTCGGGGTATCTCGTGGATGGAGCAAGTTCAGTCTACCGGAACATCATCCCGAAAGTAGATTGAATAAAGACAAAACAAGGTTCACTTTACCTTGCTTAAATATATTTAAGCAGTCAAGTATCATGAAGACCCTCCTTGTCGTCCTCTATGGCACTTCTTGTCGTCACCCACTGGTGCCTCCTCCTCCTCCTCCTCAACATCCTCCACCTTGAAGCAGCCGTCACGATGACCTCCTCTCGCCCTCTCGCCCTCCCCCTCCCCCTCCCCTTCCTCCTCCTCCTCCTCCTCCTCCTCCTAGCCACCACCACCCTCGCCCAGCAAGACCTCCTCGCAACCCTAGACTACGGCACGTTCCAAGGCGCCTACTCGTCCACCTACAACATCAGCTACTGGCAAAAGATCCCCTTCGCCGCCCCGCCCGTCGGCGCCCTCCGGTTCCGCGGCCCGCAACCCCCGGCGCCCCTCCCCAACGGCACCGTCTACAACTCCACCCAGACCTTTGACATGTGTCCCCAGCGCACCGTCAACGGCTCCGAGGACTGTCTGTACCTGGGCCTGTACGCACGGCCCTGGACAGCGACGACGGCAGCACAACCACCGCCTCTCCGGCCTGTCGTGGTGGTGTTTTATGGCGGGGCGTATATCGAGGGGGATGCGAGCTTCTCCATCCCGCCGAGCGCGTATCCTGTGCTGAACGTCTCGGAGGGGACGGATCTGGTGTTTGTGTATGCGAATTATAGGACGAATGCGTTTGGGTTCTTGCCGGGGCGGGAGATTGCGGCGGATCGGAATGGGAGTGATTTGAATCCGGGCTTGTTGGATCAGGATGCTGCTATCAAGTGTGAGTTGGTTGGTGTTGCGATGTCTTTTTTTTTTTTTTGTCTTGATGCCTCCTTTTCTTTTCTTGGTGATGATGATGATGATGATGAGGAGGAGGAGGAGGAGGAGGAGGAGGAGAGATGGACAAGGCCGATTCATCACTGTCACGTTGTCTCCTCTCTCTCTCTCTCTCTCTCTCTCTCTCTCTCTCTCTCTCTCTCTTGTATACACACACACACACACACACACACACACACACACATGGAAGCAACAACAAAACTAACAGCCCACAGGGACCCAAAAGTACATCTCCGCCTTCGGAGGCGACCCAAACCAAATCTCCATCTGGGGCCAGTCGGCCGGCGGAGGCAGCGTAGTAGCCCAGGCCATCGCCCGCGCCGGCGTCCCCGCCGGCGCCCAGAGCAGCCCACGCCCGAGGCTCAGCCGCGCCCTGGCGTCGAGCCCCTTCTGGGTCAAGACCTACGACTACGACGCGCCCCAGGCCCAGGCCATCTACGACAGCTTCAGCACGCTGGTCGGGTGCGGGACGGGGCCGGGCAGCCTGGCGTGCCTCAAGCAGGCCGACGTGCAGGCCCTGCGCAACGCGAGCCTGGTCGTGGACGCGAGCCACACGTACAACACGAGCAGCTACACGTGGGCGCCCGTGATTGACGGCCGGTTCCTGACGATGCGGCTGAGCGAGGCGAGCGAGAAGGGGCTGGTGAACATGGACTATGGCTGGGGCATGTACAATACCCACGAGGGCCAGAACTTTGTCCCGCCTGGGCTGGCTGATGCGAACAACACGGGCTCGCCGCCCTTCAACGAGAGCCTGGCCAGTTTCGATGGCTGGTTGGCGGGTTACCTGCCTGACTTCTCCGAGGCCGACCTGGACAAGGTCAAGGAGCTGTACCCGGAGGACGGGAGCAGCGAGCTGATCCCAAGCTACAACACGACGTTTATCCGGGCAGGCCTGATCTTTAGGGACTCTGTGCTGGCTTGTCCTGGGTACTGGATGGCGGGCGCTGCATCCAAGGGCAATTTTCTGGGTGAATACTCGATTTCGCCTGCGACTCATGGTTCTGATACTGAATGGGTACGGTCCCCCCCTTTTCCCTGATCTGATAATGATGATGATGATGAGCCAAAGAAAATATCGCAAATGATGGATGCTAACCTTTTTTCACACAATCCTCTTTGTCTGGCGCAGTGGGACACAATTAGCTCCGTGCAAGAGACCGAACCAGAGATCTACAAAGGCTATACCGGAGCCTTCGCCTCATTTTTCATGACAGGCGACCCGAACGCTATGAAACTGACACCCAGTAACGTCTCGGGCGTGCCTCCGCTCTCCTCAGGCGAGGAGTTCAACATCAATGCCGATGGCTTTGCAGACGTCACGCTGACGCAGTTCAAGACGCGGTGTGACTTTTGGAAGAGCGTCGCCGCCAAGATACCTATATGAAGATGTGTGTATGGGAAAGAAGGTGTTTCCAAAAAAGAAAAGGAAGATAAAACAATAAATATATAGATGTATAGAAATATATACATATATATTTACCCCACCTATGGACAGCAAGCGGTTTACTGTTGACGGCCTGGAGCCAATTCTGGTCTCTATCAGCTGTAGAACCCTCGCCCTTGTTGACGCATGTGTCGCTGAACTGTGGGCGTGATGGATAAGGCTTGGGCTCATGGATCCTGGAACGCCTAGTCGATGATATCTTCCCGTACTGCCATGACATTCTCGTCAGTATCTTGCACAGAATACACTTCACATTGGTACCAAAAGGCTGCTCTCACATTTGAAGAGCTGCGACAGAACCTCGTCCGAGCGGGCTCGGATTGCATTGTGATACACTGGTGGCGCTTTTGTTAGTACGTATGTTCGTATAGATCTCCAAGACGTAAAGAATTGCCCTGGTTTTTTTTTGGGGGGGGGGGGGGAGAGAAGGGTTACACAACGTACTAATATTGGTTTCGAAGGTCTTGATGCCGTTGACTTTGCTGGCAGTCTCTCTCGCCAGGTCAAAGTCCACATACATATCCTCGATGTAGCTCGCAGCGTAGACGGGGACCGTGTTCCTCTTGAGTTGTTCCTCATCGTAGAGATCGTCCCACTGATCGTACCGGGCGAGCATCTCGGCGGTCTCCTTCATCCTGTTGAGCTCGGGGTAGTCATCAAACATGAAGGGGAAGATCATCTCGCCCGTAAAGCACAGCGGCGTCGTGTCGCTCGCAAAGGTAGGATCATCAAAGCCATGGTTGTCGGCAGACAGCCAGCGGAAGTCCTGAAGCTCCTGTCCCACCTGCTGAGCCGCCCAGTTCGAAGCGACCCCGTTCTTGTAGCAGTAGATGGCCTCATGCAGGATGGCATAGATGGGACTCGTGTCGAAGGGCAAATACGACTCAAACTGGTCAAGAGTGGGACGGGTGAAGAAGCCATACTGGTCCAGGTCCATGCCCATCCGCAAGAGCATGCTGTGCACATTGTCAAGGCCGCCGTGGAAGCCGAACATGTCGCCAATGGTGAGCAGACGCCTTGCCGTCAGCCTGCCGCCTCCAGGGAGCTGCACGCCGCCCTTCTTGGCATGAAGGTAGGCGACAATCCTGCGGACAGTAGCGATATCCTCGGGAAATTTTGTATAGTAGACCATGTTGCGCTCGTAGACCTTCTTGAACGTGGCCTGGTAGACCTCCCTGGGCGCTCTCGAGATAGGCGCCAGACCACCTGTGATCCAAACATCACTCAGACCCTCTGGAAACTTGGACAGATATGACAGGCAGACGAAGCCGCCAAAACTCTGGCCAAAGATGGACCACTTCTTCTTGACAGGATCGGCAACCCCGGCTGTGAGGTAGCTGCGCACGGCCTCAAGGTCACGCACATTGTTGTCCTGGCGGAAGTGCTTGAGGTACTCGAACTGGTCGCTGGCCTTTGGGGGGATGGTGTCCGCCGTGACCGGCGTACTGAGCCCCACGCCTCTGTAGTCGAGGAAGAGGATCTGGTAGCCCTTGCTGAGGACGAACCGGGTGAGAGGGAAGTCTTGAGGTTCTGGATTGCCGAAGCCAGGGCCGCCCTGCAGGTAAACCACTAGAGAGAGAGAGAGAAAAGAAGAGAAGAGAGGCCATCAGTCAGCTGGACGAAGACAAGTGTGGGTGAGCATCACCATAACATAACAACCATCACCACCACCACACACCATCATTACCATCAGATCGACTTACTCCACGGTCTCTGAGACACAGGCTGCTCCAAGGCAGATACAGAAGCCTCATGCTTGGTAGCTGACCTCGCAAACAGCTGGATCTCGCCGTCCTGAGGATTTCGATAGTCCTTGGGGACAGAGAACAGATACTCAGTCACCAGAAATGGCCCTTATGATATAGCAAGTCAGTCGATAGTCTCCTCGGCAAGGTATTGCGTGGAATGGACTCACCTGGGACGACATGTTTGGCGCTTCTGATCAACCTGGCAGCGGGAATTGCAAGAGCAGCCATAGTGAAGCAGATTGTAGGTAGGTTATGAGAGAGAGCGCGAGCAGAGGGGAATATCACACCAAAGTAATCTGAATATCTTGGAAGAAAAACACAAAAGATGAGAAGTCTAAGATAAGAGGATCAATTTACTAGTCTGGGAAAGAATGGAGGAAGAGGGGGGTGGGAGGAAGTATCATAAGGTGTGCCGTATAATTCTTAACTTCTTCTTCAAACTGTATTGGCAGAGAGCAGCAGTTTGGGGGAAAGATGGTGTGTTATGCGAGTAACTGAGTAAGTAGATATGTGCTCCTTGATTTAACTCGGTGCATGAACCGCAACGTATCATCGTATGCCACTGCTAAGGTGAGGAGACGAGCTGAAGAGGCCCAATTCGGTGGTGATACAAAGTTACAGTGTGTGGGGCGGAAGCAGACTCCCACTTGCTCAGAAGCGGAAGCATGTCCCGGCAGACAGTACGTCTTTCCCCCACTTATTCAGGCGAGTAATGCGGAACATACTGAATGCTGTAGGACAGCACATGCACAATCCCCCCTCTTTTCTCACACAGGCTTAGTCTGAAGGAGAACAGCGTACCATGTGACAATGAAATGCAAGAGGCTCTCTTCTTCAGTATCGTGAGCTTCAACTCAAGATAATCGCATATCATCTTATGCCGTCTCAGATTGCAGAGAGACAACAGACACAGTGCAGTGTTAGGTTGCCTGAAGAAAGAAAAAAAAGATAGCGGTAAACGCCACTAAGACGCCAGGAAGCTTATTATCTACTGATCTTCAGCGCCATGGCACCTGTGCAGTAGGCTGGTCCCCCCTGGGCACGCGGTCCAAGGTACCCACTCAATGCCCTGAGCAGCAGCACTAGGTAGCATCTCCTCAGGTGCTACAGCACTGTGTGTTGAAAAGGCTACGAGGTTACCTGAAGGCCCCCCCTCCCCCCCATCCGGCATCGGCCTATAGTAGCACCACATGGGGAGGTACCATTTGAGGGTAGCATCTGGAAAAAAGCCCAAAGCAAAATTTCCACACGCAAAATTCCACGTCTCCATCACCTTACTATTTCGCCCAACACAACAACAAGACGCCAACCTTCCATGGCCGTCTCTCCCTTCCACAACGCCTCTGCCGGATAAAACCTAGAAGAATCACCAATGTGCTGCACGTTGGTCTTTTCTTCTCCCATGTCCAGCTGGTCGCCATGGATATGGACTCACTCCAGCTGATTCAGAAGTTGGTTGAGTCCTTCAATGCTGTAGCCAGCGAACTTCAGACCCTGACCGACCGGAAGACCATTTTGGAGCACAAGCTGCGTTACGCCCACGAGCAGGTATGTCTTTTACAGATATGTTTTCATTTATCTATTTCTTTGCTGGTCCTCTACTTTATGATGAACAACCTTTAGCTCTAGATCTGCATTGAACTGTCTTTTGGCAGTTCGTGGAGACAACCTCTTACCACTTGTCTGACTTGTTTTTTTTTATTAATTTAAAAAAAAAAACCCCCCTGTCTTGGCTCTGCTCACCTGCAGCATCCATTCTCACCTGACCCTGACCCATCTGCATCTCTTTAAAAACATCCCTGCCGTTTACTGACCAACCTCATCCCTCTTTCCAGTATCAGGCCTTGGCCGACAAATACGCTCCCTGTGCTCCCGACGTTGCAGAGACCATCGCGAAGCTGCAAATCCCACCCACTCCAACATCCGCCAGTTTCGTCCCCCTCCCCAGCCGTCTCGGGTCCGACAGCTCACAGGCCCAGCTCGCTCTTTTCATCCGCGAGGGCAAGAAGGTCGCCAGCCAGCTGCAGGTCCTGACCGACGCGGGCAAGGCTGCCACGTCCACCCGCGGTGGTGGCATCTCGACCAGGATGACCTCAGAGCTGTCGACTGTCCTGGAGAAGGACTTTACCGTGGAGGGCAAGAAGGGGCACCTGCAGTGTCCCTTCTCCACCGCCGTCAAGCAAGAAGCCATCGACGGGGATGGAGACGGGATCGGAGATGTCACCCCACACCCGGCTGGTGATCCGATATGCGCCGCCATGGTTGACGGCCCGCCTGATCCCACAACAAACAACAGCGCAGCGGCCAAGTGTCCCATCAGATACATGGACAAGCACTCACCCGAGGAGATTGCCCGCTATGTCGAGACACACAAGCACGAACTGCCCAGGAGCCATGAGGTCTGTCTGCGGAGAAATCAGAGGACTGAGGACCAGATCAGAAAACTCGACGCCAAGTATGGCAACATCGTGTCCATGATCGAGGACCTCTCCCACCTGCATGCCCCCATGCTGCCCGAGCCCGACCATACGAAGGCAGAAGGCGATCAAACCTCGGACCGTCGTGTCAGCGACTGGGCGCAGAACGTGAGGGCAAGTGTGACGGAGCTGACAAATGGTGGCATAACCGAGGCCGATACCTCTGTAGAAGATGAGCAGGACCTCGACCGCACTGGGCACTTCGACCGCCCGCTCAAGGAAGTCCGAGTCGGTGAAAGCCCAAGTAGACCATGGGGTATCTCCGTCCCCATTCCGCCACCGGATGATCAGGTGGAACGGGCCACCTCCCCACCCGCACCCGTCCGCATGCCCTCACCAGCGCCTGCCGAGACATCCAAGGCGCCGACGGCGCGACCTTCCAAGTGTCCCTTTGACCATACCAAGATGCGGCTGGATGGTCCGGGTCTATCCGAGTTCCCCAAGATGGATGAACACCACAACCCGCCGCCGCCGCCGCCGCCGCCATCACGGCCTGCCCAAGATGATAGAGACGCAGCAGGCCAGCACTTCCCTACACCTCTCAAGTTCCCTGCGCCTCGGGAACATCCGCAGCCTGCACCTCCCGACAGCCCCCCTCCCTCTCATCAGCCGACCTTTATCAACATGACCGGCACCACCGGCACAAAGACTGCTGCGCCCTCTACAGGCGTCGCAGTGCCCCAGATGGTCTTTAACGGACCTGTGTTTATCGGATACAACATGGACCAGGCGATTCAGTTCATGCAGCATTTTCAAGGTGGACAACAACAGCAACAACAACAACAACAACAACAACAACGATAATGATCTTGTTTTTTTCTTTCTTCTTCTTCTTCCTCTCTTCTCTTTTTTGTTTTGCATGATCTATGTTGTATTATGAGCGAGCGAGGGCGTTGTTTGTGCACCTTTTTTGAGGGCTTGGATTGCCTTGATTGATTTGGCGTTGGAGGAGGGTGATGTTGATAGTATTACTGGGTCACACGCACATCGCGTCCGTGATAAAGAATGACAGACAGCACGGAAATGATACCTTTACAAATGTTCATACATTGACTTGACCTGTCTATGGTCACTGACTTCTGCCAAAATTCTGTTTATGTATAATAATAAAACAAAGACTCTCCGTCGTAAAGAGAGCTCTCTCTGTCTCTGTCTCTTTTCTGTTCGTCCCTTTCAGTCATTCTATATATCTTGTGAACATCATCATCTTTGGCCCCCGTTCTTCCCACCCACAGCCTCTTCCTCGTCCCTATACCCCCCTTCCTCCTCGTTCCCCCACCCATCATCCCCCGCCGTGTCCCACAGCGAGATATCATCATCATCCACCATCAGCGCAGCCGCGTCATCCGGATTCATCAGCCTGGCATCCTCGGCTCCAGCCAGAGCAGCCGCCAGCGCCGCCGCCGCCGCCGCCTCCTCGTCCTCGTCCAGATACGCCCCGCCACTGCCGCCCCTCGCCCTTCCGTCGAGCGGCCTTCCCGTCTCGGCCTCCTCCCGGGCCAGCTGCTCGGCGCGGGCCATGGTGCGGCGGTAGATGACGTAGCCGACGCCGATGCCGACGCCGGCGCCGATGAGCATGGAGAGGTAGTTGACGAGCCTGTCGCCAAAGCCCATCTCGTCGCCGCGCTCGGCGAGCAGGGCGAGGCGGGAGCCGATGAAGACGTGGACGAGCAGCTTCGGGGAGGCGAGGGCGGTGGCGAGGGCGAAGCCGGTGGTGCGGATGGAGGGCACGGTGGCGAGGAAGCCGTTGGACAGGCTGTAGGGCAGGGGGCAGAAGCGGACGAGGGCGAGGACGCCCAGGCCGTCGTGGCGGAGGACCTGGCCCAGGGCGACGAAGCGGTGGTCGGTGCCGACGAGGCGGTCGACGTAGGCGGAGAGCACGGTGCGGCTGGCGACGAACGCGGCGGAGGAGCCGGCGACGGTGGCGGAGGCGACGATGGGCCAGCCGAGGGGGAAGCCATAGACGAAGCCGGCGACGGTGCAGGCGGTGCTATAGCCGACCAGAGGGGGGAAGGCGACGAGGAAGGTGAGGACCCAGATGATGAGCCAGCCGCCGGGGAGGGCGCGCCACGAGACGGCGATGGGCGCCAGGAGGGTGAAGAGGCGGTGCGAGAAGATGAGGAGGGTGATGGACAGGGCGAGGATGAGCACGCCGGCGGCGAGAGCGAGGAACTGCTGGGTCGGGGAGAGCCCTGCGTAGACGGCGGCCGAGTGGTCGTAGAGATTGCGCGCGGCCGTTACGGAGGTGGAAACGAGGGCGCCGAGCTGGGAGCGGAGGTCGGTGGGTGTGGTGGCGCTGCCCGAGTGGCGCCGCCCGTGTAGACTATAAGGCGTCGAGAGGCGCCGTGCAGAAGAGGCGGACGGGGTGGTGGAGGGGCGGACCCAAGGCGCTGCTGCGGGTGTTGGGGGCGCATCGTGCTCGTCGTTCAAGTCGTCGCGGAACGGGGTGTGGGAGCCTCTCGAGGGAGGAGGCGGAGAGGAAGACAAGGAGGATAAGGAGGACGAAGACGGTGTCTTGTTTTGTGGTGATGAGGAAGCGGACAGGCCGGCTGCCGCGGGTTGATGGTGGTCGGCTGGCATGGTGTTGACGGTTGAAGAGAGAGAGAGAGAGAGAGAGAGAGAGAGAGAGAGAGAGAGAGATCTTTCTGCTGTCAAGTTAAGGTTAGCTTTCTGCTCTTCACTCATGGGATTCGCTAGATTGATGGATGGATAATACCTCAAGTCCTTCCTATCGTAATAGCACAGCTTGGGAAGCAGTAGAGAGAGTTGTATAACAGTAGTAGTACAAGAAAACGGAAGCTACCTCTGTGCAGCCATCAGGACCAGCAGGAAAAGAACAAGAAAAGAAGAAGTTGATGATTGTAGAAGAGAAATCGTGTTGTTGGGCAGAGCCCAATTGGCAGTAGTATTTCTTGTTGCTTTCTTATTTTCCTTGCTTGTCTCTTCTTTTCTCCTTCTTCTTTTCTTTGGTAGCTTGTCGAGCTGAAATGGTTGAGGAAGAGAAAGAGAGGTGACGTGTGAAACTGTTTGAATACTAATACGGCAGCAGTAGTGCTCACACCAAGGCTAGTGGTGGTGGAGGCGCAGCAGGCCCGCCGTACAGTACGTAAGTACTTGATATGCACTAAGCATAAGCATCCGCCTCCAAACAAAAAGCTGGATCCCTGCTTCTCTTCCTCTCTTTCTTCCCTCTCTTGATCTAATTCGCTCTTCTCCTTTTCTCTTATACTCTCTCTAGTAATCAAAAACGGAACAAGTTTTCAAATCGTGTTAGAAGGTGATCATTGTGAAAGAGAGGTCAAGTATAATAGAGAGTGGAAGAAAGATATACACGCAGAAAGTGACATGCTCTGTAGAAATGGCGACCCAGTTCCCTTTTGGTGATGTTACTGTTTCACGGGGTCCGTTTTGGATTGTCGCAAACCCATTCATTCCCCGAGGCCAGGCCATCTTCCGTAACCCGAAGAACAGAGAGAGACTCACTTGCCTACTATGGTACTATAGTAATATTATTGGAACGACAACCGTGCATATTGTCCCATACTGATCGATTGATCTGCCCTGGTAGATGCAGATACATCATGTATGCAGGTGTGCCTTGCATCTTTATAGTCGTATTTTATGTACATGGTAGCTTTGAATTAAGTACTCCGGGAGCCTCCAGAGCTGCGGCAATTGAGATCCGATCTGGGGTCTGCTATCAATTATCAGCGGGTAGATCTCCTGGATCTGATCGACAAGGTCTCGACCCCAGATGGAGGGGGTTTAGCCATGGTCTGCTGCATTATTCGACGCCGCCAAGACGACCACCGTCTTCTCTTCTCTTCTTTTTTTTTATAAGTATTCGGCCCTTGTTTCGTCATCATCATCATCATCATCATCATCATCATCATCATCATCATCATCGTTGTCATTAACCTCAAGTCAAGGCCCACCGCAACAGAAAGACGGCTTTAATGTGACTTTAACTTTATTCTTAGTTGACTTAATCTTCTGTTCTTGTCTTGTCTTGGTCTTCTCTTCTTCCTCTTCTTCTCATGTAGGTCACCGACTCCCTCTAGGCCCCTTAGGAGGCTCTTTACCGATTGTAGTATCACGCACCAGAAGCTTCACCTTGCCCTCTCCTATCTCCACTCCCTGCGACAAGATATCGACCGCCTCCTTGGGCTCATCCCTCCGCGTCTTCAGCAGGCTCCTGTCGTAGCTCCGCGCGTCGATCCCTAGGATCCCGCCCATGCTGTTGCGGTCTCCCGGCACCGAGAACTCCCGGAAAGCATACCGCCACTCGCTCAGGAAGCTGCGCACAGCCTTGCCCACCTTGTCCTTACCGTTCTTGCTGTGGTGGCCTGTTCCCGTGATGGCGTACACCGGCCTGTTATCGTGCTCGTTCTCCAGCAGCACTCGCTCCAGGTACTCCACCGCCTCCTCCGTATGAAGCCCGTGCAGGTCTACGTAGATCTCGTTGCTCGACGAGCTGCTCTTATTGCGCTCCTCGTATAGCTTGTCTGCCGCCTCGCGGTGGTATCTCCGCATCAGGTCGTTCTCGCTCTGCCCTCGGAGGCTGAACACCTTGGCCTGCCGTGCATCTTGACGGTTCCACGCCTGCGCAGCACTGTAATTATTTTGATTCTTTCTTTTAGTTCCACGGTCTCTCGTATTTAGGGATCCTCGATCGAAAGGAGGAAGAAGGAAGAAGAAGAAGGAGAAGAAGAAAAAAAAGAAAAAAAGAGCACCACTTACTTTTGCAGGAACTTGTTCCTAAGTGCGCCGTGCCTGTGCGCTTCGCCGCGAGCCTTCATGTACGCCTTGTTCGTGCCCTCGCCCGTCTCTAGCCATGGGATGTGCTTCGGGCTGGGGATGGCCTGCGCTGCCGCGCTGTTCTCTCCGTTCCGCCCGCCCTGCGAGCTCCCGTTGCGGCTCATTTTCTTAGATGAGTCAGGCCGCGAGGCTGGACCGGGCGATGGAGCCATCTTGACGATGTCGGCGAGGGAGCTCGGAGTGTACGTTTCCTTGGTCCCGTGTCCATGACCACCCCGCTTACCGTGGTGCTTCTTGCCCTGCTTGGCCGAGGCAGAACCAAGACTTGGGAAGGCTTCATTGTCATCGAGCAAGAGGGCTGCCTGGGCGGCCGCGGCCTCCTTGTTCTGTTGATGTCGGCTACCCGGGCGAGACCGCGAACGCGGCTCCCCTGGGATGTTCTTGAAGCCTGGCGGCGGTGCGATACCAACAGAAGGAGTAAAACTAGGGACCGCGTCCAGATTCAAGGATCCGAGCGATGGGAAGCTAGAGTAGTCCTGAACCTGGATGTTGGCAGGCGACTTTTGCGTCGGAGGGGTGCTCGTGCCCTCGACGTTCAGCTTGTTCATGAGATGAGCCGGATCGTGCGAGAAGATGCACGTCTCTCCGGCCAGGCAGTTTCCAGCGAGCCAATATCTGTACAGAGCGGAGATGGTCAGCACGTCAGCCAGAACTCACAGCCAAGGGAAAATGGATTTGGGTGCATGTGTATGTAGATAACTCGCCTGCAAATATGACCGCTCAGGTCGTGGCTGAAGCGGCAGTCCGCGCGCATACAGCTACCAGACGACAGGAAGAACTTGCAGATCACCCCTGACTTCTGGTCTGCCGGGGTCGTCGGGCGGGCGTCTGGGGTCATAGACTTGCCGACTAGGTAGCCATTGGTGTCTGCCGAAGAAGCCGGGGGCGTGTCCTGCGAGTCCATCATGGACATGAGCACTGCGCCAAGGTCGTAGCCGTTCTCAACAAGCGCCTGGCTGATCTCCTCATCCGTCCGCGACTCGCCGAGGATCGACCGCAGAACATCATGCGGCCTCATCGGAGCCTGCTGGGAGGAGAACTCGGGCGCGGCGGCGTTGAGACCGCTGGCTGTGCCGAAAGAAGAGGCTACACTAATGGCGTCGTCGGCCACGAGCCAGTCCACATTATCAGAGGTATAGTCCTCGAACGTCTCATGCGAGGGCTCAGTGTCGTTCGCAAACTCGTAGGCATTCAGGTTCGGGCTGTGCGGTATCGCTGGCGTCGAGAAGGCAAGTCGTGGCGAGGGGCGAGGTGAAGAGAAGGGGGAGGCGGCAGACGAGAGGGTACGGCTGAAAGGAGGAGCGAAGCCTGGCGGTGCGAGAGGGCTCACACCGAGACGCGGTGAGCCGGAGAGGGGCGTTGCTGTGCTCCTGAACGAGGCTGGCGACGGCCGCCTCAGGATGGTCTGCCGGATCACGGGAGGAGAGGCGCTATTACCACCTCCCTCCTTGAAGCGCCAGAGCACGTCCAATACCGCATTGTCCAGTGACTGACCGGTCAGCGTCGTCTCCTTCCTCAGCAGCTCCTCCAGCTTGTCCGCCTTGTCCTCATCTTCTATGGCCGAGTCCTGCAGGACTGGCAGGCAGATCTCATACGTCTCGTCGGAAACCATCAGGGCCCTTTTCTCGTTGGTTTCGGTCTGGAGGGAGGGGAGTTCTTGGGTTTCGATGCGCGCAGGTGTGGAGTGTGAACGAGTGTCTGTGTCTGCCTGCGCGTGTGTGTATATGCGGTGTGCGTGTGTGAACACAAGGGGAGAAGATGATATTCGGGATTACGGCTATGGAGCTGTTATAACGATTCGGCTGCGACCTCGGGGAGGACCTGGAGGGGCATAAGGTGACAGGGCTGAGTTGTGTGTCAGCCCCCGGAGAGAGATAGAGAGACAGAGTGACAGGATCAAAGTGGGCGGGCGTGCTGGCTGGGGTGACGGATCGCACCAACTCGAAAAGGGCAGGGCGTGGGAATAGAACCCTCGTTCGGTTCGCAAGAGGATCGGAGGGTCCGTAGCAGAGATGATGTCGATGTGGTTTTTATTCGGTCGGGGGCGGAGGTCGATCTATGGGATGGGGGCTCGGGCCGTAGGTCGATGGTGAAGCCTAGGGGCATCGTGCTGCTTCACAGGGTCTCGAGGGGCATTACGTAGTCGTGGTCGGGCATACGGCACGCCAGGTGTGACAGAGGATGCTACTGCGCCTGCTGCTGAGTAGAGGTTTCCCCTAGAAGAGAGCAAGGCTTTAGAGAAAGATAGAGATAGAAAGTGAGAGGGCGCGAGAGAGAGAGACAAAAGACAGCCTACCCTGTACAGGTGGTGACACGGCAGGGGCGCCTCTTTGCTGCTGACAGGACCAGGAAAGAGCTGCAGGGGAACCAGGCAGAGACAACAAGCTCTCCTGAGTCAGCCAAGATAAGTCAGGTAAGTCGATGTTCGCTGTGCAGGGCACAGGAATAGTATCAAGGGTAAGGTCAATCAATGATCAGGGCTGCTCAGTCAGGCTGGGTGCCACTCTAGTATGTATGGGTGTGGGTGGGTGGGGGTCTGTGAATGTATTGGATGTGTGGTATGTGTAAAGTACAGTGGTTTGTTGATGATGGTTTCGCCTTTCCAGGTGTGTTCAGCTCTTGAGGTGATGAACAACTGTTGGGTTAGTCAAGGCGCAGTAGGTAGTAGTCACAGATGCAGTGATTCACCCTTGGCCCTTGGGGTTGTCATGGGGCCAGGGGGGGCGGGCTATCGGGGTACCATAGTACTGTGGAACATTATCTGGTACCATAATAGTACAGTAGTAGCATACAATGCCAATGTACTATGTACAGTAGTGCCCATGTATCTAAAGGGGCTAACAGGGGTAATCGTTGTATGACATATCCCTCTACCTTCTTAAGCAGCCACTCCGGTGCATTGCCACGAATTAGCCGCCCAGGTCAGTTCACTACCCAGACAGAGAATTGTTTGACACTGGGCATGTCAAAAAAGAGTGAGACATCGATGCAGGCTGTAAAATAGACAATTCATATCTCCGTAGTGTACATGTAGCCTTACACAGGATAGCTGCTTTGCGTGCTCGGGTGCTCGGGTGCAAGATGCTGCCTGACTTGCAGCGTCCATCCACATTTGGATGCATTGCACAGAGCATCTATGAACTGTATCAAGCAGTAGTTGCACAAGTAGTGCTTTATAGTATCTCAAGGCACCTCATCCTCATCCTCATCAAGACCAAACCCGAAACTAAACCCCCCTCCAGACCCCGCTTCCTGCTCTGCATCACCAGCGATGGCATCATCCCACTTGCGCTTCCTCCTGCTCTGCCTCTTCTCGAGACCCAACAGAGCCTCATGGAGCAATTCTGGGAACTCGATTTTGAGGCGCTCGACAAAGAGACCGTATGGGTCCAAGACGTCACGCTTGAAACCTGTCACCTGGTCCGGCTTGTCCTTGAGGAACTCCAGGGCATCGACAAGGTGTGACTTGGGCACAAAATTCTGTGTCAGCGCGATACCACTCTCCAGGTTGACAACAAGATGCCACCATCCGCTTGGCACGTGGAGGATCTCTCCGGCCCTGCAGATCCCTTCGACGCACTCCGGCAGCTGCCGTGCCTCCTCGTGAAACTCGAGCAGCCATTCGGCGATGCTCAGGGGGCTCGTCACTTCGCTCTGGTCCCTAGAGACATATACTCCGGGAACATCAACATTCGGCGGGAACATGATCCAGTACTTGGCACCTTGGATCACCGCATTCCAGGCCGATGTAGCGTTAGGATCCTTGTGAAAGGTAGATCCGCTCTTCGCCGGGCCGATGATCAGCCACCGGTGGGCAGGTCTCTCTGAGCCCAGCAGCTCGAAGAGGTCTGGTCCGAAACAGTCAGGCTTCCAATACGCAGCACCCTCGTGCTTACCGACTGTAATCTTCATCTTCTCCGCAAACGCCTTGTCGAACAGATACAGAGGGCTCTCGTCTTGACTATTGGTCATGTAGTCATAATATGTCGAGAAAGGCCAGTCGACCGCCTCGGCGCGGAACTTGACGTCTGCACATGTCCTAAGGAGACACTGCATATTCCACTGTTGGCAGACCGGCCAGGACCGAACGCAGTCGGTGAGTATGAAGGGTGTGTCGCTCCATTTCTCCGCGAATTCATCATATGTCAGGTCCTTAAAACGCTTCATCTCGTTGGACCTCGGGATCTTAGAGTAGAATCTGTTGAGGGAAATTTGACTGCAGACAAATGGCCGGTGGAGGACATCAGAAAAGACAGTGCTGCAATCAACTTTCGCTTGCTTGTCTGAGGGGAGTCCCAGTAATGTCGATCGCCACGTTCCCTTCCACTCGAAAGGGCGCTGATTATGCTCATGGGACCTGAGAAAACCGTCAGAAGTGTAGTCTGTGGAAAAAGTTGTCGGAACCATAAAGGCACAATTCTTATTGTGAACGACTTGGTAGGGCTCAGTGACATGAGCTGAGCTGATCTTGAACCTCGGGCAGATCCCTATGGCTGTGCCCAAAAGACTTGTGAAACAGAGTTCTTGTGGGCGGAGGTAGGAATACGCAAGGTGAGTCAAGAGAAGGAATACGAGGGGCGGATGTTACATGACACATCCAGAGCACGTCTGACAACAAGCCAAACTTGGCCTTGTTAGACATCTGTACTTACGCTAAGAAAAGGGTTTTCCATAACTCCTCAGAAATAGAGAAGGCATACAGAAACTTGCTGCAACAGCCCAGTTGTCTGAGAGATTTTTTATCAAGATATTCCAGGAACTGGGCCAAAACCTCTACATGGAGCTGTCAGTTAGGAGAACATGCAGAATTGTGTCAAGAACAACAGTGGCAGAACCATACCATCTGGTAATGCCTGAAATGTTCCAATAGCCTCACGAGCATCGGTAGTCCCGGGTGCAAGCAGCTTGTTTCCCGAGGGTTTAATTCCCAAGGGGTGAATCGGTGACTCAAGGCCAACTTGCTCATCCGTAAGCCCTGCCCTTAGTCTATATCTGACGCTGCTGTGGCCTTGAACGGATCCTCCGCTATTGTTGTCACCAAGGACAATCCGAGCATCCTGGTCCTTTTGGAGAAGCATTTCTTTGTTGGCGGAGAAAGGGAGGGTGTTTCTTGGCTGGTGATGGGACAAGTCTCTATCCGGGGACAGCTGATCTTTTGGGAAAGAAGAAGAAGAAAAAAAAGCACTTCTGGCTGCTGTAATCAGTGTTCTCAGGAAGTGGATGCGGCTGTCAGGTCCAAAAGGATTGGTGGCGCGATGCTGCGACGCTCAGGGATGCAATTATGACAGTAAGACCAGTACCAGGTGATCTTAGGTTAGGGAGATTTCAAAAAAGAAATTAAAATAATTCTGCACAATCCATAATGTGACTCCTGGTATGACTGATATATCTCTTCTTTTGGCAAGAGGGGGTTTGTAGCAGCTGGTTGGTCTACAATAGGGAAGAGTCAGGTGAAAAGTGACCCTTAGCGAGGCATTGGGAGGCGAAGGAAGGAGAGAAAGAAAAAGAAAAAAAGTTTGCCCCACTATGGGGGATAGGCGATAGAGGGGAGGCAAGTGAGTTGGCAATCGATATCCAGGTTCTTAGCGCTGCAGCTTAGGTGCGACGCACAGGCCAAGTCCTGAGGCGGCACCCCAAACAAAAAGTCAAGCGGCCTGTCCCTCAGAAAAATCTTCCTCTACCACCTCCAAACCTCCATCAAACAAACACCAACAGACCATTCCACATATACCTCGACACTCGCTCTCTACCTTTCGGAGAGCATCAGGTCTAGTGTTTTTTCTTCTTCACAACTTTTCACGAGACGCGACTTCTCAGGGCTCCCTCTGCGAGACCACTGAAGTTCATTTCTGACAAACGCAACCCCACCTTCAATTCTCACAACAATTTCTAGGTCTCAAGCAGCGCTTGTGATCTAGATTTGCCATCAGCGACTACCGCAATCATGGCTACCGACAAGGGCCTCGAGGATGTTCCCGAGGGTAAGTTACACCTCTTGCCTCTCTCTTCTATCCCTATCAACATCACACCCATCACCTGAGCCTGTCTCAAGACCCCGCCCCTTGCTGCCAGACTGCCCCTCTGCCCACAAACTTTCTGGCGCGCCAAGGGTTGGCGCCCAACACCACCTCTCCGCCTGCACAGGCAGCGATGCGATAACCAGATGGCTAACCTGCAACAACAATACAGGTCAGATTGAGTCTAACTACGATGAGACTGTCGATTCTTTCGACGAGATGAACCTCAAGTCCGAGCTGCTTCGAGGTAAGGAGATCGATCTGCCCCCGCCGACCGCCATAACATGGATATACATGGCTAATTTGGGAGCAAAGGCATCTACGCCTACGGTTTCGAGCGCCCCTCTGCTATCCAGCAGCGCGCCATCATGCCTGTCATCAAGGGTAAGACACCAGATTGAATTCCAAACACTCGCATCCACATTTGCTTATCTTTGCACCACACAGGCCACGATGTCATTGCCCAGGCCCAGTCTGGTACCGGCAAGACCGCCACCTTCTCCATCTCGGTCCTGCAGAAGATCGACCCCAACCTGAAGCAGTGCCAGGCCCTGATCCTCGCCCCTACCCGTGAGCTGGCCCAGCAGATCCAGAAGGTCGTTGTCGCCATCGGCGACTTCATGAACGTCGAGTGCCACGCCTGTATTGGTGGTACCAGCGTCCGTGATGACATGAAGGCCCTCCAGGATGGTCCTCAGGTCGTCGTCGGTACCCCTGGCCGTGTCCAGGACATGATCCAGCGTCGCTTCCTCAAGACCGACGGCATGAAGATGTTCGTTCTCGATGAGGCCGACGAGATGCTTTCTGTGAGTTGCCCAGCCTTCACACCTTGGCGCACATGGGTGTTCTAACAGCCCTCTGCAGCGCGGTTTCACCGAGCAAATCTACGATATCTTCCAGCTCCTTCCCCAGTCCACCCAGGTCGTCCTGCTGTCTGCCACCATGCCCCAGGACGTTCTCGAGGTCACCACCAAGTTCATGCGCGACCCCGTCCGCATTCTGGTCAAGAAGGACGAGCTTACCCTCGAGGGTATCAAGCAGTTCTACATTGCCGTCGAGAAGGAGGAGTGGAAGCTCGACACCCTCTCCGACCTGTACGAGACCGTCACCATCACCCAGGCTGTCATCTTCTGCAACACCCGCAGAAAGGTCGACTGGCTGACCGACAAGCTCACTGCCCGCGACTTCACCGTCTCTGCCATGCACGGTGACATGGACCAGGGCCAGCGTGACCTTATCATGAAGGAGTTCCGCTCCGGCTCCTCTCGTGTCCTGATCGCCACTGACCTGCTGGCCCGTGGTATCGATGTCCAGCAGGTCTCCCTGGTCATCAACTACGATCTCCCCGCTAACCGGGAGAACTACATCCACCGTATCGGTCGTGGTGGTCGTTTCGGCCGAAAGGGTGTTGCCATCAACTTCGTCACCGCCGACGACGTTCGCATGATGCGTGAGATCGAGCAGTTCTACAGCACTCAAATCGAGGAGATGCCCATGAACGTTGCCGACCTCATCTAAACACCATCACTGGAAGTCGAGTCTTTCCCCCACATCCACTCGACGATTCAACTACACCTTCCGCGCATACCGGGGTTCCTTCAGGGCATAAGTGGTTAGTTGGCAAATAGAGGGAGAGGGGGCTGCGCTGCCAGACAGAGCTGGCATCCGCGCAGCTTGAGCGGAGAGGGTACGGAAACAAAAGTAGCTTGAGATTTTCTTTTTTCCAAAGAGGGATCGCGAATTCATTAATGCCTTTCAATTTTTGCGCGGGGACACGTGCTTGGCTGTCCACCGAGATATCTGGACTGATCTGCATTGGTGATTTTGTTTGCTTTGCCTTTGTAAAGTTCATTGCAAGTGAAATCAACCGTAAAAAACATGGCCTGACCACAAGGGAAAGCATTTTCTCTGATACCACCTGCATCTCCAGACTATGAAAATAAACTAGACACAACCTTGCATTATCACAGAGCCCATCAACATGCGAGACTTGGCTGGTCTTTAATTGATGCGCCCAGTGCAGCCGGCGCATATCAGGGTTGCTGTGTCAAATTCATCGAGAAGGTAAGTACACTCCTCCAGTACTGCAGTTGAGTATGTCTGGTGTACTCCGTTCAAATAGCACGGTATGGTATGCCCTTTTCTAAAGCCAGTTATAGTGCACACCCACTACGGAGCAGTACATAAAATCTTGTACCCCCTAGGACCTCACCCCTGCCTCCCGCGCTAGTAGAGCCCCTGTACCTTTCCGCAGCAGTCTCAGCTGCACTAGGTCCAAGCAGATAGCATCCATCATCTTCCCACAGGCGACAACTTGTAACACATCACAACAATATCACCTGCATACCATTTACAGTCCCGCATCTTAGAGTCTCCAAACAAAGACGCAATCGATCAACATCAGCAATCATGGATCGCAGTCTTGATGAGATCCTTGCAGACCGCGGTCAGGTACAGTTAACCCATTTATCCAAAATACCCTGTGTAAAGTCTGCTTATAGCTGCAGCCTTGCTAACCTAGCATCGCAACGCAGAAGGACGGCGGCGGCAGACCTCGCGGCCGAGGAGGCCAGCGCAGACGAGAGCCCAGAAGTGATTTCCCCCGCGATGGAGTCAGAAAGGTATGCAGATTCCTCGTCCAAGCCATCATTCACAGACCAAAGCTGACAAGATGAACCACCGTTACCTTCAGGTGCACTACCTCCTTCCCTTTCACTGAAAAACCGCGCCTGCATACTCTAGCCTCCAACACGTCCTCTTCGGTCCTCAACCACCGTTGTAGCTCTCTCGACACTATAGCGCGATGATTGTGCTTGGATTGGCGGCCGGAGGAGGTATTTCGTTGAGGCAATACCCAAAAGCTAACCTCTCTCGATTCGGCGCAACAGTCCTATCGCGACGAAGGTCCTAGAAACCTAGACTCGTATGACAACCCCATAAGTCCACCCGGTCGTGCTGGCAGCAAAATAGGAGGGACTGACCAATCGGCACAGAGAATGGGTCCACGACAGATTCGAGGATAATGGTATAGTCTGGCCTACCAAGATACTTACAAGGGAGCTTGAGCTGACTCGATGGGGGCAGGTCGCAGACCACGTCAGCAGCGGCGCGGGCGTGATCAAGACTTTGCAGACGATGCTGGGTTCGTGCCACACCTGTCTGATCAACCAGCTTGGCTTGGAAGACGGCATACTGACGGCGAGCACAGTGAAGAGATCGGCACCAAGATCCGCGTTGACAATGTCCACTATGACCTGTCAGAGGAAGACCTCTCTGTACGCATCTTCTTCGACATCAGATTCGGGCACACACTGATTGTCGCAGAGTCTGTTCCATAGGATTGGCCCGGTGCTGAAGCTCGACATCCGGTATGATCGTGCTGGTCGCTCCACGGGCACGGTGTTCGTCACGTACGAAGTCTACGAGGATGCCCGCGAGGCAGTACGCCAATTTGACGGTGCCAACGCCAAAGGTGAGCGAGATAATGAGCCAGATGGCTTCTGTTGCTTAGATACTAATATGTGCAGGACAACCTATCCGCCTGTCGATCCTCCCTCCTCGCAGACGCGACGACTCGAGCGCCATGGCCGGGCGGCCGCTTTCTGAACGCATCACCCTCGGGTCTGGACGCAACCGCTCCCGTTCACCAGTACGGGATATGGAAGATGAAGCCGCACGCAGGAATATTGATCGCTACGTGCCTGGCGGTCGTCGCTCCCGCAGCCCTGTGCGGGGCCGGCGGCGTGGCGAGGGGGGTCGTCGCCCTGGTGCTCGACGTGGCGGTGGCAACCCTCGAGAGGGCACAGAGAGGCAGGGTAGAGATGCACGTCCCAAGAAGACACAGGAGGAGCTCGACGCCGAGATGGAAGATTACTTCACCGCCCAGACAGCCTCTAACGCTGAGGGGCAGACTGCGGCTGCTACAGCGGCCGAGGAAGATATCGACATGATCGAGTAATACACGACTTTCTAGACTGGTTGAGCAAGGAAGTTGATGGAGCGTGGTCTTGTTGACATTGATCTGGGCCTGCTTATTCTTAAAGCTTGAATGCTTTCGTAGCCCGAATCTATTGTTCGACTCCTGGAATTTTTTCTTTGCAACGGTCCTGATGGTGAACTCGCATCAAGTTCCGTGCAATACCTTTTTATTTTATTTTATGGCCAAACAAGCCGATACAAAACTCTTGCGCCCCCCTCCCGTTAAACCCCCATCAGAACGTGCCTCCTGACTCTCCCGCCCAGTGAAGCCCCTCGAATACTCGCACATCAACTTAATTAAACAGCTCTAGCGTAAGATCTCCGTGAATATAAGCCTTCAACTCGATCTCGATCTCCAGGTTCATCTTCAGCTCCACGGCCAGCTTCGCCTTCTTCCCTCCGGCGACAATCTTCTGCTCCTGCGCCGGCAACACCACCTGCGGCAGGCGCCGCCCCATAATCTCATCTACATCCTCCACGTCGTCGTCATCCTCGTCATCATCATATTCATCACTATAATCGTCTGTCCGCGCAGCCGCTACCGTCCTCGGGGTGCGTGGCACGATGGCTTGCACTGGAGCCCCCGCGGGCTCACGCACCGTCTTGTTCCGCTTGGGCGGGATGGGGCGGGTCGGCATCAGCGTTATAGAAGGGCTTCTTGCGGGTGAGGACGAGGAGGGGGACGAGTCGGCGGCGGCTGGGTTCGTGTGTGTGCGGGGCCTGCGCGGGCGGCGGGCCTTGTACTCGGGTTTGGGGAGGGGTGGGCTGAGGGGACTGGTCCACGGCTGAGGGACTGGAGGCGTGGGCAGGTATGAGGATGAGTGGTGACTGTTGTCGCCCTCGGGCCTTGAGGAGGGCGTTCTTGTGGGTTTGAGCTTGGGCGGTGGTTGTATTGGTCTTCTCCGTCTTGATGAGGAGGATGGGTGAGTTTCTTCTGCGGGGTGCGGTGATGACGACGTTGCTCGTCGTGGATTGGGGGCTGTTTCGCTCTCGTCTGAGGCATCATTTTCTTCGTCCTCCTCCTCTGTGCTGGGAATAGTCTCATTCAAAGGATACCTTCTTCTTCTTCTTCTTCTTCTTCTCCTCCTCCTCCCGCCATTGCTGTTCTCTTCATCTGAGATCCGCCGCGGAGACGACGCAGGTGGTGTCAGAGGCATGACGTGCCTTGTGATGAAGACGATGACGACAACGTCGAAAGGGTTAGGGTCGGTGTAAGTGGCCCTTCTTGTTGATGACGATGTAGGGTTTGTTCTTGTTGTTGTTCTCTTTTCACGAAGCGTCTGTCTCGTCGAGTTCGAAGGGGAGGGCCGAGGGAGATCAAATATCACAATGAAGGGAAGTTCTAAAGAAGGAAGAAGATCTCCCATGTCCTGGCCGAGTGAGCCTCCCTCTTTTCTTTTTCCATCCCAGATCGACGAGGGTGGATGGGGCGGGTGGCTTCTTGGACCGTTTAAGGGTCCAGGGTGATCGGCAAAACGTGACCAAAAAACAGGCTTTGAGCATGGCTACCCCAAGCCTGACAGGGATATTTGGGGGTGGGCATCCCATCCAGGAACGATGACATCGGTGGGCTGAGGAGCCAAACTTTTCGCAGAATCAGGCTTTCTATTTTACTTGAACAGCAACAATAATAATCATATACACTCGATAATATGCTCTGTTCAGTCTGCTTGCCCTGATGGTAACAGCCCTTCTCCCTACCATCAAGAAATAAGAAGAAGAAGAAGAATAATAATACTAATAATAATGCACGCAATCGATATTGTTATATCTTTAAATAGTACTAAATCGTTGTTCACCATGCGATTCAGGTTACATGATCGACAAGGTTGCCAGGTACCCAGGGTCCTACCTTTTTTCTCTCATCGTCCCTGAATTGCTTCTAATGCGCCACTGCAGCTGCCAGGGATCAAGCCCATAAGAACACGAACAGATACAAGTTGGGCAAGAAAGAAGACAAGAAAAAGAAGAAGAAAGAAAACATATCGGGACCCTCCTGTGTCACTGTACCGTGGGATCTCTAAACCTTCCAATTTAAAGAGAAAAACTCCCATCGTGGCTCGGAATCTACCCGGCTCTCGATATGTCTCAAGAACCTTGGCCGAAGGAAGAATGTTTGACTCGCGACTGTTTGCTTCGGAGAACCGAACAAGAAAAGAGAGAGAAAAAAAACTCTCGTGTTCGGCGTCAACGACCTTGTTTGGAAAGGAAAAGCAGATATATATCCACACTTGCACCTCCTTTCCAGGACTTTGTCCAAGATCCTCCCCTGTTGTTGTTCGTCTTTTCGGGTGTTCCTTTGGTGGAGTGCACCAAAAAAGGAGTTGGAAGAGCCAAGTATGGCAGGATGCATGGGGACCATGTTCAACGAGACATGTTTGGGATATAGCATGTGGCATTATGCGTGCCAAGTTCACATGCTTGGACTCCTTTTCACGAGCCGATGCATGCCGTTGGAAGCTATCCGAAGTTTCCTGACCAAGAATGGGTTCAAGAAGCCTGGTTGTGTAGATTGCCACAGCGGGTTTTTTCTTCTTTCCCCTCGGGGGGTTAGGGGGGGGGGGGGAGGACTTCCTCGTGAGAGATGATCCTTTGATTCTGAACAAGATTCTGCGTTTCCGAGGTCACATGTAGTGTCCTCTTCATGAGGTCTTCTCTAGAGGAAAGAGGGAGAGAAGGGCCCGCAGTGTACAAAATGGCAGATATACAAGGGCCAAGACTTGCCTGGCTGAAGACATAACTACGACAATACTGCCAGGAAAGGGAAGAGAATTTGGTATAAACAGTTTCAATGTAGCTATGTAAAATCATGGGAAGACAAGATGGAGGTGGAGGACAGCCTTGGGCTTGTAGATTGCGAGCCACGACACGATGCCCCATCCTCGAAACCCTTCTCTGGTCACGCGAACCAGGAAACCATCAACGCACAGTAAGTCGTTCAAACAAGAAATTCTGGCTGATCTTCGGCATATCATCGTGAAGAAAAGAGAAAACAAGGAAGGGAAAAAACCCCTCATCATCAGATACAGGTGGAGAAGTAGTATCGTGTTGCTTGTCCCAGAGAAAAGAGACCCCTACTCCGTCTTCTTCCTCTTCTTCTCCAGCCCCTCGGCCATGGCCACCGCCACATCCTCCACCGTCCTCCCCCTCTTCCTCTGCCCAACCTTCTCCTTCCCTAGCACCGTATCCTCCGAGACAGCCTTGAACACCCCAGCAGCGCCCCGAAAGATGTCCTCCTCAAACCCGCCCTCCTCCGCATGGGTGCGCGCAATCTCCTCCATCTCCCGCACCCACCTGTACGCCTTGGGCGGCATGTTGACCAGCGCCCCCTCGGTCTGCTTGACGCGCTGCGGCACCAGCTCCTGCAGCGCCTCCTGCAGTGCCGGCAGCACGCCCAGGCGCTGCGCCGTGGTGAAGGACTGCACCGCGATGGCGCTGTAGCCCTTGGACAGCGAGGCGAAGCACATCTTGAGCCCCGAGGACGCGCCGATGGCAGGACTGATGTGCCGCATGTTGAGCGCCGTCGACAGCGCGGCGCCGAAACCCGGTATGTCGGCGACCTGCAGCGGTCCGCTCGTCGGCAGCGAGGGCACGTTCCAGTCGCCCACTGCGGTGGTGGCGGCGGAGCCGGAGCTGGAGGCCCCGCTGGTCGGGTGCGGGGGCCCGCCCAGGATGGACCCGTCGATGAGCGTGATGGGCACCTGGGCGGCGTCGATGTTCTGGGCGATCTGCTTGATGGTCGAGGGCGCCACCGCGTTCATGTCGGCAAAGTAGAGTGGCGGGTGGGCCTTGGTGACCAGGGCCATGGCGTCGATGATGCGCTGGGCTGTCGCCTCGGCGTCGCGCGGTGGCACCACGGACAGGATGATGTCGCACGTCTTGACGAGGTCTGTGTCGGTCGAGAGGTCTGTCACCTGGGCGGCCTTGACCCTCTCGATCGTGTCTTTGCTGTGCGGGTTGTTAGCCTTTGCATAACTGTGGATGTTGTGATGGTGGCAATAAAAATTGGAGAGAGAAAAAAGTGAGTGAGGGGTCAACATGAACCCCGGCGTAATCATTTTCTCTCTCTCTCTCTCTCTCTCTCTGTGTGTGTGTGTGTGTGTGTCTCGCACATGATGAATAGATGATGGTGGTAGTCAGTCCTCTCACTTACCTCCGCCCTGTGCAGTTTGTAGCGACCGAGAAGCCCTTTGCGACAAGCAGTTTGGCAAGGCCCATGCCCATGTCGCCTATGGACAGGATACCGACGGTCGCTAGCTTTGCCGAGGCCATCGTGATGATAACGTCGCAGCAGGCAAGAACGTAAGTGAGTGTATATTATGGGCCCTCTCAGAATAATTAGTTATCCAATGAGTGGACGATTTAAGAACACTGAGGAGGAGGTGTCTCTGTTTCTTTTCGGTGCACCGCAGGCAGAACCTCTAAGTCGTGGTGATTGAGATGAGTAATATATCCAACACCATGTATGTAACCATACAAGGAAGTATGTGTGGAGGAAGCCTGTAAGACGCAATCCAGGGTCCTTGTTTTGTAATTGGCCACTTTTGGGCAGGGAGAGAGGTGAGCCGCATATCCGCCGCCTGCATTTATGATACATGACAGAAGTCATCTTCACCAGTCCCTTCTGCTTAACACTGTCTTGACAGTTGGCTGCTAATGGTCATATGGTGGATTAATGGTTTTCTTGATTTTATCAATATGCTGAAATACTTCGTCAATGCCTAAAGTTGAATTTCATGTTCGACCCATGTTTTCAACGACTTGCCCTCCTGCATTACTGGTTACACCTAATACGCCTCCATTTGCAAATATAGTAATACTGAGGAAAGAGATAGGATCCTCGACCCAGAATCTAAGTATTGTCCCATCTCATACTCGACCGACCATCGTCAAACATGGCTTGCAGGACCTTCTTCAGATTCTTTGGGCGGCCAGACACATCCACATCGTCTACACAGCCAAGCAACAACATGATCCTGTTTTTGTAGCAGTTGATTTTGAGAACGTCGACAAGATATTTTGAAAATTCAACCCAATAATCAGAATCAAACAATCGACTTGGCTGGGCAATATAGGTATCAGAAACATCGCCATGTCAACTTCGCAAGAAGAACTGATATAAATATACAACTTCGTCCCCGGTGAAACAAAACATTATCATGCAGCTCATCATCAAGTCCTTATTCGAAAGCCTATTATTGTTCATCGAAAGATGGTGGGAGACAGACCTCTAGCGATTTTCTTTCCTCCATGCTTGACAACAACATGAGATCTCTATCCCTCTACTCTTGTGAACTCTCTCCACAGGCACACTTGGATTGACAAAGCCCTTGCTTTTGTAGGCCTCCATGTCTGTCTTCTTGATCGTGCATGGATTTTTATTGCAACCATGACGAAAGGTCTCGTCTCAAAGGCTGAACCGTTAAGCCGAGTTGAGTCGGGCTGCAGCTCGAGGTTCGCTAACTTGTGGTAGGCTTACGCTCGTCCCGGGAGCATCAAGCTTTGTCTTCATGCTGTTGGTCGGCGAGTCGACGTATAGACCCTCTGCACTGAAGCCTCCGAAATGACCGGGGGCTAGCCAAGCCAGCTGTCTTTCGGCCGGCGCGGAATCCTTGCGCGAGGTTGCGCCCGTTTGACTGAGATCACCAACGCCAAAGATCACTGGGGGGTAAGCGGCCGGTGTCCTCGTATGCCCTTCAGACTCGCCCAGTGTATGGATCGGTCTCATATCACTGCACACAAAGAACTGCACAAAATCCCCAGGCTTCGCTATGGCGTCGCCGCCCTCTTCACTGCCGTAAAACGACCTCTGAAACCTCAACAGCTCGTCCTCCTCAGATTCCTGACCATAGCTCGTCTGCGGGTCCAGTGACAATAGCTTTGCTTTGGCACCCCATGCACCGCCACCGCTCACTGTCCAAGGGGGGGGGGGAAGAAATGGTCAGAACACAGCTTCATCAAGAGTCATTGTCACACTTACGGATTTTGTGAAGACGCGCTCCCTTGAGCAACATTCCACCAAGAACAGTGCGCTTTCCCCAAGCCATTCGCTCCTCTGTGCTTGACAGTTCAAAGGCCAATTTCTGAGCGGCTGATCCGAGACGATGGAGACCTGCGCCTCGGCGAAATCTCCACATAGCAAGTGCCATTGCCTCTCTTGAAGCTTGCAATGCACCCTCTTTTGGCGTGATAAGTCTCCCCGGAATGATCAAGGCCCACACGCCTATGCGTCCCGAGGCATTTACAGCGTCGACAGAGAATCGTCGCGCCTCGATCAAGCGAGGGATGTTAGCCTGTAATTCCTTCGAGGCAGGCGAAGGCTGTCCGTCGATATTCACTTTGGCCAAAATGTTTCCGAGGCCCTGTAAAATCAGTCGGGGATGTGTGATGGGTACGAGGGGTGAACGTATTGAAAATTTGGGAGAATCAACTGATACGGGAAGGTCGATCGTCTGAGAGCGCTTCTCTGCCATCCTCAACAGCTGGACTGAGGCAGCAGAAGACGAGTCTCCCCGGCCTTCAGTCTTCCATTCGGATACCAAAAGAGTAGTCCGTCGCCCGTTGTGAAACAATGTGTTGGCCAATGGGAGTGAGATCGATATCCTGGTGGCGGGGAGCCCTTTGCCCTCAACAGACACAGATAGGTAGGAGGGCTCAGCACTTCCCTGCACATGCTGCGTCGCGTCTGTTGTGTCGTTCCACAGACCAGGCAAGAGGGTGTCTAAGCTACCAAATTGTATCGACAGGCCCTCCTGCATCTCATGGTACAAGGGTGAGGATCTTGGGCAGAGACCGTCCACCACAGCAGCCAGCACGTGGAATCGGCTCATCTCATGGTCCCGGTTCCTATGAGCCAGCAGCGAAGACACCAGGGAGGCCATGAAGTCGGGATCAGTGAGCCATGAAGCATGTCTAGGACTTGCTAATATCACGACAGCATTGTCCTCTCCCAGGTCCTCCGAGATCCTCCCCAGTGGCGAGTTCCTGACAAGATCGAGGACAGAGCTCTGCCAATACCGTCAGTGATACAATCCCTATTCAGGAAGAATCCGTTGGTGTGTTCACCTTTGAGGCAGCCGGCGAAGTGAAAACGGTACGCCTAGGTCCGATCCGGTCGCCGCCGCTTTGGGTCGCATTTCCGTACCTGAAGTTCTTCAGATAATAGCCCGTGAAGCCCTTTTTCTCAGGATCGGGTACGTCGCTACCAAACTTGAAGGTCTTGATGAAATACGTCCGTGGAACAGCATTGGGGGTGGCCTTCGCGGAACTGGAGCTCGAGACGGCCTTGGATGTGCGGCGAAAGAGATTTCCACTTCCTTGGCTCGCCATGTTCCACAGTCTTGACCCAGTTACTGGCTTAATCTTCGTCTTGCTCTGCTTGTTTAGCCTTCAGCTTTCTGCTAGCTGCTAGATTTACGTGCTCTGTCGCCTTTGACAGTGTCGTAACTTAGTACATTCAAGGGGAAATATGGTGGAGAGGCATAGTGGGTGAAATCAAGGGTTCGAAAGGGAAGTAGAAAAAGAAATCCAAGATTATGTGGTCGTGGGATGATTGTTTGATGATGGTCCAAACTTGGGATTCATCAGCCAGAATTGAGAAGATGGCAGATGCTCTGAGATAGCAGGTGCTCTTGAGCCACACGGAAGCTGGAGAATTTCAGTTGGTTTAGTGGGTCGACTTTTACCACGGTACTAAGATTGTATAGTATTCAGTGTTGTAAATAAGTACTTAAGGTATGTACGTACAGTACAGAGTAACTAAAACCCCTGTCGACTACCCCGCGGCTGCAGGTACCTTCCTTCAGGTATCCTTTAACCCCCCACCCCCGGTAGTGACTCAACTTTTGGCGACCAGTCATAGTTTTACTGTAGAAGCTCGAATTTAAGTGCCGCTTCCCAACTGCTCGACAACAAGACCCGGGCCACACTTTTCTCCTCTACAATTTCCGCAACCCAAGTCCATTGATCGCAATCACGCTGTCCCGTCTAGTATTCCGTGCACTCTTGGTGCACTCGTCAGCACTTCGACGATACCAAATTCTGCCCCGTCGTGCGACAATGGCTACCAACTCTGCTCGTGGCAACCCGTGAGTCGTCTCCAACCCCTCCCTTCCAGATTGGTGCCCATGGCCCACACGACTAGATGGGTAGGATCCAGGAGAGAAATCATCACTCGCTGACTTTCCAATTCCTCTAGGATTGCCGCTGCGGACGGCCCACAGGCTGAAGGCCCAACTCCCCCTCCTGCATCAAGCGAGACCAAGGCCGCCATCCAGCAAACCACACCGAGTGGCGCAACAGGAACCCACCAGACCGGTCAGGACGCGGGCGCAGCATCTGCAGCCGGGACTGGCAAGGTCAAATCTGCAAAGGAGCTCGAGAAGGAGCGCAAGAAGGCCGAGAAGCTCGCCAAGTTCCAACAGAAGGCGGCTGCCAAACAGGCGGCCCCTACCAATGCCTCCAGCAAGAAGGCTGAGAAGAAGGCCAAGGCAGAGGAGGAAGCCCTGCCGGCGTTTGTCGAGGACACTCCCGTGGGCGAGAAGAAGCGCCTGAAGCCCCTCGACGACCCTTATTACAAGGCCTACAACCCCGTTGCTGTCGAGAGCGCATGGTACCAGTGGTGGGAGAAGGAGGGCTTTTTCAAGCCCGAATTCACCGAGACCGGCGATGTCAAGCCGGCCGGAGCATTCACTGTCGTCATCCCGCCGCCGAACTGCACCGGCAGCCTGCACATGGGTCACGCGCTCGGCAACAGTCTTGAGGACATCATGACGAGGTGGCAGAGAATGCTGGGAAAGACCACCTTGTTCCTCCCTGGCTGCGACCACGCCGGTATCGCAACCCAGAGTGTTGTCGAGAAGATGCTGTGGAGGAGAGAGCAAAAGACCCGCCATGATCTTGGCCGAGAAAAGTTTCTCGAGCTCGTCTGGGACTGGAAGCAAGAATATCACGACAAGATCAACAACGCCGAGAGGAAGATGGGCATCTCTACGGACTGGTCCAGAGAGGCTTTTACCATGGACAAGAACTTGTCCGCAGCTGTTGCCGAGAACTTTGTGCGTCTGCACGAGGAAGGCATTATTTACAGAGCGAATCGCCTTGTGAACTGGGACTGCACGTTGACGACTGCGCTGTCCAACCTGGAGGTTGACCAGAAGGAACTTACTGGCAGGACTCTGCTTGATGTACCGGGATATGAAAAGAAAGTTGAGTTCGGGTAGGTGATTCGTCCATTTTTTTTCCCTTCCCCTCTCAAGATCGTTGTTGTGTCTTCTCTCAACGACAACTGACGCCCATCTATAAAGTGTTATTGTCCACTTCAAATATCCTATCCAGGGCTCAGACGAGACAATCGAGGTGGCGACGACCCGTATCGAGACCATGCTTGGAGATACAGGTATCGCCGTGAACCCCAAGGACCAGCGATACACCCACCTCGTTGGCAAATTCGCCACGCACCCTTTCATTGAGGGCCGGAAGCTACCTATTATTGCCGATGATTATGTCGATATGGAGTTCGGAACGGGTGCCGTAAAGTTGACGCCCGGTCACGATCCCAATGATTTCAAGCTTGGCAAGGACCATAATCTGGAGTTCATCAACATCTTCACTGATGATGGTCTGCTCAACGAGAATGCCGGATCATATGCTGGACAGAGACGTTTCGACGTGCGGTACACGATCCAAGACGACCTCAAGGCCAAGGGCCTGTATGTCGACAAGAAGGACAACCCCATGAAAGTCCCCCTGTCCGAGCGCTCGAAAGACGTCATTGAGCCTGTCATGAAACCACAGTGGTGGATGGCCATGCGAGATATGGCTGATGAGGCTGTCAAGGTCGTTGACAATGGAGAGATCAAGATTCGGCCAGAGTCTGCGGAAAAGAACTTCCACAGGTGGATGGAGAGCATACAAGATTGGTGCATCTCGAGACAACTCTGGTGGGGCCACCAATGCCCTGTCTGGTTTGCTAAAGTTGAGGGTGAGGAGGAGGATACGTCGAACAACGAGCGATGGTTCAGTGGAAGAACGCCAGAGGAGGCAGAGGCCAAGGCGAAGAAGGCACTTGCTGGAAAGATCTTCACCCTGGAGCGCGACCCAGACGTTCTTGACACATGGTTCAGCAGTGGCCTTTGGCCATTCTCGACGCTAGGTTGGCCAGACACAGAAGCCGAGGACTTCAAGAAGCTATACCCAACTTCTATCCTCGAAACAGGCTGGGATATCCTTTTTGTAAGTACTACACCACACCTGCAACTCGCCTTCATCGGCGTGCCCTCCAGCAATGGACGAATGCTAACGAACTCCTAGTTCTGGGTTGCCCGAATGATCATGCTTGGCAAGAAGTTGACTGGAGATGTCCCGTTCAAGGAGGTTTACTGTCACAGTCTCATCCGTGACAGCGACGGGCGCAAGATGAGTAAGAGTCTGGGCAATGTGATCGATCCTTTGGATGTGATCAAGGGCATCCAGCTCGATGATCTCCACGCCAAGCTCCTCACGGGCAACCTCGCTCCAGGTGAGGTCAAGAAGGCTACGGCCTACCAAAAGCAGGCGTTCCCTCAAGGTATCCCAGAGTGAGTGATCCGGTCCAACCCCTCAGAACCTGAGTTTTGTAACTGACTCACTCCCATAGATGCGGTGCCGACGCACTTCGTTTCTGCTTGGCAGCATACACTACTGGTGGCGGTGACATCAACTTTGACGTCAAAGTCATGCACGCCTACCGGAGATTTGCTAATAAGATCTACCAAGCATCCAAGTATGTCATCGGCAAGATCGAGACTGCCGAAGGCTTTGTACCAGCAAAGACCAGAACACTTCAAGGCAGGGAGTCTCTTTCCGAGCTGTGGATCCTGAGCAAGATGAACACCGCTGCCAAGGAGGCCAATGAAGCTCTCGAGCAGCGCGAGTTCATGCGGGCTGCCAACACCGTATACAATTACATCTACGGCAACTTGTGCGACGTCTATATCGAGAACTCCAAGGCTATCATTCAAGATGGCACCAAGGAAGAAGCCGAATCCGCCCTGCAGACTCTGTACTCTACCCTTGAGGCCGGCCTCCTGCTCATTCATCCCTTCATGCCATTCGTCACAGAAGAGCTTTGGCAGCGCCTCCCACGCCGCCCCGACGACAAGACCCGCTCCGTCATGCTGGCCTCGTATCCGGTGCACCAGCCCGAACTTGACCAGCCCGCAGCGGAGAAGGCCTACGAGCTTGTCCTCGACAGCTCCAGGGGCATCCGGTCCCTCGTGGCAGAGTACCTCCTCAAGGAGGACGCACAGATCTACATCCAAGCATCCGACGATGCCACGTACAAGACCATCGGGGAGCAGGTCAACTCGATCCGCTCTCTCTCGGGCAAGGGCATTGGTGCTATCAACGTCGCCGGGCCGGCAGACGCTCGCCCGGCCGGCTGCGTCGCCTACCCCATCGGCGCGTCGGCGACCGTGTTCCTGCACATCAAGGGCCGCGTGGACCTGGACGCCGAGCTTGACAAGGCGGCCAAGAAGCTGGACAAGACCAAGTCCATGGCTGACAAGCAGCGCAAGCTGGTCATGGGCGCTGACTACGTGGCTAAGGTCGCCGTCGCGACCCAGGAGGCTGACCGCAAGAGGTTGGCCGACTTGGACGGTGAGGCCAAGGGCTTCTCGGCTACGATTGAGGAGCTCAAGCAGCTGAAGCTAGAGTAGATGCTGCTTGGGCATGTTGGAACCTCATACATTGCATAGACTTGATAATGGCAAAAATTCTAGGTGTTTTATGTGTGCAACTGGTCCTGGAAGAACGTAACCAATGATGATGATGTGCTACTTGGCTCTACTTGGCTTGCTGGAGTTTCTCTCAAGTACGAAACGCGTCATCTTCTCACTGCTCATGTTGATGCTTCCCTGATTTTTCTAATCAATGCTTTTCTTTTTTGTTTGTCTTCTTTCTTTTCCTCAAAGCTTCTAGATGCTAGGGATCTAGAGATGCAATATTCTACTTTGGACGACCGCAGCTGGACGAATTTCCCATGTCAGCATCAGTCAAGTCCTCATGCAGTCCAATTGTTCCGTTCCCATCGTTCCCAAACCTGTCTGCGGAACTCGTCCGTATCTTGCCACTCAAGAGTACCATCCAAGCCGGCTTGTGAAGATGCTGGCAGATAGACGACCTACGCACCGTAGCCGTTCTCCTTCAGCCAGCCCGCTACGTCCGAGCGATCACGGCCGAGCCATGCGATCTTCGAGCGAACACTGTCGGTGCTCTGAGCAAGGCTCTGGTCGTAACTGTATGCACAGTGTCAGCTTTGTGAACTTGCAAGCAAGATCCTATGTGAAAAGGTTCCTTTATTTGATCTTACCCGTTGGTACTCTTGTCCTTGAAAAAGGCTTCCACTTCCGCCAGCTGCTCGGGCTTCGTGAAGCTCGACGTCATGATCTGCACCATCGAGCCCAGCATAGACAACGCGGGGGGTAGTCGCCTGTAAAGCTCGTCCCAGTTCTCGCGCATCCTGCACACAGAATTAGTCTCATTGTTGTATGGCAACGTGGTCAAGTGGCAATTCAAAGAGGAGGCAGTAGATTCGCTCTGATATGCCTTGAAGGATAGGGTCGGGGGCGGAAGATAAGCTGAAAAGCGTAAGAAGAGAGCCAACATACCAGTTAAACAGAGCTACGATACCCTCGGGGTGGCTGCGCAGTCCGGACGTCGGCATGTAGATGTCCTGGTCCTTGACCTCGCCACTGAATAGCAGGTCAAGGGTACGCTTGATGAGCTCGGGCTGCTTCGCACGCCCCAAGCTGCGCAAGGCGGTATTCCGCTCGTCGCTGTTGGTCGAGCCCCGGTAGAAATCAAGAATCTTGTTGTACTCCTCCTCGCCACCATACTTCAGGGCCATTGCAAAAACGCTGCCACGAATGTTGGGATGAACGGCCGACTTGTCCCCGGCCATGTACTTGTTGAACATGTCCTTCGCAGCGCTGATGATTTGCTCGTCCCCAGACAGACCAGCACTGCCAAAGAGCAGCGCCTTGAACTGCTGCTCGACATGGCCATCATTGTCGCTGAAAGTCCAGCCCATCGCGTGTGCCTTGCCACTGACAAGCGAGTTGTGGAATTTCTCCAATCCGTCTCGGGCAGCCTTGTCCTCGAAGATCCAGGCAGACTGCACGGCAGTAAGGCGTGCAACGATCTCGTTCCAGACAACGAACTCATTCTCGGAATCGAAGCCCTTCAGGAGGCTCAGAACCCCAGACGTCTTTTGGAAGCCTGATGATGCCAGAGCGCCTGCGTCTGCAATCATGCCGGCGCGGTCCTCGACTGTCAACAGACCTTCCTTGGCAGCCTTGCCAAGCTTCTCGAGGCGTTCTGGAGCGTATGAGGTACGGTAAGGGCTCGTGTGGTCGGCGTTGAGCTTGAAGAAGTCGGTGCTCGAAATCTTGAAATCTTGCTCCCGCTGGTCGAGAACAAGAGACTTGTCGACACCGTCCTTAGTACGGAGACCGAGCAAGACAGGATAGATTACCTTGTCTTCCTCGGGCTTCACGTCGCCAGTTCGCAAGAAACGGTTCTGCTTCACATGAACAGTGTCAGGGCCGCTCTCTGAAACAGTGACAACGGGATATCCAATCTCCTTGGTCCACGAGGCCATGACTTCTTCGACCTTCTTGCCACTTGCATCAGCGAGAGATGCCCACAGGTCGCCAGTCTGCGTGTTGCCGTATGCGTGCTTCTTCAGGTACCGCCTGACGCCTTCGAGGAAAATGTCCTCCCCAAGGTATGTCGAGATCATTCGAAGGACACATGAACCCTTGGAATAGGAAATGGCATCGAAAATCTGGTTGATCTCGTCGGCCCGCTTCACAGGTACCTCGATTGGGTGACTGCTCCGCAGAGAATCTAGAGACAGAGCGCCCTGAAGGGTATCGGTAACGAAAGTCTGCCAAACGTTCCATTCAGGGTAGAAGGCGTTGCAAGAGTACCACGAGGCCCAGGTGGCAAAACCTTCGTTCAGCCAGAGACCTTCCCACCAGTCCATGGTAACCAGATTGCCGAACCACTGGTGAGCAAGCTCGTGTTGCACGACCTCGGCGACTCTCTCCTTAGTCGCAGCGCCGCTGGCCTTCTCGTCGAGGAGCAGATCCACCACACGGTAGGTAACAAGACCCCAGTTCTCCATTGCACCCTGAGCAAAGTCGGGAATGGCAACCTGGTCCATCTTAGGCAGAGGGAATTCAATGCCAAAGACTTTCTCGTAAAAGGCAAGCGTCTTAGCGGCCAGATTCAGTGAGAATCGACCGTGCTCGATGTCTTGGCCTGGAGGCGCATATACCCGGACAGGGACCCGGAACTCCTTGGTCTCGATGTAGTTCAGCTCGCCAACAATGAACGCGACCAGATACGTTGACATGAGGGGCGACTTGTTGAACTTGACGGCCTTCTTAGTCGAGCCACTGATGGCAGAATGGACGTCAGTCTCTGAAGCAACGTCCATGTTGCTCAAGCAAGTGAGATTCTTGTCGGCGATCAAAGTCACTGTATAGGTGGCCTTCAGAGAGGGCTCGTCGAAGCATGGAAACGACCTTCGGGCATCGGTGGGTTCCATCTGGGACGTGGCTAGTATGCCCTCGGTGCCATCGGACTTCTTGTACGTAGAGCGGTAGAACCCAGCCATCTTGTCGTTGAGCTGGCCAGTGAACTTGATCTCCAGCTGGGCCTTGCTACCCTTGGAGATGGCGTCCGCGAAGTCGAACTTGGAGACCTGAGTCTTCTCGTCGTAAGAGATCTGAGGAGAAGAGCTGCATCAAACATTAATGTTTTGTCAAGATTGAAAAAGCAGTATAAGAATATGATAATTACCTGACATCCTTGCCATCTGCGGAGATCTTGACGGAGTGAAGGTCGAGCTCGAGGGTGTGCAGGGAGATGGATTTGGAGTCCTCAGCGACGTCGAGATCGATCAGGACAGTACCATCAAAGGTCAGCTTAGAAAAGTCGGGCTCGAGGGTCAGGTCGTAGTGCTTGGGCACAACATTGGCTGGGAGAAGCTCCCGCCCAGTGATGTTGACCGCACTGGAGGGGTCGGCCGCGCCGGAGTGTCTGCACATGTTGTTTCTGCGGCAGGAACAGTACCTGACAGCAGGTCGGTTGTTGAGATGGGTTCTACGGGAACGATTGACGCGAAGGGGGCTCGAGGTTGCCCTGATGACAGAGTAGAGGCGAACGTTGAGAGATGAAGAGGCGTTGATGCTGCTATCGAGAAATCGCAAGTCAGCGTCTGCTCATATGGGCCGAGCTATATGTAGGTAAGAAAAGGCACAATAGTCCAGGGGAAGAAAGTAGTATCGTAGTATCGTTATAATCTGTCTTGCTGGGTCAATGGCGGGGAAGACGGCCAAGCTCGTACGTACAAGGAAGATCGCACGAGAGATGGCGATCCGTTGAGGCAATTGTGGTTCAAATTGGTGAGGAGTGGCTTGGAGATGGACGAGAGCCGCTGAGAAGTTGAAGAACGAGAAGCAGCCGATCTCAGAGACCAAGCGAGGGCCAGCGACATAACGAGCAGGGCGTTATGAACGAGGGGAAACGCCTCTAAGGTGCCGCGTGACGAGAAGAACCACTTGCCTAAGACTGAGCTTCTTGTCCTTGTCCTTGCATGTCAGAAAAGGAAGTGACAAGTTCTACCACCCATGATACATAGTTTAGTTGCCGCCTGTGGTTGGTCCCGTCGCACCGCCTGCATATGTGCTACGCTTGATAGGGAAGGCGGTCGGACACCCTCGACGCCCTGGATTTAGGACCCTTGACGGCCTGCTTGGCTACTGTAGGGTGCCCCTCCATCGACCCCGCCATGGTCAGCAAGTGACACGCCCAAGTCTACCTTCTCTCTGCAGTACGTGTAACTTACTTGATGACGTTCGAAATACGTCTTGACGCAGCAGGTAGGACAGTAGTAGCCAGTAGTGAAGTAGAAGCGTTATTTATATACATACTTAGTACGATAGGCGGCGGAAATCATAACTACAAGCAGGGTTGTGCGGTAGGCGAAGACGTTCTAGAACCACTGAAGCACTCCCTCACTTATTGCTCGATCGACCGGTCACGGAAGGATGGTTCTGTTGAACAAAACAAAAGCCTGGCGGCTGAAGAGTCACAAAATCACCGACAATAGGAGAAGTACGACGCCCTTCAGTTAGAATGAATTGACTCTGCATTACATTCTGGTCCGCCTACTGCACATCATCAAGCAGAGCCGCATCCCGAAACGGTAACCCGTAATTGTATTGTCTCCTCGTGCTTCGCCTTGGAAGGAAATTTGGGCGAGCAAAGCAACGAATGATCACGCCAATGGCATGTTGGACCACCTCCAGTCAAGGACACATTGCGAGCGGTGGGTTATGGAGTGACCTTGGAATGTTCCCGCCCCAGAAAACTTTTGAATAAAAGGGGCTCCGACAGCGGGTTCTCATGGAAGACTGTCCGTGGTAGGCCCAGAGAGATGGAGGCGATGACGGCGGCTCGGAAACACGAGATGTTCTTCTGCTGATGAGGCGGAAAATGCTTGTTAGTCCTCGCTCAGATTCGCTGTCTGCTGTTGAGTCAAGGGCTGAACTCTCGACAGTTAAGAAAAGGGCCGAGTACAAGCCATCTGTTATAGTGACCATCTTCAGACGGGAGAGTCTGAGCTCGTTGATTGGACAGAGCCATTCATTCTGAGCTCTAAGTGGTGCCAGGACCCAGAGTGGGTTCATAGCTTCTTATCAGGGGTGCTGTACCACAGTATTTCCCCCCACTTGAACATCACCCCACCAACTACGTACGGCCCCTCCATCTTACCTTTGGCGAGAAGCTTTTTAAAACGTCGAGGTTTCCTTCTACTGAACTCCCGTTTCCTACCCTCCATCTTCCCGTCTTCTCGATAACTTCACCATCCCTCTCGAATACTCTTGACGTAGCCAAATCTCTTCCAAGGTATGACTTCCAAATTTCCGTTCTGACCTCTTCCTTCTCTGCTGAGATGGATCGGCTCGTCTTGGTGCACCATCGGCCAAGGAGCTGCTGGGCGTGCAGCTTGAGGCATTATCACTTGCTGCCCCGTCACTGGTTGCGAGAAGGTGGGAGAGGGGGAGGTCAAACGATCTTGGCTGTTTCTTCCCGACCACCTCGGCCAACTGGTCTCTTGCATTCCGGCTCTCTTCGTCCTGCATCACCCGCACATACAAACACTCTTTCATTCATACATACACAAATACCCCGAGACGCAATTCGTCCTGTTGGACACATCCTTTCCCTTCAAGCCACAAACATTTAGAAGAGGCTCGGCACCCTGAAGAAGACGCTTGACTAACACTTGAATCTTCCCCAGTTACCGTCAGAATGCCTATCTCCAAGATTCACGCCCGTTACGTCTACGACTCTCGTGGCAACCCCACCGTCGAGGTCGACCTCGTCACCGAGACCGGCCTCCACCGTGCCATCGTTCCCTCCGGTGCTTCGACCGGTAGGTTCTCCCTCTCTCCTGTGCCTTTCATGATGAAAATATGCACATCTCGGCCTGATTCTAATCGATCATTTCAAATCAAAATATAGGTCAGCACGAGGCATGCGAGCTCCGTGACGGTGACAAGTCCAAGTGGCTGGGCAAGGGTGTCCTGAAGGCCGTCGAGAATGTCAACACCGTCCTCGGCCCTGAGCTGATCAAGGCTGGCCTGGACGTCAAGGACCAGACCGCCGTGGACGAGTTCCTCATCAAGCTCGACGGCACTGCCAACAAGACCAAGCTCGGCGCGAATGCCATCCTCGGTGTCAGTCTGGCTGTCGCCAAGGCCGGTGCCGCTGAGAAGGGTGTTCCCCTGTACGCTCACGTCTCCGACCTTGCTGGCACCAAGAAGCCCTACGTCCTCCCTGTTCCCTTCCAGAACGTCCTGAACGGTGGCTCCCACGCTGGTGGCCGTCTCGCCTTCCAGGAGTTCATGATTGTTCCTTCTGCCGCTCCCTCCTTCTCTGAGGGTCTGCGCTGGGGTGCCGAGACCTACCACCAGCTGAAGAGCCTGGCCAAGAAGAAGTACGGCCAGTCTGCCGGCAACGTCGGCGATGAGGGTGGCGTCGCCCCCGATATCCAGACTGCCGAGGAGGCGCTCGAGCTCATCTCCGAGGCCATCGAGAAGGCTGGCTACACAGGCAAGATGAAGATTGCCATGGACGTTGCCTCGTCCGAGTTCTACAAGGAGGACGTCAAGAAGTACGACCTCGACTTCAAGAACCCCGACTCGGACCCCAGCAACTGGCTCACCTACGAGCAGCTGGCCGCCCTGTACGCCGACCTCACCAAGAAGTACCCCATCGTCTCGATCGAGGACCCCTTCGCCGAGGATGACTGGGAGGCCTGGAGCTACTTCTACAAGACCCAGGACATCCAGCTCGTTGCTGATGACCTGACCGTCACCAACCCCATCCGCATCAAGAAGGCCATCGAGCTCAAGGCCGCCAACGCCCTGCTGCTCAAGGTCAACCAGATCGGTACCCTGACCGAGTCCATTCAGGCCGCCAAGGACTCGTACGCTGACGGCTGGGGTGTCATGGTCTCTCACCGCTCTGGTGAGACCGAGGATGTCACCATTGCCGACATTGTCGTCGGTATCCGGGCTGGCCAGATCAAGACTGGTGCCCCTGCCCGGTCTGAGCGCCTTGCCAAGCTCAACCAGATTCTCCGCATTGAGGAGGAGCTCGGCTCGAACGCCATCTACGCTGGCGAGGACTTCCGCAAGTCTGTTACCCTGTAAAGCGGGAGTTTGAAGGACGACGACGTCTTCACACAGACCAAATCATGTTGGAAGCGTCAATGAGATGAGGGAGCACGCGTGTTTGATTTTGGCCGGTAGTTAGTGAAGCGTGTCCAGCATGCTCCGCCACCGAAACGCAGATGAATACTCTGCGAAGCATTACCTAAGAGAGATGCCTCAACAATAAAAAGTTATGATGACCATGATTTGACCTTTCCCTGTCACGTCCATTTGCATTGTCGAAAGTTGCACGTGAGGAAAAAGAAAGAAAACAGGCGACAGTGAGAATAGATTGCAGTCAGAATGGATTGTAATAGACCATTGCACTCATACATGGTAGATAGTACGTTGCACTTTGCTTGCCGATGCGTTGGCTCAAAGTGTTTCTTTGGTTGCATTAGCGGAGTGACGTGTACGCACGCACCACATATAGCTCCATGGTACTGTACATGGCTTCGCTGAGAAGCCCACACCACTGAGCAGGTGGGTTCTGGTGGGGGTTGCCAGGGCAACGCGCAGCCAGTAAGCACCCTTGACTTTTTGCTGCCAAACATCAACATCAGAGCCTGGATTAGCCAAGTTTTGATCATTACTGCACTCGCATACAAGACAACACACCTCGGACACCTTGACCGGTTTCTCCATCAATCATAGAACTCAACCTAATTAGATCTTTTTCAGCGATAACCACATTTTGCTCTTCCCCCTCCTTTTTTGGTCGAATTTGATTGCGAGCCAGCATAATCGCTGGCCAAAGCGAAGCGAGCAAGCACACACACTCTCACAAGCAGCATCATGGCTGCATCCGAAGACCTGATCAACTTCGACGTGATCGAAGCACAAAAAGAAAACATCCAGGCTCTCCCCTCTGGCCGCTCCGCCAAGAAACTTGCCGAGGTCTTCTCACCTGCCCAGCAACGCACAGCAGCAGCCACGACACTACCAGCAGCACGCCAGCCCCTCGGCAGCATCGCGACACCTACCAACGACGCCACCCGCGCCGAGTTCGAGGCCGAGGTTGCCGCGCTCGCCGAGTCCGACGATCCCCTGGACATCTACGACCGCTACGTTCGCTGGATCCTCAATGCATACCCCTCTGCGCAGGCAACGTCCGCCTCGCAGCTGCACACGGTGCTCGAGCGCGCGACCAAGACCTTCATCTCCAGCTCACAGTACAAAAACGACCCGCGCTACCTCAAGCTCTGGCTGCACTATATCGCCTTCTTTGCCGACGCGCCGCGTGAGACGTTTGTGTTTCTGGCGCGGCACGGCATCGGTGAGGGGCTGGCGCTATTCTACGAGGAGTATGCCGCGTGGCTCGAGGGCGCTGGGCGGTGGAACCAGGCCGACGAGGTGTACAAGCTTGGGATCGAGAGAGAAGCCAGGCCGCAGGCCAGGCTGATCCGCAAGTTTGGAGAGTTCGAGGCGAGGAGAGCTGCGCAACCAGAAGACATTGGCCCAGACAGCCCTGCGCTGCCGACAATGAGACCTGCGTTGGCGGCCAAAATCGACCCTTTCGCGGCATCGGAGAGGGAGCCTAGGCAAGCGGGGAGCGGGCTGGGCACACAAACGGCAAGGTCTGGCAAGCCAAAGCTGCAGATCTTCTCGGATGCGGACAGCGCTGCGGAGCCGTCGGCCTTGGGATCGCGCGCCGCCGGATCCAAGGGCTGGGACACGATCGGGTCTCTAACGGATAGGAAGAAGGAGAATTCTATGGCGCCCAAGCCTTGGGCCGGTGAGACGCTGTCAGCAGGTGGGAAGAAGAGCGGCGGTTCTTCCAAGATGGCTGTCTTCAAGGATATGGTGAGTCTGACCACATACTCAACTTCCCTTTTGTTCTCTCCCTCTCTTCTCTCAGCCCATGTGTTGATCAATATCAGGACTAATTGTTTTTTTGGTTGGCCACCTGGCCCTTTTGTAATGATATTCAGTCCAAAATCAGGTCTCAACTTTCCAAATCGCATATCACGATTGCTCCCTCTCAGTACCAAGTGACTAAGAACCCGGTAAATGGCAAGAAGGAGCGCGTGTTTGTCGATCTGCAGGCTGTTTACCCCAGTCCAGAGGAGCCAGGCACTGAGCTGAGCTTCGAGGAGATTTGGGCTGCGAACCGGGGCTGGCTGAATCGGGGGTGGGAGGAAGATGCGCCCGTTGCTGACTGTCCAGAGAACGACGAGAACAGTGCACCAGCCCGGATCGACGCAAAGCTGGTTGTCCACCATGATGTCGTCACGCTGGATGAGAATGGCCGCATCCTGGAGCAGCATCGTGATGGTCGGGGCAAGAAGAAGAAGGTTATGGAGGTCAATGAGACACAAATCAGTAAGACCAAACAAACCTTGGATACTCGACTTTTAGAACCATCTAACTTTTCCCCAACAGTCAAGGCGAATCTGGACTCGCCGTCTCGCCCCAAGATGAAGAAAAAACGCGGGTCTGTGTCTGAACCCACCATGACTATGCACACCAGGGCCGCCACAGACGACATCTACGACATCTTCAACGCACCGCTGAAGCGCCCTGTGGAGGAGCCAGAAGAAAGTGGTGACGATGATGACTATGAGACAGACAGCAACTATACAACCAGCAACGCAGAGAGCACCTGCACCACCCGCCGGATCTCTATGAGCGAGGCCGGCGATATAGAGGAGGACCAGATTGCCAAAGACGACGAAACCTCGGACGTGAGGAGCCTAAGCGAATGGTCCGACTTTTCCACGAGGCGGCATGTTCCCAATATTGATGATGGTGATGATGGTGAAGATGACGAGGACACTCGGTCCGTCGTGTCAGACCTCATCAACATTAGAGACGCAGACCCGTCACTGCGCTTCACTGAACACACCATCACAGGGCCTGAATTCGACGACAGAGAAGGGGATCTGGCAGGTGAAGACTTGTCACTGCCTAGAACGCGGACAACCTTCGTTCCTATCCCCCCTGAGGACTGGGTTCCCAACCCGAGGCCATATAGGGATCCGGTGGAGGTGGCTAATAACCGTCTGCCTTTCATGACGCCTATCACGGAGAGAACTGAGTCCTCGCTCGAGGTCGATTCTGCAGAAACTTATGACCGTTTTGGTGCTATCAAGACTCCTAGCAAGAGAGATGATAGCCTGCCGGAGGAAGTTGAGATTATCGACCTCGAGCCTCTGAGCAGTCCGCTGAGAGACGTCTTCAGCGAGTTCTCCCCGGTGAAGAAGTTTCCCTTGCTGCCCAAGACGAGAACTGCTCTGGCTCCCAAGGCTGTGGCGAAGCCTCTTGCGCCAAGAGGGCCCCTCATCAAGGACACTCAATGCAACCCTGTGGATGACTTGATCCGTAATGAGATTCTGGAGAAGATGCATCCTCCTTTGAGCTCGTATTCTGGCTTCTACGACCACCGGCATCAGAAGTACGAGAAGGGCAACGAGATCCGCAAATTCATCAAGGCAACCAAAAACACCAGGCACAGCACAGATCGGACGGCAAATCTCGGCATGACTGTCACAATCAGTCTCTCTGATGTCGAATCAGAATACACCTTGAAGAAGGAGCTTGGTGCTGGGGCGTTTGCACCAGTCTACCTCGTCGAGAATTCGTCTCCCGACGAGGAGGAAGACGAAGAGGCGCCGGCCGCCATGGGCAAGCGCAGCTTCGCCGTCGCACACAGCCAGCGCAGCCAGCGCAGCCAGCTCGAGGCGCTCAAGATGGAACTGCCGCCCACGCCTTGGGAGTTTTACATGATGCGACTCTCACACGCGCGCCTTGGTCCTCAGCACCGTGCGACGAGATCCCTCTCTACTGCCCTGGAGATGCACCTCTATCAAGACGAGGGCTTCCTCCTCCTGCCCTTTCACGCACACGGCACACTCCTTGACGTGATCAACCTCTTCCGTGCCGAGTCCTCCGGCGTCATGGATGAGACCCTTGCCATGTTCTTTGCGGTCGAGCTCCTGCGCACAGTCGAAGCGCTGCACTCTAAGCAGATTCTCCACGGCGACCTGAAGCCTGATAACTGTCTGCTACGGCTGGACAATCTCCCCTTGAGCAGCAGCAGCAGCAGCAGCAGCGGGGGCTACGTATCCAGTCAGTGGCGCGCGGACGGTGCTGGGGGGTGGGACGCCCGCGGAATCACGCTGATCGACTTTGGCCGCGGGATCGACATGCGCGCCTTTGTGCCCGACGTACAGTTCGTCGCAGACTGGAAGACGACGGCGCAAGACTGCGCCGAGATACGCGAGGGCCGGCCGTGGACGTGGCAGATCGACTACCACGGCCTCGCGGGCATCATACACTGCCTTCTGTTCGGCAAGTACATCGAGACGGTGCGGTGCGATGCCGGCGGGCTGGGCACGCAGGCCGGGCGGAGGTACAGGATCAGGGAGAGCCTGAAGAGGTACTGGCAGACAGAGATCTGGGCCGAGTGCTTTGAGGTGCTGCTCAACCCGGGCAGTGGTGACCTCCTGGAGCAGGAGGAAGGCAGACAGATGCCGATACTGAAGAGCATGCGGGGTGTGAGGGAGAAGATGGAGGGCTGGCTCGAGGCCAACTGTGAGCGTGGCGTTGGCTTGAGGGCGCTCTTGGGTCGAGTCGAGGCTGCTGCTAGAGCGAGGAGGGTATAGCGGTGTTTTTCACAAGTGTTGCGGTGTGGAAAGGAGACGGCGGCATGGACGCACAAGTTTGTTGGTGGTGGGATGAGAAGGAAAAAGTTGAGCGAGCGTCAATCGCTACGGCATTGGCGTACATATTTGCAAAGGCGTTTTAAAGAAGGGGTAACAATGTCAGCGGCATTGGACTATCATTTTTCTTTCTTTCTCATTATGTCTCTTTTTTCTTCTTCCCGATCCAGCTACTGAGGAAGTTTCTCTCGTTCTCGTGGTTTCTGTTGTACAGGTGTTAATATCCATATCATGCATGAATCATATATATACCCCTTTCCCTTAGCGGTCACTCCGAACCTCAGATGTAGATGAGCGTCCATTGTTTTGTACATGTATTGCGACCCATAAGTGAAGGTCATGTTTAAATCACCTGATGATTGCTCTCCAGGAGCAAGAGAGGGAGTAGTGGCCGGACTTACTCATCATCATCCTCATCATCTGAGGCTGCCTTCTTCCCTTTCTTCTTGCCTCGTCCTCCTCCCTTTTTTGCATCCTTGACAGCCTTTGCATCCACCTGCTGCTGCACCCGCTTCCTCTCCCCCTCGCCCTCCGCAGCCAGCCGCTTCTCCTTCTCCTTGAACTCGTCGCTCTCCGGATCCGCCCCGATCAGCCACTCCAGGAGCTTGATCTCGTCCGCCCACACCTTCTTGTCCTCGACCGTCTTGCCGTCGGGGCCCTTCCTGTCGATTGGTGTCTCGAGCACTAGGGGCATGTCCTGAAAACCATCATAGTTCATGATGTTGTGGAAGGCGCGCAGGCCGAGGAAGCCCGTGCCGATGTTGGCGTGCAGGTCGCGGTGCGAGCCGAAGGGCGCCTTGCTGTCGTTGACGTGCAGGGCGCGGAGGTACTTGAGGCCGACGACGCGGTCGAACTCGGCCATGGTGGCGGCAAAGGCCTCGGGGGTGCGCAGGTCGTAGCCGGCGGCGAAGCTGTGGCACGTGTCGATGCACACGCCGACGCGGGTCTTATCGTCGACCCGGTCGATCACGGCCGCCAGGTCCTCGAACCGGCCTCCGATAACGTTACCGTGCCCGCACATGTTCTCGAGCACCGTGACGACGCCGCTTCCTGCCGTGTCGGCGTGCGCCCTGTTGAGCTGGGCGGCAATGCGGGCCGTGGCGGCGGCCATGGAGTCGCCGCCCGTCGAGCCCGGGTGGAAGTTGTACAGCTTGATCCCGAGGGCGCCGCACCGCTGGAGATCGTCGACGAAATTGCCGTAGGCCTGGTCTGCCTTAGCTTTGTCGGGCTGTGCGAGGTTGACGAGGTAGGACCCGTGGGGAAGGACGTGGAGGCCTGCGGCGTAGCTGCTGTCCTTGGCGGCGGCGTGGAAGGCGTCGCGGGCGGCTGGGTCGAGAGGCGGGGAGGTCCATTTCCTCTGGGACTTGAGGAAGAGGGCAAGGGCGTTGCCGCCGATCTGAACGGCATTTTGGATCGAGTTCTGGACGCCTGGACAAAGATTGTCAGAGACTAGGTTTTAGAAATAGATATCACAGGAGAAATCATTTGCTCACCACCTGCCGCGCTCACATGTGCGCCAATGTACATGTTCTTCTTCAGCGAGCTGATGGCTGTCCGCTCCGCAAGGGGTGCCGAGTCGTCGGCCTTGTCCTTCTTGCTGGCTGTCTTGCGCTTCTTGGGTGCTGGCTTCTTCTTCAGTTCTTCTTCTTCGTCGGCCTCGTCATGGCTGTCGCACTCGTGATCCTCGTCGTCGCTCTCCTCGACCTTCTTGCGCTTCTTGGCAGACGACACTGCGTTGTTGTTCTTCTTCTTTTCAGGCGAGGCTATGGACATCTTTTCCACCTTGGACTTTGTGTCGGTCTTCTTGAATTTGCTCACAGCACCGTTGACCTTCTCCATGGGTTGGGTAACTGCCGCTGTGGCGGCGGCGGCCTTCTTGCGCGGGGAGGTTCGCGGCGGCATTGTGAGGTGTGGAGGGGAGGGGTCGGTCTTGTGGTGTGTGGTGGGGGACCAGCGAGCAGACCGTGTCGATGAGATGAATCGGCACGCTGGGATCGTTGGCGTCGAGAGTGATTGTCGGTGTTGGTGGTGACGATTGACTGTTAGAGGGAAGGGCCTGTGCAGCAGGGGTGCAAGCGCGTCAAGCTCGAGACGCGCCGCCACGTGAGTGTGGAAGGAGGTCTTGCCTGCAGCTGCTCCAGTCGTTCCAAGAACAAAGAGCTTCCCAACGACCGCAGAAGTTCTATGCAGCCTGAGCATCCCTTGGAAAAGAAAGGCAGCCAGCGTTCCAAGGACGCGATTTTGTGACAATCTGGAGAGGAAGAGAGGCGGTTGATTGAAAACTGAAATAATTATACAAAATTTACCGACCATTCTACTTAAGTATAACAGCGATTAAAACAGGAGACGGGCCACGCTTACTTGGTTCATTATACCAAATAGTACTGCCAATTCCGTATAAATCTTTCAATGCCAATATTATACTTAACCACTCAAATCACACATCCATTAATCTCTTTCTTTTCTCTATTCTCCTTCTTATTCCTTTTCTCCTCCCGCATCCCTGATTTGGACGCTATTGAGCCAATCCAGCGCCCTCCCTCAGACCCCAATGCCACAGTACTACTTGAAATACTTAGTACATAGTCAAACTTGGGCGGGGTAATTGGCAACAAGCAACCTCTCCAAGACTTCAGAATCTGAAACACCATAAAAACTGCCAAAAAAAATAATCACTGACTGCAAAAGATATTCGTGGTACACACACCTCGTGACAGATGCAAAGATGAAGAAACAAAAAGGTGGCAAAAAACGACCGCGACAAGATTCGAACATGCAATCTTCAGAGATAAGTTTAACAACCGAAATCTGACGCCTTACCATTAGGCCACGCGGCCGGTTGATTGGTAGATTTACGAAAGCTTCTACATTATAATTCCTCTTTGCTGTGCCGCGAGTTGGGGGATCGCAACTTCCCACGCGTCTGCTCCTCTCCTTCTTACTCTGAGCGCAGCCCAACCCGTCATGACGAGATCCGCTACGATGAGTCGATCAGAGCAGACCAAAGAGTATCCAATTGGAAATAGTCTTGATGGCTTTCGTACTACTTTTACTTCCTTATGCAAAGGGACAAAGATATCTGCACCCTGCACTACTGATACTCTAGGTCAATTTGGCCGAGAAGGTATGGTAGCCCGGTTCCGTTCTTGTACTTCTTTGATATTGGATTCGTTTTCAGATCTTCAGAACCTCACTTTGCCTCTTCTCGTCGCTCTGCAAAGCCATCCTATCTCAGGCTTGCTTCCTTCAATAAACGGACGTGGCCCCCTCCGGAGTGATCTCCTCAGACTCATCTCTGCCGTAACCTCCGACGACTTCGACCTCAGTCGCATTAAACCACTCCTCAAATCGGCCCTCTCTGACGAACCTGACGATTCTTTGTGGCACCAAGTCCAACGCGCTGTCACTGAGCCCACTCCACCTCCCCGCCCGGTCGCGTCTTCTATCTCTCAAACGCCGTGGCTGCGCAATACCAGCAGCTTTCCGAACTCATCCGAACACCGCAAATATGTTGATGTTATACTGAAGGAAGAGCTCGGCCCTATGTATGTCGGGATTCCTAACTTCTGGGACACATATTTCAGCGGCGTCGCCGATCTTGAGGTGGCGTCTGAGGCATTTTTCAAACAGTGCCTTACGGGCACCAGCCTACGCTTTCAAGACGGGTGGACTGGATGGCCTATGGAAGCGAAGCAGGATGATGTCCTCGCTTGGTTTATAGACTTCTGCGAGAGCCTCGCGGCATTTGCAGAGAGCTGGACAAGCGTGCCACGTCAGCGGAAAATATTAGCAATGCCTAATAAGCCAATCGATAGCTCTATAGGCAAACGCAAGATGGATATTGGCATCGTCAGCGACTCTCTATCGCTGCAAAACAAAACGTGTCACTGGTCTCAGATTCTGGTACCAGGAGAGCTGAAGAGCAATCCATCTGCCGACAAGCCTTCGGAGGCATGGCTCGACCTTGGGAGGTATGCGAGGGAAGTACTCGCCGCGCAAGATGCTCGACGCTTCGTTCTGAGTTTTTCTATCTGTGGGTCTTTAATGAGAGTATGGGTTTTCGACAGGGTCGGCGGTATTGCATTCGAGCAGTATGATATCAATGAAGACGGGTTTCGCTTCGTGTTTACAACACTCGGTTGTCTCTGGATGAAAGAGGACGACCTTGGATTTGATCCAACAATACTGACGGCAAAACATGAGCGCTTTATCGAGATCAAGCGAAACGATTCGATGGAGCGGATCTTCCTTGACGAAGTAATGCTACGAGTGCGTTGTATAGCCGGCCGGGCCACGACTTGTTGGAGAGCTCACCTGGACAAGAGTCCAGAGATGCGGCTTGTTATCAAAGACTCGTGGCAATATCCTGAATGCGACGAAGAAGGCGACCTATTGCGCGAGGTTATGGACAAAGGCGTTATCAACGTGGCTCGATATTATCACCATGAAACGGTTCAGGTTCGTCAGCTCGATGATGATATTCGGAACAATGTTCGACAAGGTCTTGATATTGCCACAGCGACAAACTGGCTCGAACGTTCAGCACATCAAAGCAGGCCAACAAGATATACGCCGCGGAGAAGCCGCACTAGCACAAGTACCATTGGGAAGCGCCCATCCAGCCAGACTGATTCATCTCTGCCTCCAAATAAACGATCCTGTTCATCATCTCCAACGAAGATCACCAGCGTGCTACCAAACCGAATACATCGTCGCATTGTTATTCGGGATTATGGCAAACCCATTTATATGGCAAGCTCTCGATCAGCACTGCTTAGCGCTCTGGAAGGCTGTATTAAAGGCCACGAGTCTTTGTACAAGGCAGGCATTCTTCACCGAGACATCTCTATCAACAATCTTATGATCAATGAAGACAGGAGTAATCCCTCCTGGCCTTCGTTCTTGATTGATCTTGACCTTGCTATCAGGGAACCGCGAGGTAATGCTTCGGGAGCAAAGGGAAAGACCGGCACAAGAGCTTTCATGGCAATCGGTGCTTTGCTTGGCGAGCAACATTCGTTTATGCACGATCTCGAGTCATTTTTCTGGGTGCTCTTCTGGATTTGTATTCATTACGGCGCAGAAGGTCAACTTGTTGGGGCAGTTGGATTTGATGACTGGAATTATGACCATGATGATAGACTGGTTGCGTCTAAGAAGGGGTTGATTGATGATGAGGAGGATTTCCTGCAACAGGCAGGGAAAAATTTCTCCTCGTACTATCAACCACTCATTCCGTGGGTTAACAGGCTGCGGAGAAAGGTATTTCCTAACGGAGGAAGGTGGAAGAGGCTAGAGCCGGAGCTCTATTCCTCGATGACTATGATTCTTCGTGAGGCCCGGGAGGATGAGGAGCGCAGGGTGGCAGACAACGAGAACGATAGCTAAGGGCACGGGGGAAACAAGACGGCAGCGGATTACGAGTCATAAGAACACTAACTCAGCCCATATCTGCCAGCGGTAAACATGGCGAGACTCCTATTACCTGTCCTGCTCTCGGACACTCTGGACACGAATAACAGATGAGGAAAGTATTTTAGGTCTGCTTTCTAGACCGGAGAAGAGTGAGCTTCGGCCTAAGAGCTACGTCGTGAACGCGCCGAGCGTGTGACTTGAACTTCATAATGCCATCGCACACAATCCCCTGCACTTTGCATTCCGGAACGGGGCATGCGACGCGCCCGTCTGAAGCATGGCGAAGGTGATCCTCAACATGGTTCCACATAGTCGTTGTCCTCTTGTATTGTTTGCCGCAGAATATACACGGTGGTGGAAGTGGCTTGATCGGAGCAGGTAGCATGGGAGCTATTATCGGGATCGATGTCTTTAAGGGAGTCGGCTTTGGAGGCGCTATTCGTGGCTCACATATAAACGCATAGGCTACCCATGCATTAATGGCTTCGATCTTCCTTTTCACTATCTGCTCGTCTGGGAGGTCTTCGTCAAGGTCGCTCAAGATCTCGGCAATGCGTTTCCGTTCTGGCGAAGAGTATGCTATTGGTGCTAGGCTCGGCGGTATTCTGACTAGCGATCCCTGGTACCACGTCGTCAAGGAAATGTTGTTGAAGTTGATCGTCGTCTCTCGTTTGGAAGTACTCGGAGCGTATGATGTCGAGTACTTTCCGCGCCTGCGTCTGTTTGGCATTCCTGAGCTCATTCTCTTTTTGTTTCAACTGGCGCACGTCGTTACCCAGCGCGCAACTCGGCCGGCCATACTTGTCCGCTAATGTACTGCGAAAATTTTCAAGTTTAGCTGCAAGCTGTCGAACGGTTGAGCTCGGGCTAATCATTTGCATGATTTCATCTGGCACTTTCTTCGGGGTCTCCTTGTCGCGACGAAGGCCCATGTGGTTCATGATTGCTAAATATGGGGAGCTGGTTCTACGCTCTAGGAAGGCATCTTGCACAACAGCGTTGACTTTGGCATTGTGGTAGGATTCTTGATAGGTATTGCTCTTCGGTTGATGTCTCAAAGTCTGGTCTCGGACAGACTGTCTGTAGCCCTCTGTAGCAGGTTAGAGCGCATACCTTTTGAGCTATGTGAATTTACACTCACTGTCAACGGCTTCCGCGAAGCCCCGCCGGTAGCAATACTGTGTTAATTATTCTTCCAACCCCGCTTCTTTTCCAAAGCGTTTCGAATGATGATCGAAGATAGTTCGCGAGATTGGCTTATCGGAGTTTCGACCACCATGCAGTAATGGCTCAGTATGACGAAAGACGGGCTTGTGTCGAAATTCTAGCTTCCACCGAATCTTCAAGCCACCTTGCTTAATCTTAGTCGTAAACAGATCAGCGCGGTCTCGCTCGCCTATAGCAATAACTCCTTCGGCCGTAGCCTTAGCAAGGATATGAGATATCGAGCAGAGAATAGGTAAGCGCTCTTCAATAAAGATAAACATTGTCAGGACTCGCTTCTTCTTCTCACTTTTGTAGTAGCGAAATAAAACTTGCGTCGCAAGGCGATCGCAGCTGCTATCCCTCTCGGAGTCGTGCAAAACCTATAAGTTAATATCCTCCCAACATAATACTTTTAGCTTCGGATTCTTCTTCCTTTCATCAGAATCTCCGTATATTATACACCTCCCTATACAAAGCTGATCGAGAAACTATTTGTTAATGTTCGTATAAGCATTGTCTTTCTAATTATACTTCTGAATCTTTTGGAAATCTGAAGAAGCTACAGCGCAGATAAGCTCATGTTTTCGATATTCAGTAAACATATAGAATAAGCGAAAGCAAGCATCGTCCAGTCTGTCAAGACCAATGTGGAAGCTCGAAGGATCTCGAACCCAGAGAAAATGTTGTAGAAACGTAAAAAGGTCGGATCCTATTACAGGCTTGTACTGTAGCTCTCTTCTCAGCTTGAAACGCGGTGTAATCTTGACCTTGATTGCCGTTAATAAGTAGTCATGGAGCTTTGGATCAAATTCGCTTCCAGTGAACTGCTTATATATGCCTCCAAGATTTCGGGTGTAAACCCTGACGGAGTTCTCATTGCCAATTAGCCTGCGTCGCTTTAATTCTGGCTCTCTCATGAGGAAGTGAATGAACAACTCAGCGACGCCTCTGGTTTCGTACGAGAGCGATCTCAAGCGTTCTTTCCATCGATCGCCATCACCCAGTCTCTCGCAGAATTGTTTCCACCGCTGTTTGGTGTCTGTGAGGGTCACTTTGTATCTGTCGGAGAGTAGTGGTGTCAAAAATCGGCGCTGGTTGCTGTGTATAATGATCTGCTGGAGCTCGTTCGAGCTGACTGGGGTAAGTTGGGGCTCTTCTAGCACTTGGCTCCAATCGATCTGGGATGCAATACGAAATTCCATGGTAAAAACTGGTCTGGGTCGCGAAAATAGGCAGATGATCACAACAGCAATTCTAAAGTTACGAATGCAATTCGAAATATGGAATACGAGTTGAATCACAGGTCAGCTCAGACCTGGCGGGTTCGAGGCTTATAATGGTTATCATCGTCCACCGGTCTGGCACCAGCATCCTGGACATCTAAGCGGTACCTAAGCGGTACATCAACGACAGTGTTAGGGTACTCAAGGCCCATCCCGAGGCCCGCTTCCGGGTACTGAAAAGCTGTGGGGCCTCGTCCACCACCTGAAAACCCGTCACCACAATTGGCCCTGTAATTTAGTCACAGAGCATGTGAGTATGCCCGCTCAAGAGTTAGGCATTAGGATTGATTCTTCTGATTTGCATAAGCTAATTAATGATTAGGAATTTTTTGTTCTCAGTCTCCCTCCATCCTAAACTAGACTCTACTGAAACGTGCTGTGAATTGATTTACTTGACCACTCTTTTGATCTCTTCGCGAGTGTGCTCCAGAATCTTGGCGTCCAATCCCTCCGACCTCAATTTGTCCAGCACCTGGGCATTGGTCACCGCCTCCTGCTTGTCGTTCACAGTATATACGCCACTGCCAACCTTCCCATCCGAACCCAGGGCCAAGGCCACCTCCTTTCCTGCAGTTGCAGCAGCAGCACCCTCGCCGGTGCCAAAGCTGGGGCTGAAGGCCGTATACACCAACCTCTCACCCGCCTCCTCCGAAGAAAAGAAGAGGACCCTCCCGATAGTGGGGATGAGAAGCCTGTTCACCACGAACTTGAACACACCCCCGAAATGTTCGGTGCTAAAGATGCCGGTGCGGACCAGGCCTGGGTACGCGTGCACGAAGCTGACGTGGGGGTTCTCCTTGTGCAGCTGCTCCATCGACAGCGTGACGTACGTCGCCGCCGCGCCCGCCGCGTTGCCGAAGGTGTAGTGGCCGGGCTCCTTGAGGGCCAGATCGTCCGGGAAGATGTTACCCTCGAGACCTGCGGCGAGCACGGACACGACGCGCGGCGAGGGCGCGGCGTTGAGCAGCGGGAGCAGCTCTAGGGTCAGAAGGGCGCGTGCGTAGTGTCGGATCGAGGTCAGCTTGTCGAGGCCCTCGCTGCTCTCGTCACGCGTGCCCGTGGTGAGGTAGCCCGTCGACATGAAGAGAAGGTCGATGGCCTTCTCCTGTGCTCGGATTGTCGTGGCGGCCTTCTTCATTTCTGAGAGGAGGGTGAGATCTCCGGTCAGGACGGGGATGTACTGGCCGTCCGGGTTGATGCGCTGGAGGTCCAGGACGATGGCGTCGAGGACATCTTGTTTACGGCCGATGATGTAAATCTTGGGGGCATTGAGGTTGGTGGCCAGGGCAGTGAGGAAACCGCGGCCGATGCCGTTGGTCCCGCCGGCCACAACGGCTGTGAGGCCAGTTGTTGTAGAGGATTTGAGGGACTTGTTAAAGTCTCGAATATCTGAAATCTTGACCATTTTGGGTTACTTTTTGGGAGTGGGGGTGGTGGATCTTGATAATACCGAAAAGTGCGATAGAGAATCTTAAAGATGATGATGCAAATAGCTGATTGGGAATGATGATGGAGGTGATGATCCAACGAGCGGGGTCAACCAAAGCTATCTACTTATACTTGAACAAACCATATCAACTCCAACCTGAGGTTTGTTATACATACATTTAGTTGTTCTTTACTACAGCATAGTAAAGGCTGTTTGTAATTGCTAATGAAGCCCTTGGTAATGCAATCGAGCATTCTAGGCATAAATGCGTCGGACTCTGGTACTCGTACGAGTCCGAACGCGACATCATCTCCAAAATCAAAACTTGAGTTCCGTACTCGCGTTCCGAGCTCTCGATCGTACTAATAAGTAACCACCATCAATCAACGTGTCCAACCGCTTTCCGAAAGTTACACCACCTTTTTTTCCTGACAGGCGATTATTCATCATCCAACCAGCAAAGTCGCCAAGCCAAACTATCACCCATGTAAACCTGCATGGCTTATCTCCACAAAGGCATGTGACTAATCTTCTCCGCCTTGATGAGGGGAACCAGATGCCACTGACGTAGGCTCGCTATGTTGGACGCCATAAACCATTTTGCAACAAGTTATCAATGAAAACTTACACTCACCGGCCAACAAGACTTGGGCCCCGCCTGCAAGCAATGTTTGCGCCCAATATTAAGTCGCGAGACGACGGCCACCAGACTTCTAGATTGGTAAGCCAGCCCTGCAGCCTTATAAAGCGGGTGGTGCCAAGGCCAAGAGAACAGCAGGTATGGGTGAGATTGTGCTGTCGGCGGTGTGGGGCCGTACACATCTTCACGCCAGCGCCGCTGTCGAGCGGAGAACTAACCCCTTCCGGGTATGGGGACCGGAGCCTTGAATCCGGCCGTCATGAGGCATCAAGCAAAGAAAGAGGAAGAAGGAGAAAGATGAAGGAAAAATAACACAAGACCGCGTTTTAGTAACAGTTTGATCTTGACATGAATGAGTGATTCGGCAACCCACAATTATTGACCTAAACCAATGAGTAAGTACTAATCGACGTTCGATTTTTGTGTAGGAGAAAGTATAAGTGTAGCCAGTTTCCAGAAACTGGCGATTGTCTTTTCTCCTGACAGCTTGTGACGATTACATATTCATTTCTCTGTACGGTTATCCTTTTTCTTCAATTTTCTTCTTCTTTCTTCTTCCCTGAATGGCCCATGAGCGAGAGATTCTACGGTGGAATTGGTCTTGTATAGTTTCGATAAAGACTGTATATGCTGCAGCAGTCTCTAACAATGAAGCCCTCGGATTATGGGACACCAATGTATCAGTCAATATCAGACCACTGATTTGCTTGTCCCTGAATTCTTTACGCCGACATGGATCAACTCAAACAATTGTTGCTATCTCTGGCTCCCAATCAAAGCTGTCACTACATACATGTAGTATTACAACAATCATAGCATGCAACTGCAATCAACAAACCATTCTTTCAATAGTCACTTTTGATCAATGATATGTTGACACGCAAGTCTGATGAACTTTCCGCCCTGGTAAAAACTGGTATCATGACACTTTGAGGCTTTCACAGAGCAAGCTTGAGGTGGATACGGATGCCCAGTGCCGAAGTATTCAGGTACATCTGGAACGACATAATATCAAAGAATACGACAATCCTTCTGGGACGGAATATGGGCTTGGGAAAGGGGCTGGTGCCTTATGAACTTGAGGCACCTTGTAATCCCTCATATGCATAGTGCGATCTGGCATAGAGGGATTTCGTGCACAGGCAGAGGATCTTTAGTGATCGTTACGCAGCGGTGGTTCACGCTCCAGACGACCCCAAGATCTAGTTTACATCTTACAGGGTTCTTCTGTCTAATTTCTGTATGCATCCTTACCTAGCGCATCATGAACATGCCTCCAAGTCTTGCGAGGAGGATCTGAGGATCGATATATGGAGCAGTACAAAACCGGAAAAGACAGCCGGAAACAGTCTCGGTGAGCGTGCGTGTATGAATGCACCCAAGTATACAAGTTTACCTCCTAGGAAGGTGGAAGATTCCAAAGCGAGTGATCCTCTTCTCGCTCCTTTCGTCTTTGAACTGGCGATTATCACAAGGGGGGGTTTTGTGGGAGGGACAGAGGCAGGAAGTCATGAACACGCGAGGTTCTGCTCCCTAGTACCTTTCATGCTCAAGCAGCCTTTGTTCTACAATTTACTGCCGGGGAATCAATCTAGGAGACTTTCGCTACTGGTGTGACCTCGAGATTTCATAGAACTGTCTCTTTTCTCACGAAAGTCAGAGGCATGGATTCCATAGGTTCAATTTTCACCCGCCTACTTTATCAGATGTGCTCCTCTAAGTTTCGTATCCTTCCTCGTACAGGTTCAAGGATGGAACAAGATAGGAGGAGTAAGTTCGAAGTACAGCAACATCCAGACTCCCGTGACACAATACTTTGACGTAAATATAGGTCACTCACAGGTCGATCTGATCGTACCAGTTCGTCTATCACAGTAGACTCCCATACACCCCTTGCCTTTAGCGAGAATCTCATTGTTTCACCTAGGATGACGAACCAGCCTGCACAGTTCATCCGTAAGCATTTAAGCAGCAGTCAAATCGGCTTAACCTGCAAGTCGCCCATATTTAGATCCAAGTATAACCCTCCACAAGGGGTGGGGTTGGGGGGACTGAATGTGGGGTACGCCGTTCTTCTGGCTGAAGAGATGCTGCATGGTCGGTTGCTTCCGCCGAGCTGGCGGTTGCATGTTTCACGATCCCAGCACCCGGGGGGCGGTTCAGCACCTGGGCGGCAGCAAAGAGATCGAAACACACCTATACGAGAGCAGGTAAGCACTGCAAGGCCGAGGCTGCTGAACCAAGATTCCATGCCCCCCTCTCTCCTCGCTACCAAGAGGATGAATGAGCGATCTGGTTTTGGTTTTTTTTTTCTTTTTCTTTTTTTTCATGTCAATGGGTCGTCTTTTTGGGGCTGATACGCTGAAGGAAAGAAGCAAGAATTGAGCCAATGCTTTCGTCCACCCGTCCACCCCTTTCCGAGTGTAAATCCGAGTACCCTCCTTGGTCTTTTCTTTTCTTATCAAGAATGTTGTTTACCATTTCGATAAGTGGTTGCAGCTCCTGTTATTGTAGTATTCAAGGAAGCATTTTCCTAATTTGGCAAGCAAATCATGGTGCCGATCTTGGGTTGGGCGACAGGGACATCCAGAAACGGCCCGAGTTGCGATCCAGCACAACGGAGGTGTTGACCCGCCTTGACTCGGTACGGGCCTGCCGCATGGGTCCGGCACGACGCGGACAGGGGATGCAATCCTCGATGACAACAGACACCGGGACGGCCGATGACTGCAGGTTGCCAAAAAGGATGATTGTTGAGAAACCTCGGTTTCATATGACTTGTGTTGAAGGCCGAGTCGTGGAGTGATAGACATGAGTATCTACATTTATCAGCGTTGGTGGCCGCAAGCGGACGTAAGCCGGGAGTCGTCACCGAAAGGTAATGCGGGTTAGTCCGGAGGTGCCCAAGTCTACAAGGCTCGATGACAGGGGACAAATAAGGAGACACCAGGGTTTGATCTCGTCGAGTATCAGCTTTACTGTCATACCAGGCCTTTTGGAGACAAAAGGAATTAGCAGCTGGCTGGCGTACATAAGCCATCATGCGTTGGGGGCGTAGGGATTTTGTGGTGAAGGAGCGAGACCTGGCGACGAGGACAACAGTCAACTTGTGAGATCATCTGACAGTGGCCCGTACTGCGACCGTGACCACTGCTTGGGGACTATTCAAGCCTCGACAAGCCTCGTGCTGCTTTAGGGGGAGCGTCTGAGGGCCGAGGTTGCCAGCCCAAGGTATACAAGATGCGCCGGAGATACTTATTGGCCACCATGGCAGACAGATTTTCTGGTCCTCCTGTGGCTAGGTCAATTAGAGTGAAGCCGTCGTGAAGAGGGGGGGGGGGGGCATCTGAGTTGAAGTGAATGCTAAATATAGACGTCAAGTGGCCCGGGCTGTCAGACGGCGCAGCGGGAATTAAAAACAGAGTGGAAACTTATTACTGAAGCTAGCGTCACCTGTGTAATGCGTGTGAAAGTACGTACAGGGTAGTCATGATGTTCCTTCGCACTTAGTACATAGTAACTCAGCAAATGGGTAGCACTTTGGCAAGCTAGCAGTCTGACCCGCCACTGCTATGGCTTGTATTCGTCAGCCCCCTCTCTCCTATAGTAGACAGCCCATGGACGCGAGCCATTCGGATTTCCGAAAATTTCACAGAACAAGGCTGGCGCTATATGGTCTGTCCATGCAAAGTACAGTGCCAGCACAAAGTGCTGATCGTGACTTGCATAGTACTGTATTATGGCACTATCGCATACGGCCACAGGTGCTTGGCCTCATCACAAATGTCAGATGCCGCCGATCTCTGCTTGGGTGGAGCCCAGCAAATCCTCCTGCTTCCTTCCAATATCGCAAGCTTCCAAAAACACATCTCAACTGTAACCTCTCGCGACCATGACGTTCAGCGTAGATGTGCTAGACCCTCTATTTCTGTATCCCGGCCCCCCGGGGGGGGGGTGGATCAGATTTTAGGATATCGGAACAATTGCTGAAACCCCCATCGACACCTGACAGTGGAGGAGGTGGAGGAGGAGGAGGAGGAGGTATCAGGCCTGTACAGGAAGGGTACGTCGAGACGACGTGGAATCGAAAGTCTTGTCTCTCTCTGTGCACTGTAGATGACACCCTTTTCTCCGAAAAGTTCCATGGCCTGGGTGGTTGCAAGAATTCAAAAGTAACAAGAAGGGCAAGAGTAAGAAGAAAAAAGTACCCGGACCATCCCCCAAAGACTAAATTGTGGTGTGGACAAGCTGAAGCCACAGGCTGCAGTTGCCTGCAGGTTGTGTGTCATCCCTGTCTCTGCTGCAGGTTCTATTGGTTCTCATTGGACAGGTAGGGGCTCACGGATGGATCTAGTGGGCCTGGCGGGCCTGGCGGGAGGCTAAAGCACGCGCGGTAGGGTCGAAGGCGTACAAGTAGTAGTACTAGAAGCGTGGAAAGCATCGAAGGGTCCCGGGCCCCACAACTCCCAACACGCCCCTCGTCGCTCGCAGCCCTTTTGGCGCCTCTGCTCCGCCTCAGCAAGTCGAAAGTCACCCAAGTAAACTAACTGCATGTCAGCGCTCGCTCATTTCCTCTGCCGACACACCCAATTGAACCTCTCAGTGACCTCGCCTTCAACAGCCAACCACCTGCTGATTTCAGAAATTTCCAGACCAGACAGACCCTGCGCTGCACCATCCTATGGGAATTGTGAATCGCGTGGGCCAGCCAGATGCCAGTCTGTTCCTTTTCATCCTCGTCCTCCTCCGACAACCACTTATTGCGTGAAGCAGCAGCAGTGCTTGGTACTCTTTAGAAGGCGTCACAGACATCTGCTTCGACTTATCCTACGAGAGGGGCTCCCTACCTACTTGTCTGTCAATTTTGCCTCCATTCTCCAGTTTCCTTGTCGCGCCCCTGGCCGTTTTACCTCCTCATCCCTCATCGGGTGATAGACAGCCTATATCCCAGTTTGCCGCGCATGCATCCTCAATACTAGTCTTGTGTTCTATCTACGCAGGCAAACACGGACATACATCTTTTGATCTTTTCATTCTCTTCAAGTGTCATAAATGGCATCCTAAAACCCACGCCTTCACTGTCGAGAATGGAGTGAGGTGCTTGCGAAAGACTCTCTCCTGATCAGCCATCCCGCGACCAACCTGCGGCCGACCCTCTATTCGCCCCGTCTGTCTAGCCATGTCGCAGGTCTCCGCTAATGAGGCCGTTGTCGCCGTCGACGAGACCATCCCGAGGCGGTCGTCGATCGAGAAACCGCCTGTAATGAGCGACTCGGAGTTTGAAGATGACGATCTGGATGATGATGGACTTCGACCCGTGGCCTTTCATAACCTACCCGAGGAGATCATCCAACAGTGAGGCAATCTTTTAATTTCTTCTTTCTCTCAGTCTCTCTCTCTCTCTCTCTCTCGCTCGTCATGATCTGCGAATGACGCGATCCCAACGAGGTGACTAACCAGAACTGCTACGGCGAACCAGAATTCTAGAAGTTGCCGACCCGGATGCTTTCGCATCTTTGATCCTGCTCAATTCAAAATGGCGGAGCGCGTCGCAGCAAGGCCATCTCTACGCTACCCAGCTGATGCGGTGTCCCTCCTATTCGGCGAGTCACAAGAGGGAGCCGGACGGGAAGCAGGAGAACCTGCCGCAGCTGAGGAAGCTCTTCGCCCGCGAGGTCAAGCGCAACCTGTTCGCCCCATACTTGCGTCCTAACCATACTGAGATCAAGCTCGTGTCCAATTCGATCAGCTCTTCCTCGTGCCCTGGTGGGGATGGCATGTCCTTCAGCCCGTCGCCAAAGGGCCACTACCTGCTTGCGTACAACTCGTCCCGGATCCACATCATCGACCTCCGCTGTCCCACAATTTCCGTGGAGAGGGAGCTGAAGATCCTCCGGCGGCCCGTTGCGACGTGCATCATGGACGATGGATCCTTGCTCGCTGTGCTCTTGACTGAGATGCAGGTAGACCTCTACGACCTCACACAGACTCCTCCGAAGCGTACCCAGTCTATCATTCTCGACCACAGCCCTCGAGCCATTGCTCTGTCGCCATGCGGAAACGTGCTGGCCGCTGCATACGAGGGCGGTATCGAGGTCCAGGCGCTGAACCCAGGCGCCCTGGCAACTGAGAGGAGATCTGTGAAATGCGATGGTGTTGACGCCTTAGCCTTCTCCCTGGACGGAACCCAGATCTTAGGCACTACTCTCCACTCAGCACAGCCGAGTACCGTGATCCTGACGGCTCCTTACTACGACCCGGGCGCCCAGATGTCAAGCGAGGACATCAGTGCTCTCTGGACGACATCCATCCTGTTCCCAAACTCCAGTCGCGACTGCAGTCATGCCGTCCTGCTCCAGGAGTCGAGCCACGACGAGGCGTTCTGGACCTTCACCTATGACCGCAGCTTCGAGACGTTCCGTGCCGTTCGCATCGATGACTTGCGCAACGGTACTACGTATTTCACAGGGCCAATCTCGAATACACCCTCCAAATTAGTGCCATGCACCCTGCCTTCGGCATCGTATAGTGGTGAGCTGGTCTCCGCTGGTTTCCAGGGCAAAGAAGTGTGGCTGTACGGTATACCAGAAGATCTCGAGGCCGTCCCGGATACTTCGAGTAATTTGCTCGAAGTAAACGGCTGCTCAGAAGGGGTAGCCCGTAGCGTCAGTGGATCATCTCTGCGGTCCCGTCCTCGGACGCAGGAAGCTGGAGAGAGTAGGGTTCCGCAGTGGCAGCTGCTTTGTGACAGATACCGGAATACTCTGGTCGGTGGCTTCAAGGCTGCAGAGCTTAGCGGCGTGTCTACGCTGAAATGGGTTGCCTCCTTTGGAGACCACTCGTTGAAAGAGCGTCTGGTCATCACGGCAAAGGGGGCCACACCCGCCAAGCCGATCAGCATGGATGATGATGGCATGGACTTTGAGGACGGCGGCAGGCTCACGCTTGTTGACTTTGACTACGGGCTCAACGACGGCTGTGTCAATGAAATCACAATCGAGGTAGGGATGAAGGAGCCTGAAATCCTCGAGGAGGAGCATCGTGACCTGGAAACCGAGGTCGCCATCGTCAGAAGGCGTACTGTGGCACAAAGAAGAGGAAACCGAAGTGCGATGATGAGAGCTGCGACGACAGCTGCACGACCGACCCCCGCGCGGTCTGTCGACGATCATGATGGCGACGACGACGACGATCCACTCTTACCGCGTCGGATGGGTGCTGCCCCAACGAGGCCACGGCCAGCCTCTGCGGCGACTGAAGAGACCGAGACAAATGCTGTCCTGGAAGAAGTGGAGGCCCTCGATGCACCCTACTCGCATACTGGACCGCGGTCCATCTCGACTCTACGTCGGGCGGCAACAGCGGCTGCAAATCACAGACAGCGCAACCCGACGACCTCGTCAGGAGCTCCTATTGAGTACCGTCGGGCGGACGGACGAAACGAGCACCCTCATGAGAGTGATGCAGACAACTGGGTGCCGCCACCGCCGCCTTACCAGAAGGAGGATCCTGGAGAGACGCCCGCGTTCTTGCGTCACTCGATGGTGCCCGTGATCGCCTCGGCACGACCTCACGGCACGCGAGATGAGGATGCGACTGCTATACCACCAGTACCTCGGATGCCATCCATTCCACCCGTTCCGCCTATTCCTCAGGAACACCGACCTTCCACCTCGGCTGGACTTGTGGGAGGGGTGCCGGCACAATCACAAGAACGTTCCTCAAGGCGCCAAACATATATGCCGGATCACACTGTGAGGACGCCGGTAATCAACAATGCACATCACCGCTTATCGAGCTACCCAACCATGCCCTCGGCTCAACAACAAATACCGGCCGCGTCCTCCGCGGCGAGGACATCACATTACGATGAGGATGACATCTACAATGTGTCACCTCCCGATACCCCACGCCTACAGGACAGCGTGACTGCAGACAACCGGAACACCGATGGCAGCGATATATCCCAGACGCCTGTGGGCCCTGCGTCTGACCCATCACCGTCCCTTTCAAGCACCATGCCTTACACGGGGACGCAGCGCTCCATTCCGCTGGTTCCGCGCATCCAGACAACTGCCGCCAGGTCTGCGCACCTTTCTTACCATCCCTCCAACGGTAGACAGGCCATGGTCGAGCATTCACCAGCCGACTCGACATGGAACCCGCACACAGCCGGCGTCTCGTATCCAATACCTGTCGTGCAATCTCAGACGTGGCCGATGCCACCACCTATCCCTCACGGAGCCTCCACAATCTCTACAGGCTACCCCCTAACAGCTCCAGCGACGCACACAACGATGAGCGACATAGCAGCCCATGCTCTACCCCCGCCTCCTCCGCAAGAGCTTGCATCCGAGGACCGGGCGAGTAGTAGGCAGTCCTCGCTGGCTCGACGCATCTCAACTGGTTTCCACCTTCCTCGTATCCGCGCCTCAAGTCGAAGTGAGAGCCGAAGCCAAAGCCGAGCGCAAAGTCGGGCCCAGAGCCGGAGCGACGAGAGAGCTCGACCCCTTTCCATCGCGCAACAGTCAAGCCGACCTGGGACGGCCCAAACATTTTACCAACACCCACAAATGGCGTATGCTCAGCCTCTGGCGATGGGTTCGTCGCCATCACGTGGCGTTCACACGATAGATCACGCTCACCAGGCGCCTGACCAACCTCTGATCATCAGCACCCCCACTGGTATCCAGGCCGCGTACGACGCACCTACGGGACAGCCGCTGGATCCCCGAGCCGGAGTGCCAATCGTTGCTCCCGTCCCTCGCCATCCACGCCCTGGCCGCAGCCCAGGTATCCCAAGGCCCGCCGCCGAACGATTAGAGAGCATTTATCATGGACAACAGGAGCAAGGTCATCAATTCGTCCCGAGCTTCCTGAGTCAGCCGCCTGCGCCCAGCGACTTCTCGACCCGAAACTCATCTCTGAACCGACGCCCTTCCCGCGCAGAGCGCAGCGCTGCCAAGAATATCGCTGACGCGAAGAAGAAGGGCTGGCGGCCCAGTCGGAGCAAGAGCAGAAGGGCGAGGAAGAGCAGGCCTAACGAGCCGGAATATGACGTGATGAGCCAAAGTGCCTGGACCGACATTACTATGACGACGGCTGGAGGGCGTGCGACGAGGCCGTACCACTATTCTGACGCAGAGGCTCGGAAGGCTGCAAAGGACAAGAAGTGTGTGGTCATGTAGAGGGGAATTTTGACTGGCCTGATTATACGCGATGAGTGATGATGATCTTTGAGGAACTTGACAATATAGAAAACATTGTTGTGCCTTGGGCGAACTGTCTACAAAGATATGTGGCGTTTTCTTGGTTTTCTTGGAAGAGGGTGGGAACAGGACACTGGGTAGCTTGGCACCCAGGAACCAGGTGGGCTTGAGGATTTTTTATCATTCAGAGTAGAGGGGTCCTTTTCACTGTTTATATTTTGCTATGAGGCAGACGGTAAGAATATGTCATGTCATGTCGCCAGAGATATGTGTAATTTTTTGTTGGGTGACATCATCTCAAGACGCAAGCTCTCAGAAGAAAGAATGCTCATATGTATTCTATTCAAGTAAGGTGTCCGTCCTTTTATGCATGAGATGTAATTTTGCTGTGCGCAGTTGTATTTTGCATCAAAAGAATTCTTGTTTCCTTTCCAACCGCCCCAATCCCTACTCTGGTTGGTTGTAGAGAGAGAGAGAGAGAGAGAGAGAGAGAGAGAGAGAGAGAGGGACCACGAGGGAAGCGCGGGGCTGCCTCCACCCCGCCTCTAACTCTTGAGTACTGTACTCCACATGCCCCTCCATTGTACCTGCCTAGTAGCTAGGTATGAGTTTTAGCCCCTCCATACTTTTTACTGACCACCAGACCAAATCTCAAACTTATAATGAAATCCGTTTGATACTCTTGGAACAGCTCATTACTAGTATCAGTATTTCACGAAGTATACTCAGGCTTTGACCTCAATATTTGAGTCTCGCTGTTGCACTCGAACTGCTTGTTGGGCCTGGCCGCCTCGTCTGCTTTTCTCCCTTCTGGTGTCAGTCAGTCAAGAATTTCTCCATCTATATATACTCAAGCAGAGCGCTTGCCTGCCCACTTTCATCATCAGGTCTACCCAAACCACACACGAACCGAGCCCAGCAAGTCAAAACCAAGCCGATCCTTGGAACAATAAGACTCAACTTTCTATTTGCTCTCTTTTTCTCATCTTCTCTTCACCAGCATGGGCAAAAAGGACAAGAAATCCGGCGACAAGAAGGCCAAGCTTGCTGAAAAGAAGGCCAAGCAGGAGAAGAAGGCCGACAAGAAGGCCAAGACCAAAGCATCCAAGATCGACGGGAGCGATGCCGAGGATGTCGACCTGGACGAGGTGCTGGCCGAGTACCAGCGTGCGCAGGAACAGTTCCTCAAGATCACAGAGGTCGTGGCCGAGGGCCCGCCCAAGCCGCGGTCTGCCTCGTGCTTCCTCGCCAGCCCGTCCAACAGCAACCAGCTGCTCCTCTTTGGCGGCGAGTACTTCAACGGGGCGCTGGCGACCTTCTTCAACGACCTGCACATCTACCACATCGACCGCGACGTGTGGAAGACGGTGACGAGCCCCAACGCACCGCTGCCCCGGTCCGGCCACGCGTGGTGCCGCGGCGGCAACCAGGCCCAGTACGTCTACCTGTTTGGCGGCGAGTTCTCCAGCCCCAAGCAGGGCACCTTTTACCACTACAACGACTTCTGGCGCCTCGAGCCCAACACGCGCGAGTGGATGCGCCTCGAGCCCAAGGGCAAGACCCCGCCCGCCCGCAGCGGCCACCGCATGACCTACTTCAAGCAGTACATCATCCTCTTTGGCGGGTTTCAGGACACGGCCAACAGCACCCGCTACCTCGCCGACCTGTGGCTGTATGACACGGTCAACTTCGTGTGGTTCTCGCCCACGCTGCCACCCGCCCAGCTCAAGCCCGACGCCCGGTCCAGCTTCACCCTCCTCCCGCACGAGCAGGGCGCCGTGCTGTTTGGGGGCTACTCGCGTGTCAAGGCCACCACGGGAAATGCAGGCGGCGGCGGAGGAGGGAAGGGAAAAGGCGGCGGTGGTGGTGCGGGAGGTGCTAGGAACGTGCTACGGCCCATGGTCCACCAGGACTGCTTTTTCCTGCGTATTACGCCGCCCGCGTCCGATGCTTCTGCGGCCACGCCGCCGACAGTGCGATGGGAGAGAAGGAAGAAGCCTGCGAATGCGCCGGAGCCGAAACGGGCGGGTGCCACGATGGCGTATCACAAGGGTAGAGGGATCATGTTTGGCGGTGTGCAGTAAGTCCATGCCCGTGTTGTTTCATTTTTTCTTCTTCTTTTTCGAAACTATGTCTGCTGGTGAGTGATGTCCCCTGGAGGAAGGTGTATGTGCTGACGAGACAACTCCCTGCTTGATAGTGATGTTGAGGAGAGCGAGGAGGGAATGGATAGTGAGTTCTTCAATGGGCTCTTCGCCTGGAACATAGAGCGGAACCGCTTCTTCCCGCTCACGCTGCGGAAGCCGAGGGCACAGAAAAAGGCGACTGGTAATGAGGAGAGGGTCGGACGGCGGGGTCGTGCCCAGGCCAAGGAGGAGGAACTGCTGCGGCAGCTTGCCGCACTCGAGACGGGCAAGAGCATCGAGGACGCCGAGGACATGGCGCTGGACAAGAAGGAAGCCGAGGAGAGCAATGATGACGAAAAGCCAGTGCGCGACATGCCGGTCACCATGGAGTTCCCGCACCCGAGGTTCAATGCCCAGCTCGCGGTCCAGGACGACGTGCTGTATATCTACGGCGGCACGTTTGAAAAGGGCGACCGGGAGTTTACGTTTGACGAGATGTATGCAATCGACCTCGGGAAGATGGACGGGTGCAAGGAGATCTTCAGCCGGCAGACGGAGGACTGGATTGTGAGTTCCTCCTCGAGTGTCCCCCAACTCTACTTCTGTGGTCATTCAGGAACTGATACATTGCTGTGCACTAGGAATCTGAGGACGAGGAAGATGACGAGGACGATGAGGAGGACGAAGACATGGAGGATGAAGAGGATGAGGATGAAGACGTTGAGATGCAGGAGGAAGACAACGAGCAGCCCAAGTACACGGCCAGCAAGCGCAAGAAGAAACAAGGCGAAGTGGCCAGTATGGATGCAGACACCGCCTCGGAGGTATCGACACCAACAAGTGCTACTTTCGAGGAAGAAGAATCCGAGGCAGACACGACCGTCACATCAGTAGACGATGGACTACCGCATCCTCGGGTGAGTCTCGACCCCTAATGCTGCTCATTTGTAACAACCGTTCACTCGCTGACATAAACAACCCCACCCCCCCCCCCCCTTTACAGCCCTTTGAGTCGAGAAGAGACTTTTTCCAACGCACATCAGCAGAATGGCAGGAAGTGCTCATGACCAGCCTGCGGTGGAAGGGCATCAAGCCCGAGACGCTAACGATCAAGGAGATCAAATCGAGGGCCTTTGAGCTGAGCGAGGAGAAGTGGTGGGACTGCCGGGAGGAGATTACGGCCCTTGAGGATGAGCAGGAAGCTGCTGGTATCAGTGAGATCATCTCGTTGGCCGACCGGGGAGGAGGTGGTGGCGGCGCTGGTGGTGGCGGTGGAGGTGCAGGTGCACGGAGGAGATAAAAGGGAAATGTTGCTGCATTTGTGATATCATTTATTCCATATTACGTATATGTCTCAATATGATCAAAATTGAAAACAAGTCGCCTGTAGGAGTATGCTGATGCCTTTGGTGGCGAAGGCCGATGAGGAAGAGATGGAGAATTGACTAAATAAGTCCGCTTAATTGAATTGGTGTGCATCTCTCAACGCGGTTTCGATGCGCGTCGCGGGGTATTTTTGGAATCATCCAGTTCACAACTAACGCACAGTGGTACCTTCTACTTTTACTCTCATCACCAAAAAAGGAGGAAACCACGATTCCCATCCATACTTGGCAAGAGTCACACACAGCTGACTAACTAAAAAATCATTGAATTTTGCACATCCTCCATCGAAAACCAGACAATACAAGTCGTGACGCAATCCTCAAACCTTGCCCATCATGCCACTCGGCATCCAGCGTCTCAATGCAAAAAAGACCCATCCAAACGACCGCATTATCTTCATCAAACCACTCAAGGGTAAAAATGAAGCCAGAGCCCAAGAGTTTCTAGAGCGAATAGCAGCTCAATGCCGTACGTCCTTACTCACCTTCTTTCCACCCACCTTCGGAGTGACAAACCAAAACCGCTCACACTCAGGAACAGTACCCATCATGCGAGAACACCACCTCTCCATCACCACCCTAGAAGAATACGAGCCCAACCGCGAGTTCGTCGGCCGCAACTTCAATGCCGGTGAGATCATCCAGCTCGTCCTCCGAGCCCCCGGCCGCCGCGGCGGTGGCTCCTCCTCCACCCGCTGGTTGCCCTTTGCCTACGTGCAGATGGTCATGATGCATGAGCTCGCCCACTGCGCGCAGATGAACCACAGCCGGGCCTTCTGGGCCGTGCGGAACCTGTATGCGGACCAGATGCGCGGGCTCTGGGGGCGCGGATATACGGGGGAGGGCATGTGGGGGCCAGGTGCGCTGCTGGGAACGGGGGCTTGGGAGGCTGGGGGTGGCGCGCTGGTGGCGGGGGATGAGGAGCTGCCGGAGAGCCTGTGCGGTGGGACTTTCAGGTCGAGGAGAAGGAGGAAGAGAGGTAGGAAGGGTGGTGCCGGTGGCGGGGAGGAGCTGAGCTACCAGGAGAGGAAGCAGAGGCGGATCGAGAAGAAGTTTGGCAAGAACGGTGTCGCGCTCGGAGCTGATGACGGCGTCAAGGCCAGGCTTGAGAAGGGAAAGCGGACACGGGCGGCGCCGAGGGTGGCAGGCAGTAACAGGGGAAGAGAGTTGAGGGCCGCGGCCGCACTGGCCAGGTTCGAGCACCAAAAAGAAGAGCCTCAGGATGAGGGACCCAAGGTGAAGAAAGAGGAGGGGAACAGTGGCGACAGTGATGAAGAGAGCGACTACGAGGATGGCGCCGACATCGATCCCACAGCAGACGACGCAGTTGACCTCGACGGGAAGAAATTGGTCGACGACAAGGGCAATCACATGGTGAAGGTCTGCGAGGACGAGGATCCCGACGACGAGGAGGCTGCCAATGAGATGAAGGAGCTTCAGTCTTCCATCACGGCATACTTTGCCCCCAGCAGGAGCAAGCCTGCCGAGGATAGAGAACAAGAAGAGGCCCCCGCCAATCCCGCGGCTCCGCAATCTAGCCGAGAGATATTCGCTGGGGAGGATTCTATCGGTATAGTCGACGACCAGATAACCAGCCAAAGGGGCCCGAGGCCTATGGTGACAGGACAGGGGAAGGCTCAGACACGCGAACCAAGAGACTCACCAGCGGGCAGCAGCACCAGCAGGTCCACCCCGCAGGTCACCAAGGAGAGACAATCGACCTCGGACGGCTCGTCAAATTCAGCTGCTGGGGGAGGAGGACGCACGTGTGGCTCCTGTTCCTTTGCGAATGAAGCTTACACTGTGACGTGCAGTATGTGCTCAAACGTCCTTGTCCCAGAGAGCGTTCCTGGGACCTGGAGCTGCCAGAGTGCTTCCTGCAGAGGGGGCAATTATCTCAATGCTGGGGACTGTGGCACTTGTGGTGTCTGTGGACAGCGCAAGGATGCTGCTGCCGCCGCTGCTGCCTGCTGAAGATTGTCGTGGAAGACTGTTTGACACTTGGCAGCCTCATATGCTCATAAGTACTTGTCGGAGGATGCAAATGAGTAAGACCCAACGAACGAACTCTTCTGCATTGGGGTATATTTGAGGCCTCGTCTGGACTATCGAAGCACCCAAGGAATGGTTGCATACCTGCGACCTTTGCTCTGTGAACTTATGGACGCCTAAATGCCATCCAGAGGTCGGCCGCCTAAATACCCTACCGTCTTTCAACGGCAGGATGAAGAGGATTTTGGAACGACACACCAGGCTGCAGGGAAAAGAGAATTCAATATAAAAATAACCCGCTAGTAGAACATGAATTCAGGCTATGTGTGATCTGGCGTAGTGGATGAATGAATAGTCGTCGATTATTGGCACAACCCTCTGTGATGTTTTCCCTCAACAGGCTCCTTCCGAGGAATCTCACGACTTCTGCCTCTGCAACCTTCCCCCTTCTCCGGAACGTATGATAATTATTTACTTGCCTACACTTCCCATGACAAGTCGACCGATGAGCAGATAAGAGGAGTGGCTCAAATAGACGAGAAGGTCCTGAGTCTTTATTGGATCTGCCCCTCTCAATCTCTGCATGAATTGTATATTCCCTGGTTCGTCGGTGTATGGGAGGGTTCTTCCTGGATGACGAGCAAATCAGTTATCATGTACAAATCACTCATCCAATTTCGCCAACCTCACCGATTGGCTTGGGGATCGGCTTCCTGGCCCGTTCCTTATTTCCCGGGGTCAGAGCTTTGTGCCGGGTGTGACTTGTGATAAGGGACCACATTTTCGTTTCATCTTTTGTTTTCCTCCGAAGTTTGTTTCCCCCCCTCCCACCTTACCAAATTGATTGTTCCTGGAGCAGAGTAACCTGATGGGACGACGTCAGCTTAGGATTTTTCCTACAGGATAAACAATTCAGCCACACAACATCATAAGTGGAGACTGGCGAGCAGGGATCCAAGTAAGCATAAAATCGATTACAGACGAAGCAGAGAAGAGGCAGTGGAGAAGTCGGTTCGACTTGACTCGCTTGTGTTTTTTGGGGGGGCTTGTCCTCATGATGGGTAAGGGAAACAAGACTTTGTTGTGTCTCTTGAAATTTATTTAAAAGGCATCAAATCACTGTTTGCGCCGGAGAAAAAGGGAATCAAGGAATAGCCCAACGGTTTTAATCAAAGACCACCCCCCTACTCGGCCCCTCTCCCTAGTGATTGCAAAAAATCACCGACGGCACAATCGGCAGCAAGGTTTGCTCTTTGATTTATTTCTCTATTTTTCTTCTTCCAGAACAGGGAGGTAGGCTGTCATAGGTGGGTTGCGGATCTTGCGAAGTCAAATCTGCACGGCACCGCCGTGTGCCGCCTAGTTGCAGCGCCGGGGGGTTTGACGGTAGCACGCACTATATTGAACAATGTGACGGGACCGGGAAGAGATCCTCCCCAGATTAATATAGCTCAGACTGTGTTCATTTCAAAGATGCTATATACTGTGGGGACAAACACATGATTTCTTTTATTCCTGTGCTTTGAAAACCGTCACAGTCACATTCAATCACAATTTGTCTTATCTAAGACCCTTTTTTTTCTGTCCTTTTTATTGTCTTGTTCTCTCTTTCTTGCTTGGATGTAGTTTTATATCACTCACTCACCGCAAACCCGCTCATGCATCCCATCACCCTCAAGTGCTGACCCTCTTTATATTGGCAGCGGGGCTCTGGGAAATGACATCCTGCTTCCTCTGCATTGCGGTTCTTATCAACCAAATTTCCGACCAGAGGCAGTGAATTTTTTTTATCATTTATTTCCCTCGTTGTCGTCGTCATCATCATCAGCAGCATCCTCTTGTTTTAATTCAAAGAGCTCAACGGTCCTTGTCGCCGCTTCCCTTTCGTTCCCTCTCAGCTGGTCCCAGCCTCGTCGCGATCGAAACCTGCGTTTTCCACTCGCGCAAACCAGGCTGTGACTTGACTGAGTTTACAGGGACTTTGGGACAGCTTGACCAAAGGCACCTATTGCTCATTTATCATTTCTCTTTTTACCTCGTTCAAGAACGAGAAGGAAAAGAAAAAAAAAACCAAAAACCAATATGCGCGTGACTTCCTTGGTGGCCATGGCCATCACTACCCTCACCGGTGCCGGCTTCACCAGTGCACTGCCTGGCCCTTGGAGTGTGCCACAAGGTATGATGAAACCCCTCCATCGGCCCTCTCAACAATTCCTTTTCTCTCTCGCTCTGTTTTTCGTTGATGCCATAAATGCTGATGACCAATGAATAGAGCACTTTGAGGTCCTCTCTCTGCGACACACAATACCTCTCAACCCAGACGCGGTAGGCGAGGTTACCTGTTGGGATCCAGAGGCGTAAGTATATTCTTTCCTTTTTACTTTATCTCACAGATTTTGGACATTCATTGCCATCAACATTCATCATTCACTCACTTACACACGCAAATTCTCCCCCCCCCCCCAACACCAGTCACATCGTCTACCACGACCAAAACGCCGCCCAGCTGGCCATCTGCGACGGCATCTCCGGCCCCGCCCACACCCGCTGCCGCGCCTCGTCCCCCGTCACAGTCGGCAAGCGCGGCAGCGCCCAGTTCACCCTCACCACGCTGCGACCAGGCACCACCATCGACATCTCCAAGGTGCGGTGGGAGGAGTGCGTGCGGGCCGCCCGGGACAAGTGCCCTACGGGCAGCTTGTCGGGGGTCTGTCTGGGCGGGGCTTCTTGGGGGGATATTGGGTTTGTGCTGGAGAGCACGCTCTATGCGATGGATCTGTGAAAAAAAAAAAAAAAAAAATGAAAAAAAAAAAGGAGGGAGGGGGGGGGGGGGGGAATGACCTTTGACGACAAGTCGTGAGGTTTGTTGTGCGGTCCTCCTTTTTCTGGGCGGGGATGTTATGAGATTGTTGGGATGATACATGACACGTGTGTCTACCTTCTCACACGCACACTCACACACACACACACACACATATCATGGCAGCACACATGGTCTGCCCGGGGTGGCCTTGACACCCTTCACTTCATTTTCGATTCATATTTCAGGTCACGGAACGGAAGTGCTCCATCACCGTGACCCTTTAGGGTGGGATCATGAGCGGCGTTCATGGACGAGGGGGAAAAGGGTTCCCTTTCTTCTTGTCTTCTTCGTTTTTCCTTTTTTTTTTTATTTTTTTTTTTTACCTTTCTGATACCGAAACTGCTCCGTCTTTTAAAAGACGCAGGGGACCTTTTTTTCTCTTCTTCTTCTTCTTCTTCTTCTTCTTCTTCTTCGCATGGACGATGTACATTTATGATCAATTGTATGTCACGATTAAGAATGACTAAAGATAGATGCATACCATCACGGCAAACCATTGAATTCTTCATCATCTCGTTTTGTGTTGTGCATTTCTCCTCCGCAAGGGTAATTAGTGACAACCGTGGTCATCCATTCCAAGTGATGTATTGAGTCTGGGTATTTTGACAGACTGTTCACATGAAGTCGTTCATTGCTGTCACCTTTGCCGGTCCAAATAAATCACACCCCAAGGTCACCCAGTGAGAGCACCAAACCAATCTTCTACAACTACCTCAAGCAATCTTGGCAGGTACAAGATCCAGCTTAAGAGGATGGCTGATCTGGAGCACCCTATAGAGAACCTTCACTGAACCAGGCAGTTCCACCGTCAACCTCATATAGCAGAGTTTCCTCAACATGAAATGACAATTGTAAAGTAAATAAACATTCAAATATGGGGGTATCATGATAAGCAGCTCTTTTGTAAAATGCAACTCCGGTCCCCTCTCACAATAGTCGAACCCAGTCTGCCGACGAGGTGTGCCCATGTTATCTCTTCTTTCATATGAAATCCTCACAGTCCATAGCGCGTGATGCATTCCTCCCGATGGAGATCAAGACAATCCAAGGCACACACCCTCGTGCCGCACTTCATACACCTCACCCGGCCCCAGTACCCGCACACCTCACAAAAGTGCCGCGTCGGGTACTGTGTGTCGTCCTCCCCCCACGTGCCCCGCGCCTGGTTGTAGCTGAGCGGCGGCGCCCTCATCAGCTCCCGCAGCTCGTCGTCCGTCGGCAAGGGCGGCAGCCATGACTCCAGCAGCGGGTCGGAGTCGCCAGGGTGCGCAGCCGGCGTGAAGCGGGTGAAGGGGGTGAGGATCTTGGACTCGGGCTCGGCAGGTGTGGGAATGGCGGCGGCGGCGGCAGCAGCAGCAGCATCGGGCTGGGCGTTGTCTTCTGACTGCGTTGGTAGCGGTGGTGGTGCATCGGTCATGGTGACATCTGGGTCTGGCGCTGGGGTTGGCACCGAGGGCTTCCGGCTGTTGTTGGTCGACCTTCCCCTGGAGCCTCTCGCCGCCGCCGCCGCCGCCGACGAAGCTCCTCCTTTCCTCTGCGATGCTCCCCCAGCCGCGGCCCTCTTGCTCCCACCAGCCGCAGGAGCAGGCGCTGGTGTGCCCGCTGCGCTCTGCGAAGCACTCCCCGCAGTGCCAGCACCAGCACCGCCACCAGTCGCCCCCTCGCCCGCCCCCGTCTGCGCCCTACTCCACGCCTCAAAATCGTCAAGATGATTCGCAAACGTCTTCTGGCTCGCCAAAATCCTACGCACATTCGGCGTGTGTCCCCGTATCTTGCCGTCCCGATCACGCCCGCCGCCGCCAGGGATAGGGATCTGCGCCGCTCCCCCGGCGCCGAGGCTGTCGCGCTGCAGCTGCTCAATCTCCTTCTGCAGCCTCGCGTCGTGGCGCGCCGAGACGTCGCTGTGGTGGGCGGCGCTGAAGGACCCGGTGGCGCCCTGGCGCGCGGCGCGCTTGTTGCGGTTGACGTGGAGGTGGACGGCGCTGACGGACTTGGACGGGTTGGAGGGGCCGGCCGCGTCGGTCACGTACGCCCAGCCTGGGGCGTGGGTCGTCCTGGTGCTGGCTACCTCTATGACGCCGAAGTTGTTCATTTTGGGAGGGAGAAGGAAGAGAGGGTTTAAGGATGGGGTGGGTGGTGGTAGTAAAAAGAAAAAGGGCAAGAAAAGGTTGAAGATGATGTTGGAGGTCTTAGGCTCCGTGGTGGATTTTTGGGGGGTGGGAAACTTCGGGCCGCCCTCGGCTGGGCTTTAGGCGCACATCCCTTACAGCCACACTGCAAGCTACCTGGAGCTGAGGATCCATCCATGCTTCATGCATGCACCTGCAGTCATGATGTGGCACAAGAAAAAAAAGAAGAAAAAAAGAAATTTTATAAAAGAAAAACCAAGTTCTAAAAAGGGGGGTGATTGAAATCATTCCAACAACTAGAAATTGCCTCACTCACTCATTCAATCAACAAACCTGTGCATACATACTATGTAGTATATCACCACATCCTTGCTACTGTACTACCTTAGTACATACAATGTTCCAGTGGAGTCGTGGCCCCCCCCCCCCCCAGGCTCGGGTGCTCTACGGAGCTTGCTTTGCCAGCTGTGCCAAATCAGCGTCACGGAATTATTACACTGCCCTCTTAACCAAGGCAAATGAGAATAAAGAGGAGCTCCCTCCGTCCTCCCCATGTGGAACGTCATCGGCACTTTTCGGACGAGTGGTATCCCAGCATGCATTGACCCTTTCGCGCTGCCCTTTTTTTCCAATGGCGGACCATTATTGCCGCTTGAAAGAGTGTGGGAACAAGCAATCACCTTGATACCATCGTAGCGTTCGTCGTCGTTGGTGGAATATGCCTCTTGTTTTCTTTTTCAAATGCTCATCGTATGTGTCTTAATGTACAGTCTCGTAGTAATTAAGCCCTTCTCCCTTCTTTCCTCCTTTCCCTAGACCTTCTGTTGAGAAACCCCCCTAGTTTTGCTGTATCTATTTTCCTGCCGTCTATTTGCGCTTCTTCTCCATTGTATCGATCTTCTCCTCCAGCGTCGTCAGGTAATTACTCATGCGCTGCGTAGCCGCCTGAAGTGCCTATTGTTTTTCTCCCTCAAGAAGGGAGCAAGTCAGCCGGGTCTGCTTCTTTCTCAAGAGCCAGGGCCGTTGAAGGAGCGGCAAAAGAGTGGAAGAGTACGGTTGATAATAAACAAAGCAAGCAAAGGTTGGTGCGATATGTTGTTTTTGGTTTTTTTCTCTGGTTCAGGCAGAATATCATCAGATGCAATAACGCACATAGATATCGTCCTGGAGGAGCTCGTTCGATGCTTTGTAGTCTTGCAGGATGTAGTAGTAGCTGCCAGAGCCAGCGAGCGTCGCGCCGAGGAGGAAGCCAAAGAGCCTGTTTCGTCGGTGCCCGGGAGCACACACTGTTAGCTTTGTCTCTCGTGTCGAGCGAGCTTGTATGTAGCCCAGGAAAGCATCGAAAAGGGGAAGTTAGGAGACGAACCCTCCACGGAATGCGCCCAATGGCTTGCGAGCTGGCAGCGGGACAGCCGCGTCGGCGTACAGGCGCGGTGCTGATGACTGAAAGGTTCGGCGTGTTGCATTGTGAGCCAGGCTCGTCGAGGCGAATGCTCGCGCTCCTGCTGAAGAGAGGATTCTCGATGCCATCTTGGGCGAATTGAAAAGGGGGGATGTGTGTGAGTGTGTGAGAGTGTGTGTTGTCGTGTGAATGACTAGAGATGTGAAGGGGCGGACGGTGTGGTTAATTGTCTCGCGTGCCAGGAAACTTGGTAGGGGTTTCCCAGGCCCTGGGCTCGGCTACACCAATTGGGACGGGGCCTTTCTAGCCGACCGCATTCGCTGCATGATCCTACTGTGCGGCCAATCCGCCGTTAGTGAGGGTCCCTGCACTTCTACACCTGTCATTTTCTCCCTGCAAGGGAATGGAAAAATCATAATTTAGAGAGAAAAAAAAGTAGTTTCATTATCCGAATGCTCCTTGAAGACTGTTTTGACTCGTGGCCCTAATCCCTAAAACCCGATAACCGAGAACAGACCCAAAGACAAGTAGTACAAAAAAAAAACAAAAAAGAGTATCAAGGCAGTCCCGTTTTCATCATGCAGCTCATAACAGAACCTCCTCCAACTTGCTATTTCCTCACAGCTCGTCGTGCTCAGCCTCCTTGGTCTCCTTGGCCTCCTCAGACGCCTCAGTTGCCTCAGAAGCCGCGGGCGCAACAGGAGTCTCCTCCTCCGTCTTGGACACCTTGGCCTTGTACTTGCCGTTCTCGGCAATGAAGGCGGCGATATCCTCAACAGTCCGGGAGCCGCTGTAGGTAATGGGCTCCTTCTTCGCGCCGGCAGGGTACAGCTTGATGGTGGGGAAGCCCTGGACCTCATCGGGCACGTCGTTGCTGGTGGCGTCAACCTTGGCGATGACAACCTGGTCCTTGAACTCAGAGTTGGCGAACATGGCGCCGAGCTCCTCGTACTTGGGAGCCAGAGCCTTGCAGTGACCGCACCAGGGAGCGTAGAACTCGATCAGGACATCCTTGGTGTCATCAAGGACAATCTGTTCATACGTCTTGGCGACGACAACGGTCACAGGGCCGTCGTTGTTCTCGGGAATGGGCTCGGACTTGATGCTGGGCTCAATCTTGCCAGAGACGAAGTCGTCGACAAACTGCTTAATGTCTGCCTCGGTAATCTCCTTCTCCTGGTCAAAGGGGAACTTCTGGTTCTTCTCCGTATCCTGGATGGCGAAGGCGGGGAACTGGTCCGCCTTGAGGTTCAGGTTGCCAGCGTGAGCACCAAACTGCTTGGCGTCGATGGTGGCAAAGTTGATGGCACCACGGTGGGCCTCGGCGATGGACTTGAGCTTGTCGCTCAGCTCCTTGCGCTCCTCAGGCGTCTCGGCAAAGATGTAGGCCAGGGGCTTCTTGGCGGACATGTAGACCGAGTAGGTCTCGGGGCCGACTTCGCCAATGAGGGGTGTGGCGGCGATCTTGGCGAAGTTCTCAATAGCGTCGACGTCGAACTTGTCGGTGAACACGGACTTGCCCTCGTCAAAGTCCTTGTAGAGCACAACAGCAGGCACCTTGATACCCTCGGCCTCAGCGAGAGCAGCATCGCTGCTGGCACCGAATGGGTAGTTATCCCGGAGCTTCTCGGCAGCCTGTGTGAAGGTCTCGTTGGAGGACTTGTCTGCGGCGTCAAAGTATGCGACGAGGACGACCTTGTCGGCCTTCTTGAAGTCCTCGAGGGTGTCGGACGTAAGGACGGAGACAGCAGGCAGGGCCTGCTTAATCATGTAGGAGGTGATGCTGGATAGCGAAGCCCAGAATTAGTCAACTGCAGAAGGATCATATAGGACACGCACGCGGGGGGTGAAGGGGGCGGAGGGGTATGGTACGTACGCAGCGGCTTTTCGCTGGCCCTTGTAGGGAGTGTGGTTGTCAATGCCACGGAAGACCTTGAGGGTAGGGTAGCCCTCAACGCCGTATTGCTGGCAGAGATCAGACTCCTCTGTGCAGTCGACCTTGACAAGCTTGATGTCCTTCTCCTTGAGGGTGGTGGCGGCCTCCTCGTACTCGGGCGCGAGGGCCTTGCAGTGACCGCACCAAGGGGCGAAGACTGTGTCACACGGAAGAGGTCAGTTTCGGTAGCAAGCGATGATGCAGGGGGTCGTAGGGAGTGTCCCATACATTCAGCAAGAACAATATCGTTGCTCTTGATGTACTCGTCGAAGCTGTCCTTCTTCAGCTGCGTAACATCGGATGCAGCAGCGAAAGCCGCAGCGGCCAACAGGCCATAAACAGCCTTGCTGAGGGAAGGCATCATGAGTATGCAGGAACTGTAGGAAAGAGGAGTGTCAATTGCTGCTTGATGTCGTCAAGACTGAGGTAGCTGTTGGTAAGGGAGGTGTCTTTGAAAGACACAGGCAAGGCTGAAACTGGTACCACGACGAACCTTTGGAATAAGAAAGAAACCAACAAGTGGCGGATGGGAAATGCAGAGGGGTATATCAATAGAAGCAGCCAAATGCACACAACACCACAAGCTACTGTGGTGTCTCCAATGAAAGGCAAGAAGGGAGTGAAGGATAGGTGACTTTTTTTAAATGGAATTCAGATGAGTTCCAAGTCAAAAGGCAAGGGAGGTGAAATGTGTTTCTTCAGTCGCCTGATGATAAATAATCGAAACTACGAAAGATGCCAGGTGGATCTTATCGATTTCTAATGGCCCTGGTCTGTCCTTCAGTGCTTCCTTCACCCCACGCGGCTCGAGTGAACAGGTGTCCCTTCCACCCGAGCCCCAATAGCAAGGAGCTGACATAGCTGAGCTCTGGGCTGGCGGCCCGCCAACCATGAACTCTGCCAGGACCCTTAAACTGGTACACTAGGCTACTAGGGGCTTAGCGGGGTAATAGGACCTGCCTTTGACCCATAGGATCTCAGGATTCCCATGCTCGTAAACCCCATTCACTGTTATTTACAGCGGCTATTTCCTACAGTATTGCTGTATTTCTGTTGCTCATGTGAAGGGGGCAATCAGCATCAGCAACTCAGAAGAGAGGCAAGGCTGACTTGGTCAGATGACCAGCTTCTTCGATTTAAATTTTAATTTATTAAAACTGGCTGCCGCGATTAGGTGAGAGTGCCTTCTTTGTCCCCAAGGCTACTATTGTCCTATCGCTCGGGCGGCCAATCGCGTGTTATGGACCAAATCGAGTCCGTGAGGTGGCACTAGCCTGGATGCAGTCCAGGCTCCCAACGGAGGTCAGACGCCGTACGACACTTTCAAGCAAGCCATCGGACGGCTCATCCTGGCTACAGACAGACCTCGTTCACAGTTTGTCAGCGTGGCTTTAATTCTGCTCCTTCACTCACTACCGACAAGATTCATTTTCCCAAGGTTTGCATGGCTCTGTATATTCAGTATTCGAGGTCACATGCAACTGGGTTTGTTGAGGTTCTCCGGGGGTGAAGATTATCAATGCATTGATCATCCTTGTGCTCGCATTAGGTCAGTACTCTCACACACCCTGGGAGCCATCGGACAGGACGGGTCGGCGCAAACGGTGCATTGATGTCTTTGTTCTTCATTTCCCAGCCAGGCTTTGACACTCAGCGTCTTTAATATAGCTTTCTTCTGATGATGCTGATGCACTATGGCTACCAGAACTAGGTATCCAGCGGCCTTGTAGCGCCGTCCCGTCTTTCTTTGCCCCGTCGACCTTCTACAGAGCTTATGGAGAACCCAGTAGGGGTGAGAAGACTGAGCAGGGCCAAGACGAAGAACCACCTGATGATGGTGTTGTCTCCGTTTGACCGGTTCAAAATCCGCTGGGGCGAGTCTCTGGCGAGCTAAGCTGCACGCACTTCAGAAAGCATCAGCGCACTGGTTATTCTTCTTCTTCTCCTCATCAATACCGCAGCACCATAATGTACACTTGCTAACTCACCTTGTCTAAGATTGCATGAAGGGAACGGAACAAGCCTCCTTGTCCATACAGCTGTCGCGCATCATGGTCTGACCAAGACTAGGGTGAGACACGAGAACCAGAGCCTCGAAGGCTTACAGCGAGACATCCAGACGATAGAGAATTTTGACGTTCCTCCTAGGCATGGCGTATTTAGTTTCAATACCAACATCATAAGCCCAGCTTTTGAGCTGCGCACCTCCTCAGAGGTATTCATCAAGTGGTGAATTTGATACCCAAGCCATCCCGCACCTGATGGATAAAGAAGAAGGAAGACTAACAAAATTTGCAGTATTTGAATGGACCTCATGTTGATGTGATGCTCGCAATGACTAAACCCCGCTGTCCCAGGGCGAGCAGAGACTATGGATAGGAGGGATCGAGCAACGCACTGGAGTAGGAGTATGTTAGGTCAGAATATTGAAGTGGCTGTATATGATGAGGATATGAAGAGAGTCTTCTTCGGAAAGCCTCGATTGGAATTAGTCTATCTGGTAATAATTCCAGATATGTCCTGTCAGACGTGCCGATTTGGCATGGTCATTCATTCCGAAGTTTGATCGTGCAGGCTCGAATTTTAAGGTTGAACTGGACGAGGTACGTACCCTTCCTACGACTTGATCCTACAGCATTTGCCTTATGTACTATAGTCTGTCGGATAGCTAGCGTCTGTGCATATCATTCTAGACGTTGTCTGTTATTGATTATCCACATTCATTTTGTCCCAAGTTTCTCCATACGTTGCCTCTCATACTGTGGAGAAGAAGAGAGAGCTCCACTTCCCCGGATTTCAGGGTCAAAGGCTCCCCTTGCAGCAGCCCCTTTCTGCTGTGCAGAGCCCACATACAGAATAGCAGGAAGCAGGCCTATGCTCCAAGCAATCAATGTCTTGATTTTGATATTCATTTCTGGTTATAGCCAGATGGTCATCTCTGCACTTGACCTTCAACCTGAGAATACAGATTAAGTCTAAGTATCCTTGTTCAATTTTTTGTCTTGTCTCCCAGTCTGAGCCTTGAACAACTAGCTCACGCCCAAGAGTGAATATCATCAGATGACTTTCATGAGGAACAATGCGTGGCCAGAAGTGCGATATCTCAAATGTACCTCTCCGCACTGCACGATACCTCCTGAAATCAGCACTCTTCATCAGATGTCAGCGGAATACCCAGGGCTCCTTCTATCATCACCAAATAACAACTTGGCCAGGGCATCTGTTGATCTCGTCAAGATCTCTGGGTCAGCTGAGCCTGATCTGTAAACCCAGATTGTACCTTCAAATTGAGTGATGTTTTTTCTATTGTACTGAAGCAAATTCCTCCTGTTGATTAGTATAGGCTGAGGTTTTTTGGCTTCTGTTCCTTTCGTACCGATGACAAGCGTGTTCATCTGTCTAATCCACTCCACTAGTAGCTGCTACTATGGGCTCGGTGCAAAGGCTGTTTATCACTGTTCTGTTTTGAGGTGGGAGATATCATGGCCAGCTTGACGGGAAGGTGGAAGGTGCCACAGCAGCTGTCAGTCTGCGATATAGCACAAGAAACTCGGATGACACAGCAAAATTGCCTGCTTTTGTGTGGCCAAGAGTTCAATATCCGGGCTACAAGGAGGAAGGAGGGTACGACTCAAACTTTTCCCATTGTCAACTTCATCTGTCGTCCCTACATGATCGACTGAACAAAGTAGCTTTATCTTCCCTCCTTCCCTTCCCTCGTTCTTCCCTTCTTCCCTCCTTCCCTCCTTCCCTCCTTTCCTCCTTTCCTCCTTTCCTCCTTCCCTCACCACCCCCCCCCCCCTCTCTCTTCCCTTCCCTTTTCCGTTTCTCCCCTCATTCTGTTTTGCAAATGCTCGGAGCACATCACTCGAGATCGCAACCCACTTTCGGAGTCTTTGTCCTCGTCTTTACCTTGACTTCCTGCTTTCAGGGCACCACTTTGGAGAGCATCAACAAATATGCCTCACTAAACCCCAGCAAAAGCTGCAATCTTGATTTTTGATTACGAGCTTGGTCAGAGACCTTTTACTCCAATAATAGATCCTATCCCCCTTCTTGAGACATTGTCGTTGATTGTCCCTCAACATAATTCTCAGCGCTTACTTCAGGATCCTCCTCTCCCAATCACCCAACGATCCATCAACAAGCACTATGGATCGCAACGACGTACGCGTTGCCAGGCGCTCCGCCAGCCATGGCAACCTCAACCGCTCATTTGATGCCCGAGGCCGAGCAAGGTCGGACGTTGATCACCATCAGCCCTCACCAAGAAGCCTTCGAAGCACCAGAGAGCACCATTTTCTCGACGACGATCACCGCAAGGACCACCCCAAGTACTTGTATTACAACATGCTAAGGAAGACAACAGAGACCGGCAACATCGAGCTGTGTTCCCTAAGCGCCGGCAAGAATAGACCATTGCGAGCGAGAGCCAGCTTGGGAGACCTGCGCCGACCTTCCCCGCGCGTAATTCCTAGCTGCGCGGGACCCGGTCAGGAGGAACGTAAGTTGCTGCCATGCTATCGTGACAGCACCTCGGAGATCATCTCGATGTATGGATCCGAGGACCAAGTCAGTCACAAGGCCATCTCGAGCACAATCTCTCTACCCTGGGACACCAGTAGGCAATCGCCATACTCTCTGACAACCCGTGGCACGAACGGGTATGCTATGCCCAGAGTCGATGCTGTTCAGCAAGGAAGTAACCTGCCCGCACTTATTCAAAGGCCGCGGTCTCCCTATCCATATCCAACACGCCTTGCACGACCAGGCATCCGGCCTGCGTCCCCGGCACTGACCGAGAATGGCCTGGTGGACTATACTAGGATGGTAGAGATTGCCAGAACCCCACAGGTGCGTGCTATTCTAGGAAAATATCTTGTGACTAGTACTGACCTGCATCAGCAGAGAACGACTCACCATCCTCACGCAATGTTGTTCCCCTACAAGACAACGAGGGACATACCAGCACCTCTGGCTGTGAAGTACGACGTCAATCAATCTACGCGCTCTTTCACGGATGATCCACGTTCGATCCTACGAATGCCCAAGGCTCGACCGCCCATGCCAACTCAGCTCCATCCCTGGGGTCTGAGACCGAGGCATAGGTTAGGAAGCGGCTCATCAGGACACAGTCAAAGGACGTCCAGCCTAACTTCAACGAACGGAGGGTATGGACCCCCTCGTACATGCACGCCCAAACTTCCGCCGGCACCTCGGCGAGAACCACTGTTTTACGACTACAGCGAAAACTTCGAAGATGTTGCCGCAGAACCACCTTCGGATTACCAGATCGCTTCAGATTCGAGATGTATGTCCGACACCGTCAGTACAGGCCTCGCGAAGTGCCGCCGTGACTTTAGTTCCGAGACTGCTGATGACGACGCCAAACGTGCCATTGAATTCCTTCAGCAAGCGACCATGGTCGAATCTCGTGACGGCAGTAATGCCTCTGGCAGCTCCAAGGACCTTTCAGGATCACTTTTGATGAACAAGACAGAAGACACTGCCACGCAGCCTCCCTCCGGCGAAACGGCCGACGAGGCTTTGGCGTCTAGTCCCGTGTTACCCACGCCTTACCCAACCGCGGAGACATCGTATTTCTCAGCTTCCTCATCTGTCGATTGTCGGGATGAATATAGAGGCATTCGCCCTGGTGATACAGCATGTGCCGTGGGGCCGGTCGCCATGAGTTTGACATCTGAGATGTCCACGGTTGAAAGTCCTCTCTGCCCTGAGACACCCGACTTTGACATCGGAATGCCAATGACGAAGCCAGAGATTTGTGCAGGTGAAGATCGCATTGTGGGTGAGAGCGAAGACGGCGCAAAGGATGAAGCAACTTCTGCGAAGTGCTCACGGGAGTGGATGGGCCTCTCAGAATCAGTGACCACCGTTGTGCCAAGGCCTGAACTTTCGAGCACTACATCGGTAGCGTTTGCTCGCCAGGGCAGCACTGGACGAAGAGATAGCCGCCTCTTCTCTTTGGGTTCTGGGCTGGTTGACTTGGCTTCATTCGTCAAATACATGGACAAACGCATGCAAACGCCTCAGTCCGACGAACCCGACCAAGTCGAGTTATCGATGCTGCCCAGCTCCAAATCAGTGCCTGGCGGGCTAAATCCAGTTCAGAGGGAAAATGGGTTCTCGGCGCCTCCTCGGACATCGTCACTATGTCGGCAAGGGCTGGAGTACGCCAAAATGAAGGCCAACAACCCACTTTCTACGGACGAGCTCGACCAATATCAAGTGGTCTCAACCCGCAGCGGCCCGACCTTGGTACCGCAGCCAATTTCGCCGGTCAAGATGCTTCGTGTGAAAAACAGCATACCCCAACTGATGAAGGCATTGCCACCTTTGCCCGAGCTCGCACCCGCTCCGGAGTCGCCTTTGGCAGCGACATTGGTACCGCTACGGTGTGAGCCAATTGACGTCTCACAACTCACCGACGCTCGATCATCGCTATGTGACCCCATCCGGCCTCAAGACTGTGACGGTGAGGCGACGAAGGGTTTCGACATGTACGCCTCTGACCGCGGAGTTCGGAAGCCTAGGCTGAGGTTGAAGCAAGCTGCATCTCATGACCCTCGGCACCTTTGGGACTTCCAGCATGGCTACCCGGAACAGCCTGATGTGATTCTCCCTATGTACTCAGGGGAGAAACAATCGACAAGACCAGAGTATTCCGTTATTCCAGTCAGGAGGCGCTTACCGATTAAAGTGTCTCGGCCGCCACTTACAACAAGGGTATCTGAGGACAACGGCACTGTCAAGCGGCGGCCAGGCATCAACAGGTCCAGTACCATCTCAGAGCTTCCTACGACTCATCCGATTGACTTGTTCAACAGTCCGGGAGGTCTAAAGACTACAGTAAAGAGCACCCGGCCTCCCGGTATAGGACTAACGGCGCCAGAGCTCCGGGAGCAAATATCTGCCCCATCACTTATTACCACCGTCGTGGCAAGAGCTCAACAACTACGAACCCATGAACACATCAAAGGTACAACTCTTGATACACAGCTGAAGTGTGAGGTGCAGAGTTCATTCTCGGATGTTAGCTTTGTGAGGCGGCGACGAGGGCTCAGAAAGCGGCTTTCGTATCTGAAATCACGGCTCACCGAGTCTCACCATCCTCAGCAATCACCTTCCTCCGGCGGCTCTCGCCGTGAGCAGAGCTTTGGCGGAGATGCTCTGCTAGCTGTGGAGGGCCAGGAAACAAGCACCTGCCGAGATCCCTTACTCACGTCAAGTCAGCCAACGGATCGCTATAGGGTTGTGAGAACATCAAGGGTTCGGAGCAGGTTGGGAAGATTCATAAGGGGTGCGAGACATAGACTCCGAACTTGGGGCAAAGTGAAACGCAGAGCTGAGTGATTGTGTAATGCATAGTTTGGCAGGTCAGAAAAAAGGCGAAGGGCCATGTTTATAGCAGCTGGTTTGCTTCCTTCTATCTCGATAATGAAGTTCGAGGGAGACAGAGAGAGACCTGATTCAACAGAAAGGTCTGGAGATTCTCGAAGAGACAAGGTGCTGTGTATTTCGAGAGTTAAGACGTCGAAAGTCGTGGCGGGTTGCGGGTTCGAATCATGAGGTCAGGCGACAAACGCAATCGAGTCAAGAGAGGGGAGAATTCCGAAGACAGTACGCTCGCAACTTGTGTAGAGGGACACTGCGAGCAAGTTTGACCAGCTCTGTCAGAGGGTTGTCGAAGGGGCGGTCGAGGTATTACTTAATACAGATTAGAATACACACGACATACATTTCCTCAAGTATTCCGAGGCATGAATAGTATCGCCTCTGCTATTTCCTCTCTATGTTCTCCTTGGGGCAACTTCCTTATCCCATCGACAGCAGTGCATGCTAGTGCTGATTCTAAGGTGCCTAGGCTGACGGAACGACGCCTTGTCTAGAGCGCCATGATGAGTCAACATATACAACAGACTGCATGACCCTCTTCCCCATAGTGTAGGCATGAAAAAGTAATAGTGAGACCTAGTCTAAAGAATGAGTGACCCCTCTTGACTTAATCTGATGTTTGTCTACCGGTACTCAGGCCGAAGGGCGACTACCTCTGGTGTGGCTTGACGTGGTACGTATTTGTGAATGTGTATATATGTACATATCTGTATACTTGCTGCCCGTTCCGGCTCCTGGGGTATCTATCTCTATATACTGTCAGAACACGCCGCCTCCGATAATGAAAAGGCGCTCCTCCTCCTTCTTGGCCCACTGGACGATCTTGTTGGCGCCCTGCGTCAGGATCGCCCGTGATACATTCGGGCCCGCCACGCAGTAGAACTCGAAGACGGGGGTGACCCAGGCCAGGCTGGTGGCGTCCTGGCCGGCACAGTGCAGGATCTTGAGGTGGGAGTGGCGGGCGTGTGCGGAGGCGTGGAGCTGGTGGTAGAGGGTCATGAGACGCCTGCGCGAGACGAGGCCGTCGTCGCCTGGTGACACAGTCTCGTCATCGTCATGGCTGTCGTTGTCGTTGTCGTCGTCGTCGTCATGGTTGATCTTTTCGCCGTGTGGATCCCTTGAGGATGATGATGATGGGCCGGCGAAGGGTTCGAGTGATGACATGCAAAACTGTACGTTGGCCCGAGACTTGTACAAGAAATGGCTGATCTGGCTGCCTGGGGCGATGGAGGTGATCTTTGACCGGCCCACCTTGACGGCTGTCTTGATGATCTCGAGGTGGCCGTTCTTTTCGAGGTTGGCGGCGACCCTATCGCGCATCTCCTTGAGGTCATAGAAGGACTCCTTATCCGGGCTGATGAGAATGATGGCAATCTGTTCCTCGGATGGTGGAACGGTAGCATGCGGCATGTCGTGTTCGTGGTCGTCGCTGGACGGCTCGTCAAAGAAGCTGACGTACATGTACAGGTACCCGCTGCTGTTGAAGGCGGGCAGGCAGAGTGGGATCCAGTTCTCGCCGCCCCCAGCCTGGATGCCTCCGGACTCGAACAGCATGTTGAAGATGAGCTGCAGGTCGCTGGGGTGGAGGGAGTGTCGCCTCGGGCGGATGACGCTGACGAGCTTGCCGCCGGCGACAATGAGGCCGTACAGCAGGTTCTCGGTCTTGCCCTTGAGGAAGGCATTGTTGAGGGCATGCCTCTGCGACTTGCGTATCCTCAGGCACTCCAGGGCGCCAAGCATCGAACTCGGAGAGCCTTTTGTGAAGCTGTCTGCGAGGGATGACAGCAGGCCCTCGGTCCCCTGGAGCGGCGTTCGCAGGTCGGTCGAGGGCCTGTGGACAAAGATCTTGGTGAGGGTGGGCAGGGTTAGGGTGGAGAGGATCTGCATGTACAAGGCCTTCAGCTGGTCTCGAAGCTGCATATCGCTCTCGCCAAGCCGGCTGATGGCCACAAAGTAGAGAGGCCCCTCGGTGGCCACGACAAAACGAGCGTTGCCGGCAGTGAAGCCCTGCAGAGGATTCTGCATGCCTTCGTAGAAGGATATGATGGTCTGCACAACCCCCATGGACGAGTTGATCAGGCTCACGTCCCCGTGGCGACTCCATATCGGCTTGCCAGCAGACGACAGGATCATGTAGTGCTTCAGCTTGGACCGCCACTGTACCAGGCGCACCTCATCGCCCACGTCGCCCTCGTCCGGTATCTCGTCGAACTCGCGCTCGAAGTCCCCCAGGCCGTCGGTCGCATACTGCCTGGCCCTCTGGAACGGCTGCACAGCTGCAGACTGCGACCTCAGCAGCGCCCAGGCCCTGCTCTTCTTGTTCAGACCCCCCGCGACGAGACTTGCGAGATCTGCGGGCGGGCGCATCGTCGGCGCGAAACTCATCACACTGGCCGAATCGTCGCCGCCACCACCGGGCAGCGCGGAGCCAGGCACAAAGCCACCGAGCTCGGCGGGCGTGGCATGGCCGCTGGATGCCCTTGAGGATGCGGCCTTGGAGCCAGACTCGGCTCCACCGCCCTCGAAGGTGCCCCGCGAGCCGTCGGGAAAGGAGAGGGTCTGGATGTCTATAGGGGTGATTGCGGTGGTGGGCTTGGCGGCGAGCTGGACGGAGGCTCTTCGTGGGGGCAATGGAGGGGGGCGCAGCTCGTCGGTGTCATGGTCGTCGCCACCGCCGCCGCCGCCGCCCACTGCTCGTGCGGTACGGCCGTTGCTGGTGTCGGAGGAGGCAGGCAGCAGCTCATTGCGGCCGGCGCCGTCGTCGGTTCGGACCATGTTTTGGGTCTGTGGGTGGGTGTCTCATGTTTCGAGCGAGAAGCGGCTCAGCCTATCGGATTTCTGCATGTCCGAATTACTGAAGGGTGTGTGCTGTTGAAGGGTTGGTTTGGCCGCCCTGCGCCGAAAGCCCGATACTTGGTTCCTGCCGTTTGATGTTGGATGAAGGAGTTGACGTCGATAGAGCTAACCCGGTAAAGGCATGTTGTTTTGATATGCAAATAGCGCATCTGACTACCGGTAAATATTTATTCTTCTAATGAATTTCGTTCTACTATACAGTGCCAGATTGCTTAGCATTAATGGAATATTTATAAGGTATCTTTTTGCTTTCTTTTTATCGTTCTACTATTTTTCTTGCATTCTTCTCGTTGAAACTAATCAACTTCACTCCTCAGCAACCCTCCAGACAAGTTTCTCCCCGCTCACCTGTCTATCCCTCAACAGAGCCAAGGCCTTCTCAGCACGTTCCAGCAATGTTTTGCCCTCGACAACCCGCTGCTTGTTGGGCTGGATCAATCCTTTGGCCAGCATTTCAGGCATCACGTCCGGCTGCAGGTGGTACTTGAAGAACTCATTGTCCGTGTAGAAGTGTGTCCTCACACCCCGCAGCTCCACGCCCTGCGCCCACTGTCCCACCAGCACCTTACTCACGTCCATTTCGTACTCGGGAACCTCGGTCGCGCTCGCATGCGACATGATGACAGGCAGCATGATGGCAACCTTGGTGCCCTTGCCCGCGATCCTGCTCAGCGGCGTGAGCGTTCCCTCCAAGGAGCCAATGCAGTCGATGATGTACGGAATGCTGCTGCTGCTCTGGCTCGCAACAATCTGCTCCACGACATCCTCCTGCCCATAATCGAAGCACACGCCTGCACCCAGCTCCCTCAGCACAGCGTGGTGCCTCGCGCTCGCAACCCCGATGACGTTCCGGTACCCCCAGACCTTGAGGACCTGCAGCGCATACTGGCCCACACTGCTCGCCGCGCCCCAGACCAGGATTGGCGCATCCCTCTGGCCCTTCTCCTGCGCTTCCCAGCCCTCTGACGGCACCGGCCATGGGAGCGCCAGCCCTAGATCCCTTGTGATGGTGTGTACTGCCGTCACAAAGTTACTCGGCACCGTGACGGCCTCCTGCATGCTGAGGTTGGCAGGGACCTTGCCGCAGAGATAGGCAGGAACCGTAATGTACTCCTGCTGGGGCCGCTGCTGCTGCGTGGCATAGGAGAAGCCAAAGACACTGTCGCCGACTGTTAGGCCGCGCGAGGCCGGTGACAGGGATGGCGACGACAGATCGCCGACCGCTGCGACCGTCCCGGCGAAGCAGGCGCTCATGATGTGGGGAGGCTGGATGAGCAGGCCGCCGTCTGCGTTGTGCAGGTTAAGAGGCGTGGAGGCGGTCCATTGGACGTGGACGAGGACCTCGCCTTCGCCTGGCTGGATGGTGTCGACCTCGAGGATCTCGAGGGGGGCGCGAGGGCGGACGATGACCACGGCGGGGTGCTTGGCTGGGATGGTGGAAGCCATGTTCAATACTTTGTATAGTGATTAATTCTTGTTGGGAAGGGTGTAATAGCTTGTATGATGAGCTTGCAAGAGCCTTCAGTAATTTCTAAATATGACGGTCCTTATGAAAAGCCTCTCTCTAGTCAGGATGCACAAGGGATGAAGCCACTTGCTCGACATCAGAAGCAGTAGATACCGTTTCCCGGAGGGGGGAGGGGAGAAGGTTTCATGGCTTTTTATAACAATTCCTTGTTACCCTCGTGGTGCTTAGTGAAGCCAACAAGGTTCCTCAACCAAGTCGCATTCGCGCGTAAAGTAACATAGACAAGCCCCGTCTGTATTAGCAAGCAGGCAAATCCTTTGGAGCACGTAAGCGTGCAGCGGTGTACATTAGATCATCATATCTGTGGCTACTGGCCGAGTCTTTCCCTTGCTAATAATATGCAGCACAGGTAGCATTTGTCATCCACGAAAGATTTATAAGCTACTTAGTAGTTAAATACGGGAAAGCTTGTACAGTACGATGCCTGATTTGACCCTCCTTGAAGTACTGAATCAATGTAACTCCTGAATTACATTTATGCTAAAGAGAGAAAAGGTGGATTTATCAAGCAGAAGATTACGTACGAGGTACGTGGTATGAACATTAAATCAATACATTATATGCATGCCAGCCATATTCATCATGTCACCAGGGTTAGGGTCGACTAAGTACTTCCGTGCCTATTACTACTAGCATTTATGCCCCCCCCCCCGACCGGAGTTTCTTTCCATTTGATCACGAGAATGGTCACAAGGTCTCATGATGTCTACATGCTTGTGTCAGATCTTACACAACATATACGTCTACATCCCCTTGGAGAAAGCAGTCACTTTGCAAGGCGACGAGAGAGTACTAGAGCCTGAGAACTTCATCGTCACAGGAGGGGTTTCTTGGAAGATGTAGTTCAGATTTTAATATTCATTTCCTAATAAAGTTGCAATCTGGTTTCCTAGACACTCAGAAGACGTTTCCTCGTTGCCTTTCCCTCCAGGCTCTCCGTATTTGCAAGAACAAGTTCCCTTTTCTGTGCTCAAACCATGGTCAAAATATTGACAATCTGCCATCAAACCCGATAGTTTTCATTCTGCCCAATAGGTCCTCCGTGATATCCACAAACAATTGTAAACAGGTGAAGGACTGGTATGAATCACCCCTAACGCCCCCATCCGTACGACCCATTTCTCAACCCAAAATCCCAGGTGCTCAATTATAGTGTTTTTTATGTTCGAAATGAGATAGCGTTGAAGGAGTCTAGGTTCGTGATGCCGGCATAGAGGCCAGCCGACCTGCGTTGTCGACATCGTTTTGCTTGTCACCGGTCGGTGGATGTCCGAGGTCCTTCAGCACACCGAGGACTTTTTCTCGGAGGGAGCTCTTGGGCTTGGTCTGCGTCTCGAGCTCTTTGTCGTACGAGTATTCGGTGTACACGGAGGCTGACGACGGTGTGACGGCAGAGGTGGTGGGTTTGTTTGACGGCGGTGACGGCTGGCGGGCCGGTGGAGCCACCCCGTATGTCCTTGGAAAGCTGGTCAACTGCATGTTGGGAGGTTTTTGAGACACAAAATATTGTGTTGTGCTGTAAGAGTGTATGGCAACTTGATGTTTGGCTTGAGGTTCGATCAAGTGGCTGGTATCTCGTCGACTGACTTGATGCTTTGTAGTCAAGTATTATTTATTTTCTGATGGCTGAATGGTAAAAGGTAAAGGGAAATAAAACAAAACCAGTCCTGGAGAGGACGCCTTGCACATACTTATAGATGTGGAGAGCAAGCAAGTAAGTGTGTGCACCGCAGGTGATTGCGTGGACATCCCATAGCCCTCCTGTTGCAAAAGGCGGGCTATAATTATCTGATTCCATACGGCGGAGTACCGCTACGGTGTGCCAGATGCGGTATAGATTTGTGGCTTCCTACCATATGTTTCTAGTTTAGAATATGACTCAATCCAATTTTCCGGCAACCTCGATTGGACTGGCCGACTGGCTAAGTAACCCTCGTCTCACCCCGGAGCTCGGCTTCGGAGTCACAACATTAAACCAGTACGGCATTCATCGGTGTGGTCGGCTACGTAACATACTGATAAACCGCTGGCTAGGTATGTACCATAGTAGCTACGTACTGTACTAGAAGTTGGTGCTTATTGCTTTCTTTTTTTTCCTTTCTTTTTCAGTGTGGAATCAGCCAACAAAGATTGGTTTCGCGTAGTAGACCAGCAAAGCATACTCCATGTTGTTGTGTCGTTGTCACCCGTTGGCGAAGAAGTCTGACACTGGAGTAAGACGGGCCAACATGTCGCCTTCTCCTCACCGCTTGAAACGCGTTGGCATGATGCAATTTGTTTTCGCGGCCTGAGAAGTCGTCGTGGCCCCCAGGTCTAAAGTTGAGGATGCACGCTCATAATGATGCAGAATGATTTTGATGCGAGTTGGTGCATCTCGGCTGAGCCCGCAAGGAACAATCCAATCAGGTACAACGCCCAACGTGATGAGTCCACACAAACTAGGTCTCGGAACCAAATTCGCAGTCGTGAGTCAAAGCCTCGTCATTAATACGCCCTTTTTAAGTGTGAGCTCGAGACTACGGCTTCTGACAATGTACCACACAGCTCTACTCAGTTGACGTACCTCGTAATATCGTATCATGTTGGATCATATGATTAGCACAATACATCTCATCTAGTTCGTGTAACATCGAGCCAATTGATCTTTACGCTATGGAGGACACGTTGCCGGCGTCGGTGGAGAGGAGGCGCGGCTAGAGAAGAGGCATGGATTCGTAGGAGTGGTGATGTGTGGTTGGGGGCTGAAATTACACATTGTCGGGGAAAAAAGCGATCGCCAGTCTCTCAGAACTGGCTGTACCTATATATTTTCCCACACACATATGTAACGTGGAATCACTCAAATCCAGCACGACACTGCAAGGTACTTTTTGCTTTCTTTTGCCATGATGTGTGCATTTCACAATCCTCATCAGCCCTCGAATGGCTCAGCTAATGATTCCGTAGGAACCAGAGACAGAAATGAAACTGCATGACTCTTTTCGCGTGAAGTCTGCAGCCAGTTTGCAGTGTGCTCCTATAATTAGTAGTTGAATCCGCGCGAGCGAACTCCGACCTTCAGCACATGATGATCGGAACTCGGCAGTGATGTATCAAAGACACCATGATTTGGGTCAATGTATTGGTATGGGACTGTACATTCACGAAATCCCTAGCCTACTCCGATTCAATTCCGTACGATGCGAATGAGTGAGGCCCAGGTTGCGAGGAAACCACTCATAACACGCCGTGTACTGCTACATGGAAAGGAAAGAGACTACCAAAAGATGATTCAATCGCAGAAGCATTGGGGTGCATCGCCTGGAATTCTCAGCGGGAAAACCCCAAGAAACTAAAAATTACTCTCGCTGAAGTTCACTCCGACCTTTCAATTCATCTGGTAACCAGAGCGGTGCCCAATCCAATTTTCCAGTTCTGTCCACGCACAGGAGCAAATAACATATCAGTGCTCGGCTTTTCTGCGATCAATCCTTGATCATGGAGTGCCTCGACAAGCCCATCCAGTGTCTTTCTATTCGGCTCGATGCCGTTCACCCACGGATCGCCGCCCGGGAAGACCTCGTCAATCTCGTCCAATTCCGCGGGCAGCCGTGGAAACATGTACCGCAGATAATCCAGAAATCTCATCCGCAGCCGCGCCACCTCCTTTGAGTCATCCAGTGCATTGTACAGGCTTGTCGCCATCCAGGGGTGTCTCTGCAGGATTTCGGTCTTGACTACCACGACGTGCATGATGGGAAAGATTCCTGTTTCCTTGAAATATCTCTTCTCCCTTTCCTTGAAATCCGGAAACAACCTCTTCACATGCTGCGCCTTTCCCAGGCAATTTGGCAGGTCTGCCCCGATCGTAGCATCGATCTCGCCGTCCTCGAGAAGCTGACTCAGTGACTTGCCTGTTTCGTTCGGCGTGATGTCGACTGGCTTGACGAGCGGCATGACTGCCGGTTCCCCGTGGGAGTGCCCTGATTCCATGGACCCTTGGGTCCAGTGGATTGATGAGAGGTCGATGCCGTGCTGCTGGAGCACGGCTCGGATCCAGACCGCTGCGGTCATCGTGTATAGTTGCACGCCGATCTTCTTGCCATTGAGGTCCCTCGGCGAGGCGATGGTCTTCGTGTTCACGGCTACGAATCCGTGCCGAAAGGCCCGAGACGGGAAGACGGGGATGGCTGTGAAGTCTCTCTTCCCCGCTGCATATTGGCAGATACTGTATTCCATTATGTTTCATTATCAATGATTAATCAAGTAGTCATTCTTCCAGCTGCTTTGCGCCATGACGCTCCGGTCTCTGGGGGTGAGCACGTACTACTCGCTCAAGGACAACTCCGAAGCATCAAACTCCATGCCTCCGGACATGCGGTCGAAGATGTCTCGAGGGTGGTTTACCGAGATGAAGTTGAGGTCGATGCCCTCCGCCTTGACTTCTCCTTGCTGGAGGGCCTGCATCCGGTCATAGGGCACAGACGCGAACGAGATGCTCACCTTGTTTGCGGACATTTCTTCTCGTTCTGCCTCGGCGATAGTGCGATTCGTTCGCGCAGAGTCAACGATACAATACGGCACACTTCTGTCCAACGACTGTTGAGTGTTCATTCGAAACTGGATGCCGACGCTGTGGTACTTTTTGACTGATATCGCCACATGCTAGGAGCGTGATACGAGTTCAGTACTGCCTTAGGGCGATTGTTCTGCGGTGGTGGTGAACGGGCTGATGGTGGGATGCGGGGAGCAACGGCTAGGCTAATTGTGACAAAGTTCCGAAGCTGCTAGTAAGCAGCGTGTAGTTCAGATGTAATTATGTCTGTCTGGCATCCGTTCTACGATGCATTCATATCATCGCCCATCTAGTACCGGCTGGGGTTTCCCACACTGACTATTCAATATTGCTGAAGTGAAAGAACTTTGGAGGCTGAATAATCGAATACATGCACACCTTGAGAAGCTGTAATTCGAGAAGTCCATCAGGAGCCTTTCCTATGTCCCGAATACTGAGTCTCTCTATCCAAAGCTAGTTCCGTGGCTATCTCGGTCACACCAGGAACACTGTTAAAACGAGAACTGAGGAGAGTTACTGCAGAGTGAGTACGAGTTAGTTGTCACCATTCATCTGCAGTGTACACACTCGCTGAGAGGGAAGGTCAAACACAACTAAGCCACCCACCAGCATATGAGAAGAATAGTACGGGAACCATTATATGGCTGATTTCAGCTTTTAACCGAATACACTCCACTTAGTATCAACGTGTATGATAAGCTGCGAATTATCTCGTTTGATATCATGAGAATCGGTGCTGTCTTAGTTTATACAAGATACTTGTGCCTGAGCAAATATTGCCCAGATTGCCAGAGAATGGATATGAACCCCTTGATATTTGTGACGTATTATTTCGCGGATGAATAGTACAGTACAGGATGTGGTCGTAGTAATTTAGATACAAGAGCATTATTAATCCTAATTAGTAACAGCTTGTATGTTTTGGATGAAGAATAAGTTTGAAGCTGGAGTTGGTTTAATCGACAGATATTCAAGTCAAAATGGATACAAATCCACTTCCTTCCAGTTGTCCCGCGTGTAAGTTTCACAGAGACATCCATACGGTGTACTGGCACTTTTCAGGTGAATGTTTACGCCCCGGGCCCTGAAGCTGATCGTCTTGGGGTTCCCGTGCTCTCGGAGACTTTTATGTGGCGGCGCAATATTTGTGCCGCATCCTCGCCAGATGTCTAGCATGTTCTTGTTGGTGCTCGGAAGCAACTCGCCAAAAACCTTGCCGAGAAAGTCGCGAGGTGTCCGATAACTGGGTACCGCTTGTAGACAAGAAAAAGTAGTATAAGAAGAGGCTTGAGAAGGTAGCGATAGTAGTCCAATGAGCAGTATCTCCAGAATAACAAGTTTGATCAAGATCGTTCACCTCTATTCAGAGAAGAATATACAGAAGACCTCCACATGTCGACCACCGCCAGTGAAGGGGTTCATTTTCTGCCCCTCGGCCCCGGCAGTGACATCGCCTCGGCCATCCCCTCCGATAAACCCGTCACAATGGTCATTTTCCTGCGCTTCCGCGACATCTCCTCGCACGCCGCCAGCCTCGGCCCTCCCATGTCAGGCCAGGAAGCTTTCATCACACGCTACAGCCCAATCATCTCCGGGCTGGCAGAGAAATTTGGCATCAAGATGTCTCCGGTATACCTTGGCGCATCTCACGCGTCTCTTATGGCTGGGAGGGAGAACGGAGAGGGCGAGAAGTGGGATGTTGTGGTACTGTCCAGGTACGACTCGTTTGCGGACTATGTCAGGCTGATGACATCTGAGGAATATGAGCGGGACGCGATGCCTTGGCGATTGGGAAGTGTGGAGGCGCACAAGGTAATTGTCACGACGGAATTGGAGGTCCCAACTTGAGATAGCATTGTGTCTTCTAGTATGGAAGTGGCCCTGCTTGTACTGAAAGCAGTCTGCCTCTTTGTTTTTTTTTTTTTTTTTTTTTTTGCAAATCAAAGCTGGAGAAACAACCAAACATCGCGGCGCGGTATCTTGGGCTCATAACTCCACACGCGGTTCACGAGTACTTTTAGTGGAGGCGCGACACGTCTCTTGGTGCAACGCGCATTCGCATTCGTACGCGGTCGCGCAGTGACAAACGGGGTGTCAAAAGAAAGTCTCACATATCATCCGCAGAATCTTGATCTGGTGTTGCGTATGTAGGAGATGGCAACCCTGGGAATGAAATTTGTTCGCAGGGCTGGTGCAGCAAGAAACTTGCCCCAAGATCGTCGCAATGTCAGTGGACAATTGGCCCGGGGAGGATCCGCGAGGTTGGGTCGCATGGGCGCTAGACTGGACAAGTCTAGTGTGCTGTATTTTGGGGTACTATAGTATACGTTCCCAGGCGTACCAGGCGTACCAAGCGTGACGACATGGATACAGATCGCGGGAGCGGTGCCTAGGGTGATGCCTAGCCCACACGGTAGATTAGGCACCCTGGCTTGCCTGGCACAACTTGGTTCCGCTGGACAGGCGCGGGGTCGTAACACAGCCCCCTTGGAACCTTGGCCTCAACGCCCAAGGATCCAGCAGTTGAAGTACTAACTAACCCTCAAGAGATTGGTGGGTTGCCTCGCGCCTCGCGCCTACCCGCCCACCCAAACAGCAGTCAGGCAGTGTTAGGCTCTCCGCGTGCGCGCCGTCCCCCGCGTACACAGTCCCCGTGGTGTGTGCACCTGCAGCTGGCAGCTGAGGCGGCGGAAACACCACCCCAGGTACCGTTCAACTACCACAGTTAGATAGAGTACTTACCCACCCGGGTCTTTACCAAGCCAAAACCCCACTCTTTTGCTCCTCGACCTCATTTTTCAATCCCTCACTCTCGTTGATGTATGTCGCCCTCGGTTCGAGTCGTCACTTTGTTTCTTTTGTTTTCTCACTCTTGCATGCCACATGACTTACTCTCCTCTGCGAGGTCACCAACATTGCTTTTCAATCCTCGATTCGTATATGCAGCGGCGTTCCCCGCCCTTTATGAATTTGACCCTGCATCTTCTTCTTCGTGTGTTTCTTATTTTTCACTCCTAGCAATTCCTACTCGCTCCCCTCTATCTTTCCAACTCCTTCCCTCAGGCTGGTCAGACTGCACTGCATGCGCCCTCGAGTCGTATCCACACTGCCTGTGCACTCGTTGCCCGGTCAATCCTTCACTACGGATTTTGCATGAATCGGCGGCAGACCAGGCCAAGGCCCGCCCCCCGCCCCCCTCCAACTCCACTTACGCGACGAGTGACGCAGATACGCGACAACAAATTTCCCAAGGGCTACTGCTTGTGACCAACACTCGAATCCAGAATCCGAACTTCTGAAGTGGCTGTTCATTCCCTTTTGGAGTCGGAGCAAGAGGTATACCGAAGAGTAAGCCTTAAGTGGCTGCCAGGCCCACGGACGACCAGCCGCTTGGCTGAAGAAGAGGCTCCAAGAGGCGCCGCCTGTGTCTGTTGGCCCCGATGGAATCCACACTGGGTTCCCAGCCGACCCAGCTGGGTGCGCATACCGTCCCCTCCTCCCGTTTGTCAGTGCGCACGCACACAAGAGGCTGGACATTCTGACTGACTGATCATGGCCTGCGCACAGCTACCCAGACCGTCCTCGACCCTCGCCGACTAGGCAAGCAGAACTCTGGTTTCTCAGACGATGACATCGCCGACATAGTATGTCTCCTCCTACCAATCTCCGAAGGTGCTCGCGCCGAGCTGCGCGAAATGGCCCTGCGGACGTCCATGCATGTGGTCGATGCAGATGATGCCGCGCACCCAGACCTGCAGCCCCCCGAGGGCTTGAGCCACTTGCCATACCTCGTCGGCGAGCAGGCTATCATTCTCCGCCTCTCCGCCCAGGTCAAACACCCTCTTCTGGGCTTTGCCTTTGGCCGGAACTCCTCGACCTGCGACATCTACTTTGCCAACGACCCTCGCCGGAGACTGAGCAACATACACTTTCGGATCTATTTCAACGAGTATGGTGTGCTCATGCTGGAGGACTCGTCCATGAACGGCACAGTAGTCGACGGGGCCATGTTGAAGGGCAAGGAGGGAAACAAGGCAAAGCCAGACCAGGAGAAACTGCCCAAGCGGAGAACACTCAACCCAGGCTCCCAGATCGTCATACTTATGGCCGACCGCCAGGATGACCTCCACTTCATGGTTCAGGTCCCACGTCGTGAGGGCGACTATGAAGAAATGTACAGGAGGAACTTGACCCGGTACATGAAGCGCCTCCAGCAGCTCCGGGCAGAGCAGGGGGACGGAGACGCGAGCAAGACCATCACTCCTGGGCCCTCAGGACATGTAAGTCAACGCGGGTTGTCTTTGGGTCTATGCCGGACTAACCACTACCACCTCCAGGTCGATTTGTTTCCTGTGGATGAGACAACGAGAAGAATAACCCCACGTGGCAACCGCCGACCTATGTTACTTGACGATCAGACACAAGACGCAGACGAAGTGCAAGGACTGCCCAGGGAGTGGAATGGGTCTGGCAAATACAACAGAGTGGGTCGCATAGGCAAGGGAGCCTTTGCCACGGTCTACATGGTGACCGCCAAATTCGATGGCAGACCGTATGCTGCCAAGGAGCTCGACAAGAGAAGGTTCATGAAGAACGGAGTGCTTGACCAGAAGGTGGAAAATGAGATGAAGATCATGCAGAAGGCCAAGCATGTAAGCCTCACCTCCATTAACCCACCCTTCTTGCGCCGGCCCTTGATCGCTGACAAGACACCAGCCCAATATTGTTGAGTACGTGGAGCACCTGGATTGGGACAACCGCCTCTTGATCATCATTATGGAGTACGTACCACAAGGTGACCTGGGCAGCCTCGTTGGCGACAACCAACCTCTGCTTGAAGGGATTGTTCAGCAGATGACAAGCCAGCTGCTCAGCGCGCTGGCGTATCTGCATGCCAACAACATCACTCATCGTGATGTCAAGCCAGACAACATCCTCGTGCAGTCTTTGCAACCATTCGTCGTCAAGCTCACGGATTTTGGTCTGTCCAAGATGGTGGATACTGAGCAGACCTTTCTGAAGACGTTTTGCGGTACTCTGTTGTACTGCGCCCCCGAAGTCTACAACGAATTCGCCGAGTACGATGAGTATGGCCACAGGTTTCCCAGGAACAGGACACGACGAAGGCCGACTGGTCAAAGATACGACCATGCCATTGACATCTGGTCCCTGGGCGGCGTTCTCTTCTACGCACTCACTGGGCAGCCTCCTTTTCCCGCTAAGAACGGTATCAGCTACACTGAACTCCTCCACCAGATCATGACGAAGCGGCTGAACACGCAACCTCTCACCCAAATGAGCATCACGTCAGACGGCATTGACTTCTTGTTGCGGATGCTCCAGAGGCGGCCAGAGCAGCGTGCGACAATCGAGGAGCTCCGAACCCACAATTGGCTCGAGGGCACAAGCTTCTCACAGGAAGAGCCTGCAGCTGGCGGGTCACAAGATGAGGAGATCGATGTTGAGCTTGGGAAAGAGGCGTCGCAGCTGAGTCTTGACGACAAACTCGCCCTTGAGAATGGCGTTCCCGAGGAGCAGGAGACTGACGTGGAGGAGGATCTGGCCCTGGAACAATTTGGCGACGACAAAGTTCAGGTTGTTGATTTCGACCGCTACGAGTCTCAGAAGGAGAACTACACATTCGATCAGAAACCACAGCAGCCTCAAAAGCTGTTCGGTGAAGTGTCCGACGTTGGCGATTCTGGTGCGCTTCCATCAAACCGTCTCAATCTCCCCTCTCAAACCGCCGACCCAGAGGGGACACAGCTTTTCCACACCGTGATCAAGGACAGCTTTGGATCGGAAGTCTCGACGCCGCGTCAACCCAGGAAATCACAACAAAACACACGCGGCGCCCTACCACCAGCGCTCACCCAGAGTCAATACTCCGTGACCCAGTCCATCATCGAATTGAACAATCTGACGTTCGATGCGGAATCGCAGGATCTTGGAGGGGCCGAGTCGCAGCTGGAGAACCTTAACATGAAGTCTCTTGCTCCCTCTCATGGCAATCTCACCAGCTTCAACACAAGCAAGCGAAAAACGTCTGTCGACACGAGCGACGAGTTTGAGAGCACCCCGAAAGCCAGGCCAGCGGTCAAGAGACTTAGATCGGAGAGTGTCTTTGATGCGATGAGCTACGATGAAGAAGCAGAACAAAATCTCTATGCTCAGGTCCCGCCCCTGTCGCGGATCAATTCCAACCGACAGATTGACAAGCCGGTGCACAAGTCTACGTATTGGAACGCTCGAGACAGCAAGAGCTGGCATCTGTATTATCCAGAAATGACTCAACTTCAACATGATGCGTTCGCATCCGCAGCAAAAGCCAGAGGCGAATCTTTTGCACCCGGGAAGTCCCCATTGTGGGACTTGGCCATGAAGCATTTCCCACCATCGCTTTCGGAATCTCAAGCACCATCGCTAGGATCTAGCCAGAACAGTACTTCAGACCTTGCCTCAAGAGCGTCAGATCGGCGGAATGACGCATCAGGACTGGTGGACTTGGGTGACATAATGCCTCCAGATTATAGCACCCTCTCACTGGCACATGCGGACCCGCCTCTCAACAGGGTTGTGGCGCTGCTAGAGTCAGCAGAAGGATCCGTCGTGTCTGGGGTCTCGATCCTCATCAACTCGGCCATGGTCTCATGGGGCAGGGCGGAGGACAACACTCATACTTACACACCTAAGACGGAGCCCAAGGTACCAAAGTACGGCCTCAAGATCATGCTTTGGAAGACTGGCTATGAGCCCTCGAAAGACCTCCAGCCATGGAATTCTGCCGGCGACGATTTCCACTTCTATATATCGACGAAAGCAACGTATGGCCTGCAGATCAACAGAACCGTCCTTCCGTCCCACGACCCGAAGGCTCCACGTGGACCATGTCGGCACTGGATTCGCCTTCATGATGGTGACGTGGTGGTATTCTGGGGCACTGGGAACAGAGATGACAACACCAAAGCCAAACTTGTGTTCCGTTGCGAATGGGGTGGCTCTTCGAGACCGAGAGACCCCGCCTTGCCCGCGCAGCTTGTTCCTGCGGAGATTGCCGACTGCCTGGACCTATCGTGTCGCAAGGCAGAAGAGCGCGCTAGCAAGTTGCTAGAGTACGATCTAAGGCTGCAAGAGGCCGCCTACGATACTGCTGAGCGGCAGAAGAACATAGAACGTGAGCGACTGCACTCGCAGAACTTCGAGGTCAAGAGACTTGAAGCCTGCCGAAATTTAGCCATGAGGGCCAGCGGGAAGAGCTCACCTGCTTCCACGGAGCAGCTTATGACTCCGACCCCTGCTCCACCAAATATGATGGGATATACCAACCCATTGATGATACGGAAGAAGAGCGCACCGACTCTCAAGCACGCTTCGTCGACCGTGGACGCACGAGCATTGCAGACGATGGTCGAGGAGTGAAATACCCAATGGAATGGGACACGACCGATTTTACAAATCACACGCGCTCACACATGATAACGCCTCCAGCATTTCGGGAGCGGAACAGAGGCACCCAAAGGGTATTGTTGCTTTGTTTCTATTCTTTCTTTTCGCATATGAGTTCTCTTCCACCCCAACAAGAGACGAGGAGCAAAGGTCAGACGTGCTTAGAGAAAAGAAAAAATAAGACAAAAAACATGGGGGTGGATTGCGGCGTTTTCGATACCTCGATATTTGGCTGAACGAACTTGGAGTATTGTGTTTCCCATAGGGTTCATGGCGCATAGGGATGCCATGTCCTAAAGGAGATTTTCGGCAACAGCTTGTGTTTTGAGTATTGGTAGCTATGGCGAGAGCGAACATGTCACGAAAGCACTGTTGGGCATTGGCTCAGGAGCGACTTTTACTCAGAAAGATGAAAGTAAATATACTTATGCTATATAAAACGATCGCGGTGAGCTTTTGGGCCGCTATGCCATTAGTCAGAGGCTTTGCACTACGTTCTTAGTACTTGGTATAGTACTGAGTACTTTGTATCACGGGACTTCGCTCCATCGGAACTGCTTAGTCACGCGCCAGCTTGACGTTGGGCCGGAGACGCGACGCGCTCCACACCTGCGCCTTCCCCCCCTACCCAAACACCAAGAAGGCAAAACATCGGTTACTAATAAGATAGTTTGCCTGCCTGCTTGCCTGCCTGCCTGCCCACCTTGGACATCGTTTTGCGACTGCGTCCTATGAGACTGGCAACTCGCCCTCTTTCAGCAAATGTTTTCTTCTGACAACAAACCTAGCAACAATGCCCTGAATCTTCTGACCCATCGTCCCTATGACTCGAAACAATCTCGCAAGCAACCTTGCATGGTTCCTGTCCAATACCCAGCTCTCCAGACCAACCGGACCTGAGCTCCCTGCCGTCTACGACGCCTTCGACATCTCGAGGAGCTTTAACTCGGAGTCTTCGCAATCTGCCTCGGGGCGGTTGAACACAGGCGGCGACCGGTGGCAGCCAGACGCGTCTCGCCCGACATCAACAAGCCGAAGCACACACGATTTGACTGACGAAATCCAACTAGCCACTGATGACGAGCCTTCCGCTGGGAACGAGGAGGATCGACTGGATCGCGATACAGCTGGGAGGTCCGCAGGAATGGCGAGGTTGACGACAAAGCCTACGAGGAAACCCTCTCTCATGTCGAAGCAGGAGCGACTCCCCACACAATCCACTACAGGGGTCGGGAAGCTACAACAGGCATACAGCGCATCACTCAGCAAGCAAGACCCTGCTGAAGACACCACCTCGCTCCAGCCCAACAGCTCTGGAAGGGGCCGTACACCGTCATGGATCTCGAGGCCCGGTGGGCCAGCACGTCGAGAATTAACACCAGATATACCCGAGGATATGGACGTCGACCTGCACGACCTTACGAGGGCACGGAGCTTGGACCCTGACGCTACCGACTCAACAGACTACGCTTTTGGAACCCCCAAGCTGCTGTGGACGGAGGAACATGCTTGGAGGCCTGATCCACCGCCATCACGTGGCAAGAAGAGGAAGAGTAGCGAGATGTGTGGAACACCCTCCAAGCCAGAATCATCGTCGAGATCGAAGGCCAGACAGTGGATCAAGGAGGAAGATGAGGATGACTTCCCAAACATCGCGGATCTCGTGCCCGATGATCTGATGACCCCGGCTATGTTGAAGCGCCGCAATGCCCCGTCGTCTCCGGTCCACCAGAGTCCTCACAAGCTGCGCATGCCTGCCTCGGACACGACCGTTCTCTCACAGCGGACGGTCATGCAGACAATCAGCACCACCGAGACAACCATTCACCGAATCACTGGTGTCGACCGGACGCCGAGTCGGAGTAGCTCTCAGGCCACATTCAAAGTCGATTCGCCTCTAGGGAAGGGAAAGGGCCGGATGCCGCCGCCTCCACAGCTGACCTCTGAATCTAAGGTCGCCAGTCCGAGACGTTCTCCTCAATATCAACACTCCCCAAGTGCTGTAGCCCTGGGCGATGACTTTATGCCGGAAGAGAGCGTATTTGAAGCACAAAGCGCGGATTCTAGGCCCACCCGGACGTTGAGACGCTCAGATGTGATCATAGACTCCGACGATGACTTTGGGGATTTCGAAACGCCTCCTTCTCGCAAAGTCTCGGACATTTCCTTCGTCACTGCAGCGAATGCAAGCGTATCTGGGTCACGAAGGAAGCGCAACAGGTCCGCAACATCAGACGACGGTCCAACGAGGTCTACGGTTGAGACGCCGTCCAAGAGGCGGGCGGAACTTTTTGAGCCACAACACTCTGCGAAGAGAAACAGCCCCCAGAAATTCGATGCTATTCACCCGATCGATGGGGATGACAAGGCGCAGAGACCAGAGACTGACGGATCACAAAGAAGTCCGAGCTTGGAGTCTGAAGGCGAAACCCTCATCATGGACTTGTTCAGGCAGCAACCTCATGTCTTGGATTTTCTCAACAGGATAAATTCGAGGAATCTGTCCCAAAACTCGGCCGCTTACGCAAGAGCACTGCGTGAGTCCTGGCCGCCAGAGCGCAAGGCTCAAGTCAAACGAGAGAAACAACCCTTGCTGCAGCGGAAACAAGCCATCACCGAGGCCAAGGCCGCTCATGAAGCTTACACTCAACTTGATGCGAAGCGCGAAGAACTTGTAGCCCAGATCACCATGGCTTACGATGCTGATGAAGACATTGAGGAGGCTGAAGCTCATCTCGAGAACTTGAGTCAGGAGATTGCCATGAGTGAGGGCGTGTTGAAAAAGGCGCTGGTGGCCGCCGGCGTCAAAGCGGACTTGTTCACTGATCTTCCGGACCCACCTGCGCAGCTTTCTAGCAAGCACCAATTGGCTGCCTCAGTCGCTCAGCCAGTCAGCCAAAGCTATCCTCTGTCGATGCCGACTATCATACCTGAATGTGCTTCACAAAGTTTCGATCAACCTCAGGGAGGGTCACGGCCATCATCACGCGTGGTGAGTTATGAGCAGCCACTGGATTCTGCTAGGCATGACGCGCCAACTTCATATGGTGCGGGAATGAAGTCGTCAAGAATGGCGGGAATTGCCGAGGCCAGGAGCTCAGCGAAGCCTTCATTGCGCGCACCTGTTCAGGATCACGAGATTGAGGACCTATTTGGTGATGACGACGACGACGATATCTGGGGGCAGCCGGATGTCTTCCAGCCTACATCCCGCATACGATCTATTCCGAGACCTATTGCATCCGTGAAACCCAGGAGCCCAATCAACTCGAAAGCGCGACGCCAGGACAATTTCAGTGACTATGGTGATGGCGAGGAGGATCTGGCAGCGATGATGGCAATTGCTGAAGAGGCTGAGGACTTTCAGCAGCAGAACACGTCTCACAGCAATCGCCGAGCAAGAGCAGTTCTCTCAGACGCGTCTGGCAATGCGGCTCCCGTCGCGAGGTTTAAGGCTGCCGCCCCGAAGACTGTGAGACCAATACCGAAGCTCAAGATCCCTGCAGAGCTGATGCAGCACCCATGGTCAAACGATGTCCTCCAGGCATTCAAGGACAGGTTCAGACTGGAAGGCTTCAGAACCAACCAACTCGAGGCTATCAACGCGACGTTAGCTGGTCAGGATGCCTTTGTTCTCATGCCAACCGGCGGTGGCAAATCATTGTGCTACCAGCTGCCTGCGGTTGTCAATAGTGGAATGACTCAGGGTGTCACCGTTGTGGTCACCCCTCTGCTCAGTCTGATGCAAGATCAGATTGACCACCTGACTGCCCGAGGGATCATTGCCAAGTCCTTCAAAGGCGATACGAAGGAGGCCGAGAAGAAGGAAATACTGCAGATGTTTAAGAGGCAGCCGAATCCCGAGCATTATGTCCAACTTCTATACGTCACACCCGAGATGATCAACAAGAGCACGAACTTGCTACAAGGACTCAGTGATCTCCACAGAAAAAACAAGTTTGCTCGTCTAGTCATTGACGAAGCACATTGTGTAAGTCAATGGGGCCACGATTTCAGGCCAGACTACAAAGAGCTCGGACAGATTCACACACAGTTTCAAGGCGTTCCGATCATAGCTCTTACTGCTACAGCGACGAATAACGTCATCGTCGATGTGAAACACAATCTTCACATGGAGCAGTGCAAGGTGTTTTCTCAAAGCTTCAACCGCCCAAATCTCTATTATGAGGTCCGGTCGAAGGAAACTCAGACTGTGGACAAAATTGCTCACCTCATCAACGAGAAGTATCGGAATATGACTGGGATTGTGTATACGCTTGCTCGGAAGCAGACGGAGCAGATTGCCGAAAAACTTCGAGCCCACGGTGTTAACGCAGAACACTATCATGCGTCAATGCCAGCAGAAGACAAGACCAGAGTTCAACGGTCGTGGCAAAACGGACACATCAAAGTGGTTGTTGCTACTATTGCTTTCGGCATGGGTATTGACAAACCTGACGTGCGCTTCGTTATACACCAATACCTTCCCAAGAGCTTAGAGGGGTACTACCAGGAGACCGGTCGCGCTGGTCGAGACGGGCTGCGGTCAGACTGCTACCTCTTTTTCAGCTACGGAGACATCCGCCAGCTGCGGACTTTTATCGACGATTCAGGTGGCAGCGATGCACAGAAACATCGACAGCATGAGATGCTCAACCGAGTGATCATGTTCTGCCAAAACCAGCGTGACTGTCGTCGAAGTCAGCTCCTGCACTACTTTGGCGAGACTCTCTCCGAAGAGCAGTGTGGCAAAACCTGCGACAATTGCAAGAACGGAGGCCACTTCGAGGTAGTGGATCGGACCGAATACGCTCAAGCTGTCTTGCAAGCCGTCATGTGTCACGCTCGGTTGACCATGCCCCAGTGTACGGATATGCTTTTGGGCAAGAGGAAGCCAGAGCAGGACAAAGGCCCGCAGCACGTCTATGGCATTGCCAAGGGCTTGACGAAGTATGAGATCAATCGGATCATCACCGAATTGGCCTTGCAGAATGGGTTGGGCGAACATAACTCAATCCCCAATGGCCGTGGGCCTCCCATTCGATACCTTATTGTGAGAGCCCCGACAGCCCATCTTCCATGTCTTCCACTAACATCTCTCTGCAGGCTGGAGAACAAGCGGCCAGCTTCTTGAGTGGTAATCGTCGGCTAAAATTAGTCGTTCGGCAAGGCGGTGATAAGAAAACCGCAGCCAAAGCGACTAAGAAGAAGACCACGAAGACGACTAAGAAGAAGTCTGTAGGGGAGGAGATCAGGCCAGCATCAACGTGTATCTCCTCGCCAATCCGCGGAGATGCTCGCAAAACGAAAAAGGGCAAGTCTGTCGCGAGCTTTTTCGATCAAGAGGCGATCGCGGAAGACGACGACGACGATGCCATGGATTCGTGGACTGCTGGTCAAACTAATGGTTACCAGGCAGATGGCTTCGTCGTGGCAGATGACGAGGACGAGGAGGATTATTTTGATCCTCCTGTCCCTCGAGCACCACGCCAAGCTAGACAGCAAACACTGAACGCACTTGCTCTGTCAACGTCCAGAATGGCAGCCTCAGAACCAGTCGATGATATGCAGGACTTACTCATCCCAAACTTTATGCAAGAGGCAAAGTCGCTCGAGGAAGAGACACGCAACAGTCGAGGTCTTCGCCGAATACTGTTCACCGAAGCACAGATGATGCAGATGATAATCAATTGGACCGACAATCTCGAGAAGATGCGCCGAATACCAGGCATTGATGTTGGCAAAGTCGACAAGTACGGCGTCCGCTTCCTACCTCTGATCAAAAAATACCACGACAATTATCTTAGCTTGCACGGGACAAATGACGACTCGATGGCTACGATACCAGCGACAGCTGGGCCGTCTACAGGCAGAAGCGGGCCACCACAGCCATCAGGAGATGTCATCGATCTCCTCTCAGACGACGATGACGACGATGACTATGAGGACCCGGGCGTCCCGTCCAAATACTTTGGTGCGAAAGGCCACAACGACCCTATCCAATCACAGCTCGAGAGCTGGCAGGAGCGCTTCGCGGCGACGCCGCAGGTCGAGGAGCCGGAGTCTCGCGGTCGCAGTACTTCGAGAAAGGGCACGAAGAGCACCGGTGGCGGCAGGAGACCTCACTATCGCAAAGAGAGAGGTGGTAGCCGCAGCGGAAACAGGTCTTACGGCGTGTCAAAGCGCAAAAGCTCGACAGCTCCAGCTGGCTCGAACCGCAGATCCAGTGCGGGCAGTGCGAGAGGTGGCGCTGGCAGGAGCACGGGTTCTACCACGAAAAGAGGCAGCAGCGGCATCGCAGCCATGCCATATTGAGCGGCATCAATCGCGGGAGTCTATCCTGGTGGGAAGAGGGTAAATGATGTTTGGGGTTGGGAGGTATGACAATGACTAGAGAAAGAGCTTCACGGCCTTTGACGCTTCAATTTGCATCGATATTACTTTAGCAGCTGAATCACAGAAGTGAATGTGACCATGTCCAAGATCACTGTAAGGGTCTACAGAACCTTGGGCGCGATAACTGTTCAAGCCAAAAGTCTCCCCAAGGAAACAACGCTTTACAATTCAGATCTTGGCTGTGCAGCCAAAAAAATTTTTTCTTTTTTTTCTCTTTTTTTTTCGTTCTTTCTTTCCTTTTCTTGGAGAAAAAAATAAAGGTGTAGGGAACATGGACCCCCAGGGCCACTGAGAGCCTTCAAGTCGCTCATCCTGGTGTGTCTTTGTGGGGACATGCTGCTCCTGCACAGTACAAACTCAAGGTACGTGGCCCATACGGACGGACCGGCACTCGGCAAGGCTGAACCGGAGAGCCGAGAAGCTCATTGGCCGCCTTGTGTAATTGAAACGGTTGGCGGGGGGGCTTTAATTACCGACAGAACAGAAACGTAATACCACGAGCCTTCTAGAAGTCTCGGGTCCCCGAGGAAGGGCGAGATTGGCGATCGATCATCTTGTTATTTTTTCCCTTCTTTTGATCATCATCACCGTGTTGCCCGTCCGGGCAGGCACAGCTGGCAGTGATGAGATTAAGAAGGGTTCTTCTGCCCACAATGCTGCCTCCTGGGGGTGCAATCGGGATAGCGGGCTGCCTGGATTGCCGTGAGTCACAGCTGGCTGCCCTAGGAGACTGTGGATGGACTTGGTCTCGTCCTGCCATATGCGTAGCCTGAGCTGAACAGAACCAAGCAGGTCCAGTTCGGAAGAGGTAGGTAGGCAGGTCTTGGAGCCTGACGTTCACCCGACAACAGCCTGTAAGACCAAGAACCGAGGAGATTAGCCGGAGAGGCCGGGAAGGATACGATTTTTGGGCGTCCTTTACAGCATGCCAGGCAGCTGGGGGGGGGAGGGACCGCACGCGATCGAGGAAAGAAACGGACGGATGCATGGGCCCATGTCTCCCGCGGCTTGGGGGTGCGCCACGAGTCCACTCTCGCTGGGGAGGAAAAAGAAGAAGAGAAAGTCAACGTTCAATACAGCGCGCTCAATACAAAAACGGGGTAGCCGAATCGATCAATTAGTCACGTTGGTAACCTGACGGACGGAGCTTGTACATACAGTATACGTACTATGGTAGTACGTTATGCTACTATGTTTGTATGTGTGTGGGCTTGTGTTGGCCTGGTCTCAGGTGATGAGGCCAGGGGTTTCATGAGTGGGAAATGACTTCAAACATGACATGGAGGATCCACTGGGGGAAGGGTCGCAGTGGCCGGCGAGGACCAATCCCAGAGCTCTGGATCGCAGGCCCTACCCCTGTAGGAAAACAACCCCTCCTTGTGCCTCCACTGTGCTAGTGCTGCAAGTGTAGTGTATTGGACTCTGTACAGTACTGCAGCAAGCCTTCTTTGCTGGCCTCTTCCCCCCCCCCCCCAAACTTACTGGACCATGCACACCATGCAATGTAGCTGCGAACACGTCCAGGCTCCACCCTCGCTTCGTCTCACGACCAATTTGCTGCATCTCGCGTTTACTGTGGTCTGCCCTCTCTTTGTCTCTACTTTTTTTCTCTTCTTTGTCTGTCTTGGTTTCTGTCCCTTTTCCTATCTCTCTCTTTTTTTTTTATAATATCACTCTAGAAAAGCAGAGCCGATCACTGATCAATCGGGTAGACAAGATCGATTGTTTCGATACCCGCACGGTCTTGTTGTTTGTCTGTTGCTGGGCGGAAACCCTTAGGCCCCTTTTTTTTCTATTTACTTTCTTCCGGGCCCTGGACTCTTTTTTTTAAGCTCTTCGCGTGAGGGGGGCTATTGGATGTACATTCCAGAGTTTCACTTAGTCACGCAGCTGCACAACGACCTTTTCCCGAGATTGTCACGAAAGAACAAGTGGCAAAGCTTGCCCCTCTCCATCCTACCAATCTCCTTCCTTGCGTCCTCGAAACCTATTCGATTCACAGCCTTTATCTTCACGTCTCTTTTGCTGTGAACATTAGCGTTGCTTGCTTCCTGATCTGCAACACCGAGATCCCTCCTCGACCTCGTCCTCTTCCTTATCCTCCTGCTGCCGCTGCTGCCAACACAATCAATCCTCGATTCCTCGCTCGACATGGCTGCCTTCCAGCACAACCGGTCTCACACTCCTCCTCCTGACTTCAAGCCCATGGCTGCCCTGAGCGCAGACCTGGCAGACCTCGAGATATCACCACGATCCATCTCGGTCGCCTCCACTACCTCACACGGCTCGGCAACCACCCACGCCTCCCTCGGCAGCGACTCGTCCGGCTCCAGCCGTCACTCATCCGCGAGCTTCCTCGCCGCCGCTAGAAATCCTATCCACCTGGCTCCCACGAGCAATGTGCGGCACTCGACTGGAAACTATGGAGACAAACCGGTACCGAGGAGGAGAGGTTACATGAGGCCGACGGGCACAGATTTCGCCGCCTCGGCGAGGAGCAGGGAGAGTGTCATGAGCCTAGGCAGCATCACACACCTGCAGTACTACTTTGCCAGAACGGGACTGCTGGACGGGAAAGGTGCACAGCTGGCTCGGAAGACCAGGATGCAGAAGGCCCAGACTCTGGACTTTAGCAGCTTGGGCTCGTTTGATTTCGCCTCGGCCTCTGGCAACGCACCCAAGATCGTGACCACATCAGACAACGACTCTGCCTACGGAGCTAGCCCTGATACAGGCGGATTTGGAGGCATGACGGACAGCCCAGTGGCCGAGGAACCGGATGAGGACCAATTCGACTACGACGAGTGGGACGAGCCGGACCCCAACATGCTCCCGCCCACGGCGAGCACATACAAGCACTCTGAGAAGCCCATAGCGAAGCCGCCGTCCATCAGACAGCTCAAGGCCGATCTCAGGACCGCCCTGACCATGGCCCGCGAGGCCGTCGACTATGCGAAAAACAACAGGGTGAACCCCTACGAGGGAGGGGCGGCACGTGCTCGGCAGGATTCCATCGTCTCGGTGACCTCCCTGACGGAGTCGCCCACGCCTCCCTCACACGCCCGACAGCTGTCCAGGGCCACCATCTCGGCGCCAGGCTGGTTCGAGGTCCAGGGCATGCACGTCCTCGACGTCATGACCCTGGCCATCCGCGCGGCCAAGGTCTACTACACGTCTCACGACGCGCCGGACCGGCTGGACTCCATCAAGCCGGAAAAGGAGCTCCGCAAGGAGCTGTTCAACGTCATGGAGATGCTGAAGCGCATGGCGACCCGGGACTTCCAGGGCGGCATGCGCGACGACGAGGTGCAGATTATGGAAGAGTGGATCGCGGGGCTCTTCAAGATGCTCAAGGACGAAGAGGAAATCGAGATGGCCGAGGCCGAGGAGCGGGCGTCCTGGGGATGGCTCAACGATGCGGACTGGCCGGCCGGCACTGAGGTGCAGCGCGAGTACGCCTTCATCGTCAGCATGCTCGATGGGGCCGAGAACACGACCAAGGCGCCCGCGCCCGACGGCAGCACGATGCAGGTGCCCGCCCTCCCCAGCTGGACGCCCATCGACCGGTCCAGGCCTCTCGAGGGACAGGACCTCCCGACGCCCTTCCTCGCGTCCCTGCAGAATGGCCTGCGTCTGGTGCAGCTGCACAACGCGGCGGTGCGTAAGTCACGCCGCCGCTTCGGTATGATCGGCACGTTCCACACGGACACGCAGAAGCCCTACCGGGCGGCGGACAACATCCGGTACTGGGCCAAGGCGGCCGAGCTGCGATGGGAGGTGACGGGCCTCAAGGTCGACGCGCTGGGCATTGTGTACAACAGTAAGCCCGAGGCGTGGCTCGAGTTCGAGGACGCTGTGCTCCGGTGGTGCAAGCACGTCCGTGAGGAGATCACTGCAGACCTCGGGAGGCCACCGACAAGGGTGGGCCCGCCCGAGTGGCTGCCCAAGAAGAAGCTCGACACGCCGGAGCCACTGGTCGAGGAGTAAGATGGCAAGATCTCTCGGCATCTCCTCCATCAATAACATCGGCTTATTCTCGCTCTTCCTGCTCGACACCCTTCTTCTTTACTTTTCGCCTCGGCATGCAACGACATATACATATTTAATACACCACACAATATTGGGAACAACACAAACAAAATCACAAAAACAAAAGAAAGGCACCAGAAATTTCTAAAAAGGATGCGTCTGGCCAATGACCACCATCCCAAGATGAGAGGAGGAAAGGGACACAACTTTTTTGGACGTCAGATCATGTTGCCATGGTAATTATCATCTCTACAACCCCCCGGAAATCGGACTCGACCGCGGGGCCCTTTACATTCGCTGCACATAGTTGCTTAATCTTTGACGACCTTTTCTTTCTTCTCTTTCTCTTACGACAAAAGAAGCGGGCAGGCCATCTTCGGAAATGTGGCCGGCGAGTTTATGACGAGAGACAGGCAGCTTTTGGGGAAGGAGAAGGATGGTTGCTCAGCTACCTACCTTACTCTTCTCTTTTCTCCATTCAACATCACCACCATCGTTGCTGCGCGCGTACGCGAGATTGCATAGCGGATACTGTTTTGTATTTTTATCTTTTTTTTTAGTTGACTTTGGTCAGAGTTTTCTTTTTCTTTTTCCGATTTCTTTTTCGGTTTATTCATGGACGGACAGGGTGAAAAGAGGCGAGAGGAAAGGAGGTTTTGGGGTAGTAGGGGCAAAGATTGGCAATATCACCATCAACCATTCTCGTTTTCGACAATTTTGCTCTTTTCTTCTTTCTTGTTTTGGTTTCCTTGTCCCGAATTGTTGTCATGTCGAGACAGGATGGCACTTGAGAATAGCTTGATATACCCCCCCCCCAGCACAAAAGAATTTGACAAATATTGAGATGGAAATTATGATATGCCATTCAAACATGGATAAGCTGAAGTTCATCATCATCAATGTCTATCTAGTTGGACGTTGCAGCTTTTTCCTCCTTTTTTTTCTTTCTTTCTCTTTTTGGTCTCTATCTGGCTTGGGAGGAATCATTTGTTTGGATAGGAGGGCGGGCAACCACCCAGATAGGGAACGGAACGTATCTGCAAGTATTACATGCCCCGGGGGTTTGAGCCAGGAGGACTCAATAGACTGCCCAAAGAGGAGGTGAGCTGTCACATTTTGATTGCGCTTTCATTTGGGTTGCCTTTTCTTCTTCTTCTTCTTCTTCTTCTTCTTCTCTTTCTTCTTCTACACTACAGTGAGGAGTAGCAAGTATCACGGTCATGCAAAGCGCCAGACTTGTTGTAGTATCCTGTAGTAGGGCACATACTGGCTCGAAGCGTAGTGGAACCGTAGCGCTGTGACCAGAAACCCGTCCGTGTTCCCTGTAATGCGAGGGAACCAGTGTGTGCTACGCTGTGCTATGCTCCTCTACCCACTATTCGAGTGGGCGAGTCGTCGGCCCCTGCGAACACGAAGAAAGAGAAGAAGGGGAAAAAAAAACAGATGGGGTGAAAGGGAACTGGGCACCAAGAGCGGAGCCTTTTTCTCACGTGGCGAGATTGCAGGAAATGAGGCTCGGCGGACGGGCTTTGGAGAGAAAGGCTGGGCGTCGTGTGTGTGTGTGTGTGTGTGTGTGTCACGGTTGGAGAGAGCCCTGGCGCTTCAAAGAGCTCGGTCAGTAGCCATGTTGTGCTATAATAGTGAACCGTGCATTCAGCCTCTGGTGATGTTGCTATTGACTTGGATAAATAGCCTTTGCAGAAGTGTGGTTATGAGGTCATTCATAGCGGTGATGTCGATTGTGTTATGTTGCTAGGCGGAGCAGGTAGAAAGAGAGAGGCCAGCGAGGTGTCCCTGCTGTCGGATCTGCGGGAGAAACAATGTATGTACCATACATAGTACATCACATACTTGTTACTTACAAGGTGGGACTGCGACGGCTAGGTAGGACGGGAGATGGGGGGTGGGGCCTGTTCGTCTGGGGGCAGATTGACCAATCAGGGACTGGGAATAGCTGCTATAATTACCACATTGGGTGGGTTCGTTCCGTGGCGGGACCCTTGTTTCGACTCCATTCAAATCTGAGCGGATTCACACTCTCATCTCAAAGGAATTACTACGGTAATACGATGAGGAATGAAGCAGCACAGGCGAAAGTTGTCTATAATCTTTATTTCTTTCTTTTCCTTCTTCCGTGGGGTGATTTGATTTGGCATGCTTTGAGCTAGCTTGCTGGTCGCTGAGGTGATTGATCGATTGGTGAGGTCGCCTCAGTCTCGGACAGTTCATTGGTTCGAGCACAGTGTCGTTGCTGTGCTGTGTGGGGTGTGGCTGGACCCTTGGCTGGCTCCTTCTTTCGCGACTCGCAACACGGGTGAGACCCTTACGTATTATGTATGGGAACGACGAGGCAACCAGAAGACAGAGAGAATAAAACAAAATAAACTAAAACTTTACCCGAAACTTGACACTTGGGCAAGGCCAAGTTTCACCAAAAGGGTGCCATCTCCCACCCCTTTTGGTTCCACCTGGTCTTGGTGGTATCTGTCCATTGTATCTATGCCCTTCCTGTGTGTGTCTCTCTCTTTCTCTCTCTCTCACTGTCTTTTTTCTGAGGAGAGATTGATTGGTTCTTTTCATTACCGGTCAGTCCGTGTGTTTTTTGGTCGTTGGGTGCAATTTAGTGCAGCGACTTGACTTTAGTTGAGGCACTGACTGAGCACACATCCGATCTTCATTTCTGGGCGTGGCTGGTTCGTCGCCCAATGAACGACCCTTTGCCCGTTCTGGAACGTGGCAAGCTGCTACTGCTCTGCAACAATATTACATTATTACATGGCGTAGCACATTTGGATGCAACAACAGCAATGGCAACCTCGCCCGTGCTCATTTAAACTACCCACGAGGTTCATTTCCATGGTCTTGGTCGCTTTCCAAGGTTCTTTCCTGCTGCACCCTGGCTCTGTCTTTCTCTGGGTCATCATTTCTCCAGTTGGCTTTACCTCATCAACAGACAGCGCGACTCACTCGGGCTCGACCTCGACTCCCGCCTTGCCTCACCTCACCTCAGCTCACCTCAGGCCCCAAGATTCTGACTCCTTTGATACGCCTACTTACTTGATCAATTGTCGAGCAACAACGGGCGACCACGCGTCAACCTCGTTCGGCTCGATACTCTCTCTACCGCCATAATATTGCGAGGCGACTGTGGGCCCCCTAGGCCTGGCGGAGCTACCGGCAGCAATCAGAGCTCCGTCCACAATCTGCTGCACTTGCACCCGCCTCCCTCGACACCGCGACGAGACGGGAAGAAAACAAAGCACGCAAGCTTACACGAACGAGATAGACGAGTCGAGAGACGTAACATTTAGGGAACAAAACAGCCAGCCTCACACAACCACTGCGGGCATGTAGGAAACGACTGCAGTAGGAGGATCAGGAATCTCGGCCAACTCTGCAGCCCGAGATTCGCGCACTCATCCACACCCACACCCATCCCTGGCGCTGCATAGACGACTACCTGAACCTTGGGCCTGGGACATACACACACACACACACACACACAAATACATACAGCCTGCAGCGTCTCAACCTTTTCTTATTTCTTCCTGTCGCTGTCAGATTTGCCGTCACTCACGTCGCAATGATGCTCGGCCCTCTCGCCAGCCCAACCGAGGGCATTCTCCCTGGAACAGGTTACGATGACGGCAACACACGACCAGCCCTCCTGCGATTGTCATCACAGACCACCACCAACACCAGCCCTACTCTACAACAGCCAGAGGCTCCGCAGGGCGCTGCAGCTGTTGCGGGTACTGCTGCTGCTGCCCAACCACGGGCGACAACTAGACGAGACGCACATCCGACGCCAGCCAATGGCGACGCGAAGCACGGAAATCCCACTCCCACTCCCACCACTGACCTGCTGCAGCAGGAAGAAGACCTCTCGTGGCTGGGGTGCTTCATAGAAGACGGTACCGAGACGGCCTCCAGCGTTCCCGCCCCCGATTTTGATGCTTCTGTCCCTGTCGCTAGTGCGGTGCCGCTGCAGCAAAGTCCCCCCAAAAATTCCACCACCACCACCACCCAAGAACTTGGTCGTCATACCCCAAACATTATCAACAACAGCAACACTACCATTGACGCTAACGGCGACGATAACAACAACAACAAGACCAACAAATCTAACAGCTACAACAGCCTCAGGATCAACCTTTTCAACAATAACAACGACGACGACAATACCAACAGAATACTGCGTCCACAGCAACAACAGCGTGCCAACCAGCTTGCTGACCCTCCAAGCCTCGTCCCAAATCAAAACCAGCAACAGCAGCACCAGACCCGAAAGCTCTCGCCCGGTCTTGCTGCGCGTCTCAAAGCACTTGGCCTCGGCGCCTCCAAAAAGCTGTCGCAGGTGTCCCACGGGAACGACCGCGTGGGCAAGCTATCCGAAGAGCAGATCCGCCAGATTGAAGAGTCACACCAGCGACACCTGGGCAATCTCGTCATAGAGCGCCGGGGGAAGCCCTGGAAGGGCATCGTGCGAATCCCATCCAAGACGAGCCTCAAGTCGATGAGGTCGAGCAAGGACGCAGACGCCGACGCCATCACCCCTGAAGACGTCGACATTCCTACCATCCAGATCCTCGATAGCCCCGGCGCCGACGACCGCCCCGAGCTGCTACACGAGCACGAGCTCGGACCCTCCGCAGCAGCAGCAGCAGCCGTCGCTCTCGACATGGACACAAACAAGTACCGTCTGCCCGATCACAGCAACGGCAATGGCACAAAGGTCACACTGGACACGCGGAAGGAACACATTGAGCGCGACACGAGGCTCCCACCGTCGCCCGAGCAGTCGCCCCCGCCCGTCCCCGCCAAGGACACCCCGCCACTGCCCGCCCAGCCCTTCAGCCCAGAGAGCAGCATCTTCAACCCCCTCGGGCTGCAGCGCACAGGCTCCATCTACACCATCTCGCGTGCCTCGTTCGCCAACCAGCTGGCCCAGCTGACCT